TTAACAAAATTAAACCATTTTACAAATAAAGTACAATTTAATGTAAAGTGTTATATGGTCTCGCTGCAGTCGTCCTGCCACTGCTGGCTGAGATCATTAATACTAATAATGGAAGCATTGGGAGGTTTGTGAGCATGCTTGGCAATTGTCACTATGCGCCAATCAGGTTCTCCTCAGAGACCTGTTGACTCAGTGCTAAGTGTTGAGTTGCTGAGTGTCCACTTTGCAGATTTTACAGGACCCTCATCCAGGAAGCCTATTTCACAACAAGAAAAAAAAAGAAAAGAAAGAAAAAGCAAAGTAAGAGAAGACAATATAGCTTGCGTTTTCATCACCTTTAATAAGGTCAGGACACAGGAGCACCATTCCAAATTAGTGCGCAACATTCTCCTTTCTGGTTTAAGACAGTGGGAAACTGCTTCTTCAAATCTTTTGTTTGATGTAAATAGCTCAATAAGCCTGATGTTTACATAGACATCATCAGGTCGAGTATACAGTTCTGACTGTATCAAATCAAACAACTGATTCCAGCCAACTTCCCCTTGGGAGTTAAGCAGTTGCTCCTGCAAGAAAAGCAACAGCAAAATTAATAGGAGAAGAAAAAAAAAATAAAAAAAATAAAGCACATAAGAACTCGTATATAGGTCTGCACAAATTAAATAGTCATATGTGTGATCAGACAGATTATGTACAAAATAATGCCATTTATGGCACATCAAATTATTGTGTAAGAAAATTATATACAACTTACTTTGAGTCTAAAAATATCAGGACTCCCAGGAAACAGCTTGGATGCTCTTTCCACCCAGTATTCCGCCCGGCCATTGGTGAGGCTGATTGAGCACATCATCTCTGCAATCTTTAGGACAAGATCTTTCTGGGTGGGGTTTAACTCCACGGAACGCTATCATACAAGAAACAAAACCATTACTTTTCCCCAGATACTGAACATGTTAAGAGTAGAAACAAATTAAAGCATGACATACTGAAATTGAAAAAACTTTGAAAAAGGCAAAAAAAATTATATATATATTTTAATTAGATATAGGATTAATATTGCTACATCTCCTAAAGTCAGTTGTGTCGTAATTACAAACAATATTATTCAAAACCACTTATATATGCATCAACAAATTTTTTTTTTTTTTTTTTTTATTTAAATGCCTACATATATAAAACACAGCACCACCTACTTGCCACATCTAAGTAGTGCTGCACACCAAAGTACATATAAATACCTTGTAACAGCCAATAGCTTTCTCAATATCTCCATCAATTTCAAAAAGGTGTCCAAGGAACCTATGAGCTTTAGGATCCCTTTCCTGGACATTAATGTAAGATGAGACACATCTGAAATTGGAAAACAAGCAGATGGCACATTACTTATAAGACATGGCCTATTAATAAAGACAACCAGCAAACAGAATATACAGTGTGATGTGCAAGTATGTTTATGGGTAGAACACGATATTTTAAAAAACGAATGCAGAATATTTCTAAATGATCTCATTATAAAGAGTCAAGGTACACATTAGGTCAGTACAGCACACTAATGTCAATTTTGATGCAGATCACAACCAGTCTTTATGCCAGCGTTATTCCAACAGCTATTTTAATGCAAACAGACACTTGTCTCCTTACCCATATCATTCTGGCATCATTATGGATGCTCCAAACTAACCTTATGATGCCTTGCGTAATTTCAGGCGCCCACCTAGCTGCATCATCTTTTTGCACCATTTGGCGTTGCAGGAATGACACAGACCAGTCAGATTCCCTCCCTGCATTGTTATGCTATAACCTTTTGTGGGTTCCCTTATGGTGATACAACAGCACGTTTATATTGTACATTGACTCCTGCTATTCTCACAGACTGTCCTTGACCATTCTCCTTTCTGTAATCGTTGACACTGGCTAGGTTTTGACCACTCTCTAACCTGTTCCACAAGTTCCTATTTTCTCTGTGTCAAGCCAGGCTAACCTGGTAATATATCGCTGTCCATTTCTATTTCCTACCTTAGCTAGGTGTAACCAAGTTCTGCATATTAAGCCTGGTGATATTATTATAAAATACCAATAAATGTGTACAGCTTCAAAAAACAAACAAACAAAAAAACAAAAAAAACATTGCTTTCCTTTCCCCATGAAAAAATAAACAGGATAAAATATAGAAACACTAGGTCTTGGCTTTACCCAATTTCATATGAAAAACTTCTCAGTATAGAAGTAGAGTGGCTAAGCTCAAAAAACCACTAAGTGAGAAAGCCTGGTTTGATAACACCCATCTCAAGCTGACCAGCACAGGTGAAGGGGATTCTATTTCACACAGCCCCCTCTCTCCCTCCCCTCATGGCATGTAAAAGGTTAAAAAAAAATAAAAAATAATCTCTTTACTTACCCAATTTTGGTGCCGATCTCACGCCCCATAGGACTCAATGTTTTCCTATGGAGATTTTACGGTCGCTGGGTGTCCTCGTGCAGAGCGTGAGAACGTCCAGTGTCAGGCAACCTAAAGTCTGATAAAAATCCAGGAAGCGCCTCTAGTTGCTTTCTGGCAGACAGTTTATAAATTCCGTCTTAGTGCTGCAATGTAAACATTACAGTTTCTCAAAAACTGCAGTGTTTTACATTGCAAGACTAAGAGTGACAGGGACACTGCACCCAGACCACTTCCATGAAATTAAGTGGTCTGGGTGCCTCTAGTGTCCCTTTAACCCCTTAAGGACACATGACATGTGTGACATGTCATGATTCCCTTTTATTCCAGATGTTTGGTCTTTAAGGGGTTAAAAGGACTTATGTGACTTAAGGAAACAACCAAGGCACCATAATGACTAGAGTCCACAGTATGGTGTCAGGAGTTCCCCGGCGCACTTACAACAATTTTAACCATTTGAGATTGTGTGTGAATTATTTCATAATGAATACATTGATACAAAATACCCCAATAGTAAATACCAATATAGAAGTGTGTGTGTATATATATATATATATATATATAAAAAATATAATCTCTCAATTCAGTTTCTCTGATTAGACTTCACAGTTCCCAGATAAAAACTAACTACAATGATGTAAATTCTACATTTCATTGTACTACTTTTCAGAGCTAGCAAGTGCATATTTGTGAAATATAAGGGATAAGTAAACATTACACTAAAAGACATGAAAAGTGACTTCTGCCCTTTTAGTCGAAACACTTTTTGCTTCATAGTCTATAAATTACTAACAGTTGTCCAACAATTAAATTGACATGTGAAAGGAATGCAGCCTCCATGACAAAAAGTTCAGTGGCACAATTCACAGGCAACTATCAACAAACATCCGTTTTCTTCTTTTTTGTACTATTTTGCCTACAGCGAGGCCCAAAAAAGCTGCAACAGTGGCTGAACAAAATGTATTAAAAAGCTTACCTTTTAGCTTGGTCATATTCTTTAGCTTCATAGTAAAGCTTTGCAAAAAGGAATCCTTTCAATGATTTCTGAGAGAGAAAAAAAATACACTGTAAATGACTTTCTGCTAAATTATAAAACTACTATATTTATGAATCATTCCTATCAATGGCAATGGAGCAACAGTTTATGATCTAATCCAAGTATTCAGTATATCTAAATTCCAATTAATATTGCCAACGTTTATAAATACATATAAAACTTTTACAGCAAATAATTAGAGGCTGTAGGTGCACTGTTTTTTGCAGAGGTTTAAAGGAAGTCATGAGCTCACTGTAATGACAGGTTTGATGACTTTTTTAAATTAAGATTCTATTTCTAATCTTTTATTTATTCATAGCGCTTGACAAATTTGAGCCGTAGGGATTTAAACATCGTAAGATATCAGCCACGTTCAGGCAATTGTAAGATAAGTCTGGATTTGAACTAGTAGTCAGTGGAGTAAATTTTAGTGAATGATTTAATCTCCCCAAGACAATAACTGACAGCTGCAGATTTATTTATTTTTCTCCACACAGGCGCTAGGTTAAAAAAAAAAAAAAAAAAAGAAGTTAAACATTTGGACTGACTTTCATTCAGCCAAACGTGAAAAGTAATAATAATAAACACGAATAATATCTAAAGCACCAAATCTAAGCGATCAATGAATGCACTACGAGTAAGATTGTAAGCTCACTAAGCACTTTGTATAAAAGAGCTTCGATGGCTAGCTTTCAACTCACCTTTTCTATTAGTCTGTGTATACTGTATGGCCTACCCCAATTGTACAGCGCTGTGGAATACGTTGGCGCTTTATAAATGCAAATAATAGGCATTATAAATAAATATTATATAAAATCAATAATAACCCAAGCTAGGCTGGCTGATAGCAATGCCATTGATCTGTATGAGTCACACAGTGACAGTGAGGGCACGGCTGCTCAGTAATAATGGCAGGATACAGGGAGCCAGCCAGGGTATAATTATGGATTATTATTATTACAATCTCACAGGGGAGGAGGAGGGGGACTCGCACAGCTGGCTACACGGCACCGATAACCTGCTTATCATTCCTCCTCTACCACCACAGGGCCGGCTACACACCCAGCCAGCCAGCCCCGTGTGACACCAGCCAGCCCCGTGTGACACCAGCCAGCCAGCCCCGTGTGACACCAGCCAGCCCCGTGTGACACCAGCCAGCCAGCCCCGTGTCCCCAGCCAGGCGGTCGGTGCGGTGCCGGCCGGGCTCAGTGAAGGCAGCGCGGTGTTACCTCTTTGGGGGAAGCCGTGTTGCTCTGCGCGGCCTCGATGTATTTGTGTATCTCGGCCTTGGTCCTCCTCATGCTGGCGGTCGGTCGGGCGGGGGCTGTTGGAGCGGAGAGCGGGACACGCGGCCCCGGCTTCCCACACAGACCTGCGAAAACTTCCCGGATCGCTCGCGCTCAATCAGGACTTTCGGCGTACGGGAAGTGACGGCATCATGCTGGGACTTCCTCCCTTCACGGCGCGCGGGGGGGGGGAAGGGGGAGGCGCCAGCAGCATTAGCATTGCGTAGGGAGAGAGATTGTGAGCGAGTGCTAAACCCGCTCTGTGTGCTGCACGATGGAACGGGTAATGGGCTCCACCAACATGGAACCCCGCGGGGCTAGCGAGACCGTGTTATCATTAGAGCGCTATTTACTGGTCATACAATAGGCACGTGGCCATCTGGAATCCAAAAGATGGGCAATCGCCTCCTGCCCATACATAGCCCCTTAATGAAGGAAGGAGGGAATGGAACGAGTTCAGAACCAAAATAAAACCAGGCATTCGCGCTAGCTGTTCAACTGTAATTTATTTTTTCCCCCAACAGAAAGGGGCAGAAGGGGTAAGGACAATGCTAGACAATAAATTAATAGTAAGATCAACACTAATATATCAGTGATCACTTCTGTCCAACATTTAATTTTGCATTTAGCCTGGGTTTGGTTTTGTACTGTCATAACCTAACGCTGGCTGTTACAACATTTTCTAATTTGGGGTACGCCAATCTCCATGCGTCCCACGACTCCCAAGTTGCAAAAGTTACTCTGCAAGGGGGGCAGATACTATTGAAGCAGCGTTCAAACATCCGCTGATTGTCCAGCTCTGCTTGTAAGGCCAACATGGAAGGGATGCGCTGGGATTTCCTGGCCTGAGCTATTAAGCATTGGGGCTGTTAGGGCAACATGGTATATTATTTTTTTCGCTTGTGATGGCACCTCAGTTGGTATATTTAATAAAAGGTACGTGAGTGAGCTATAAGGGAGCTTAAAGGACCACTATAGTGCCAGGAAAACAAACTCATTTTCCTGGCTCTATAGGGTCTTTGGGTCCACCCTCAGTGTCCTACTCCCGCTGGGCAGAAGGGGTTAAACTCTTACCTTTCTTCAGCACCAGGCTCCCTCGGCACTGGGCACTCTCCTCCCTCTTCCGAAGTCATCCACCGAATGCGCATGTGCGGCAAGAGCCGTTCGCGCATTCAATCAGTCCATAGGAAAGCAGTCCATTTCTCAATGCTTTCCTATGGACGGCAGCGTCTTCTCACTGTGAAAATCACAGTGAGAAGCACCTCTAGCGGCTGTCGATTACAGCTGCAGGGTTAACCCTAGATGGACCTGGCACCCAGACCTCTTCATTGAGCTGAAGTGGTCTTTGTGCCTATAGTGGTTCTTTAAGTTTTGTAAGTTCTTGTATAAGTATTCCCACAGAGTTCCGAAAGGCAGAATCTGTGTGCATTGCCACCATATATATGTGCAGCACTGATCCTATAGAGGCATTGCACCTCCAGCAGGTCAAGGAACTATTAGGGAACAGTTTATGGATTCTCTCTGGTACCATACACCATCTGTATAGCATTTTCCTCTGTTGCTCAAGTAAAGTAGCAGATTTTATATATGTTCTAGTGTTATCAAATATTACGTTCCATTGTTTCTCTGTGATTTTGCACATTAAGTCCCTAACCCAGTGTTTTGCGGGCACTGCTTCTGAGAATGATAAATATTCCAATAGTAAGCGGTAGCACATGGAGATTGGCTTATATGATGTAAGTAATCGTCTATTGATACATATGCATCTGGTTGTTGTAAAGAGGTTTGAATTATGTTAGCATATAAAAAGAAGTGCAGTTAACGATATGAATATTATGAGGTCAAGGGAATATTATGTTCAGCCCTAAGAGTGGGAAAGTCTTTTAGCTGTGTCTCAGTGTAGAGATGGAAGAGGTGAGTGAGGCCCTTTTCATGCCATGGCTTTGCATAAAAGGTGAGAATACAGTATGTGAGAGCCTTTAGAGGGGTTGCTAGAGAAATTCAGTTGTTACTACTCAATTTGGGTCTTTGGGCATCCCACACCCGAAACATTAATGCCACTTGAGCCAGCACTGCCGTCAGAGGTGCCCTGAAAGGTTTAGGTAGCCACAGGATATAAGGGAAGGTGAACTGTAATTTAAAGATGCACTCCACTAAAATATAAATATATATATACTTACACTGTGGATCATGATAAAGACCCTATTGGGTCGAAACATCAAATTTTTTTTGTTACACAGATAATTGATTTGATTTAAAATTGGATTAAAACACAGTTTGTTTTTGAAGACCTTGGAGTGCACTTCTTCTTTTGTTATATATCACTGTTTAGTAGATATACCCCCAATGAAAACTTTTATGGTGTCCCTCATGGGTCTGTTCTGGGACCCCTTCTATTTAACATGTTTTAAAAAGCATTGAAAGTCATGTTTCAGTGTTTGCAGATGACACAAAACTCTGTAAAGTAAAACAATGTGAGCAATATATTACTTTGCTGCAGAGGGATTTGGCACTAAAACGGCAAATTATACTTAATGTAGAAAACTGCAAAATTATACCCTTCGGGGTAAAGAATGCACAAGCAACTTACACCCTAAATGGTAGTGAATTTGGGATAACAACACACAAGAAGGATTTGGGAATTGTTGTAGAAAACAAACTAGGCAACAACAATCAGCAGTTGCCAACGCCAATAAGGTATTGTCAAGTATAAAAAGGGGCATTAATTATCAGGAGGAAAATGTAATTTTGCCTCTTTATAAATTACTGGTAAGACTGCATCTTGAATATGCTGTGCAATTTTGGGCACCTGTTCTAAAGAAGGATGTTATGGCACTTTAAAAAGTACAGAGACAGGCTACAAAAGGAATGGAACCTTTTAGTTATGAAGAAAGGTTAACAAATTTAAACCTCTTTAGTTTAGAAAAACAGCGCCTCAGCTTGGATATGCTCGCATTATATAAATACATCCCAGGCCAATACAAACCACGTCTAGAAATTTATTCACAAACAGGACTAAACGTAGGTTCACGGGTTTAGACTGGAAGAAAGGAGATTTAGTTTAAGGCAAAGGAGAGGTTTTTGTTTTTTTTTACAGTATGAACAATAAGGATATTACATAACCCTCGGTAAACCTCAACCCCTACTATATTTTTTGACTTGTGCCCACTTAACCGATTATACACATATGCTCTTGTGCTATCAACCATATATTAGAGGAGCATTGTCGGCACCACAACCATTACATGCAAATGTAGTGACTTTAGTGCCATTAGACTGCTGGCTCCTTCCCCCAGTACTGGCTCAAAACGTGTTCAAGTGACAATCATTGCCTGGTCACCTGCTCAGCTATTCCACTTCTGCATTAAAGGGACACTAAAGGCATCCACACCAATTCAGCTCATTGAAATGGTCTGGGTGCAGTGTCCCTGTGCCCTTAACCCGGCAATGGTAATTATTACAGTTTCAGAGAAACTGCAATAGTTACCTTGCAGGGTTAAGGCTTCCTCTTTTGGCTGTCAATTAGAGGCACTTCCTGGTGGTCAGATGACTTTTGATCGCCTGATGCTGGATGTCCTCACGCTCTGCATGAGGACATCACGCGTCAGTCAGTTCCCCATAGGAAAGTATTACAATAATGCTTTCCTATCGGGAGGGCCTAATGCTCTTAAGGCAGTTTCCGCGCATGCACAGTGCCCACCCCATCTGAGAGGGCAAAGCTCCAAATAGGGTAAGTACAGTAAGGTTAGTTTAACCTTTATTATGCTGGGGAAGGGTGAGCGAGGGATCTATAGTGCTGGAAATATAACTTTGTATTGCTAGCACTATAATATCCCTTCAACTATATCAATTTCATATATATATATGTTAAAACCATTTATTGACTGAGCATGTAAGCTGCCTGCTAACTTTTGTGACAGTTAAAATGGATAGCATTCAGTGAAGGATTGTTGCAGTTTGTGTTTCTTTTGTGTTTGTGAATGCTATACCCAAGGACGGCTAAAAAAGATGCCATGTAGAGCTTCAAGTGGAAACATAAAGCTGGTTGCTGCCTCTAAAGTAATAAATGAGGAGCTTGTCAGAACAAATGAGGATTTTAGAAGAGAGTTTAGGATTTTAATGGTGTCCTTGACCCTAAATTGGATAAAAAATTCACTGCAATACCACCATCATATAAAAGAATAGATAAGTTGGCAAAATCCATTAAGAGTAATATGATCAATTATGATTTTTGTGATTTATGGAGAACATCTAACCCTGATATGCTGGAGTATACGTTCTTTTCTAGAGTGCATCTGTCCTACTCCCGGATTGACATGGTCTAGGGAAATGCAATTGCCTTAACAAATATAAAATACATTAAGATTCTTGATAATTCCTGGTCAGACCATAGTATTAACATGTGGGAGATGAAAAATCAATGGGCCAGGATCAATAGAGATACCTGGTGCATTAACGATTATCTATTAAAGGACCACTATAGTGCCAGGAAAACATACTCGTTTTCCTGGCACTATAGTGCCCTGAGTGTGCCTCCACCCTCAGGGTCCCCCTCCCGCCGGGCTCTGGGGGGAGGAAGGGGTTAAACTCCTCTCCGCCTTCTCTCCTCCTCTTCGGCTGAATGCGCATGTGCCGCGTGCGCATTCAGCCAGTCCATAGGAAAGCATTCACAATGCTTTCCTATGGACGCTGGCATCTTCTCACTGTGAAAATCACAGTGAGAAGCGCGGAAGCCCTCTAGTGGCTTTGTTTATAGAAAAAAAGGGTTAAACCTAGCTGGACCAGGCACCCAGACCACCTCATTAAGCTGAAGTGGTCTGGGTGCCTATAGTGGTCCTTTAAGGTACAAATCCAATTTAGAGTTGTTTGATAGACAAATCAGAGATTTTTTTTATTGAAAATGATCAGAAAGATACCTCACACATAAACAATTGGTGTGCCTTTAAATCCATCATGAGAGGTAATATAATTAGTATTCAGGCAAGGCACAAAGCAGAAAATAACAAAGCCTTGTTTTTGATACAAGCGTAATTAACAAAAGCCTCAATTAGGAATAAGCAGACTCCCTCTAGAGAAAACGCAAACGCTTTGAAACTGTCCAAAACCAAATTAACAATCTTCTCTTAGAAAAAAAACGCGAAGATTATGAACAAACTTAAATCCAAATTCTATTATAAAGGGAACCAAGCAGATAGGATCCTGACAAAAAAAATTAAGAGACAAAATCGGGCCAAGTAAAATAGTGAAAATAGCTGATGATGAAGGAGAATATCTGGATCCTAAAAAGATAGGAGAGAGATTCAATAAGTGCTATGGAGATCTGTATAACCTCCCTACCTCTAAAGTACTGGAGGAGGAATATTTAGGTAAAACTGAAACACTTATTATTTCATTAGATCAAAGTAATTATATGAATACCCCCATTACGGTTCAAGAAGTAGAGGAAGTAATAGGTAACTCAAAATCTGAAAAGACTCCAGGCCCCGATGGCTTCTCAAATCTATTTTATAAATCTTTAAAAAATCTAATAGCCTCTCACCTAACTGATATGTTCAACGATATCGTGTTGGCAGGCAGATTCCCCACAGAAATGCTGAGAGCAAACATTCTCCCAATTCTCAAGCAAAATAAGGATCCACTAAAAGGGGAAAATTACAGACCAATCTCCTTAATTAATACAGATGTAAAGATCTTTTCATCAGTACTGGCGAATAGACTAAAGGGGGTTTTGGCTAATATCATAAACAACGACCAAATAGGGTTCGTACCAGGGAGGGAATCTGTTGATAATTCTAGAAGGCTGTTGGACCTAATAAATGCAGCCCAAAAAAGTAAAAAGCCTTGATTTCTGTTGGCGGTTGATGCAGAAAAGGACAGGGTCGGTTTGGGTTTTTTTAAGGAAAACTCTGAGGTTGGATGCTTAAGGCAATTCTTGCGTTATATGAGGGTCCAACGGCAAGAACAGTAGCTTCTAATGTGCAGAATGGTTCACATTAAATAATGGAACGAGGCAAGGATGCTCGCTGTCTCCTATTTTATACATCATTACAATGGAAATCTTAGCTATTAATATCAGAAATAATCCACCAATAAAAGGTTTTAGGTTTAAGGACAAAGAATATAAACTTAATTTGTATGCCGATGACCTGATTCTGAACCTAACTGACCCTGTCGAATCATTGGACGCCTTAATGGAAGAAGTGAATAGTTACAGTTCAATTTCAAACTATAAAATAAATGTAAATAAATCAACATTCCTAGCTATTAACATCTCAAGGGCCAGTAGACTCTGTATAAAGGAAGAACATAATTTTAACTGGGCTAAAAACCAACTATCATATTTGGGAATAATAATCACTGATGACTCAGCTGACACTATGCAAACAAATTTTCTAAACACCTTTAGATCAACTCATGATTCTTTAAAAAAATGGAGTCAGGTCAAGCTATCATGGTGGGGAAGAATTAATCTGGTCAATTCGTATCTACTCCCCAAATGGTCCTACCTCATGATCCCCCTAAGAATGCCCCAACCATGGCTGGATATGATACAGCGTGATATAGTCAACTTCATATGGAAGGGAAAAAGACCAAGAGCTAACAAAAAATTATTGATGCAAAAGAGTAGGGAATAGGAGTATAAATTTTCCAAACGTAAATCTCACCTATCTCGCCAATATGGTGTTCCATATTTATAAGACGCAACTCTTAAGTTCTGAGGAAGAGGGGTGGTATCAATTAGAAGTGGAGATGTCCGAAGCGGAAAACTTGTTTATCCTGATGACCTAAAGGGACGAGAGAGTTAAGAAAGCGTGCTCTTTAAATAATTGTTTGGAATCAATCTTGTCGGAATGGGACAGGCTGAGAAATAGCAGTGGTATTGGTAATAAAATACTAGGAAACTTTAACTTCACAGTTATAAATACAAGGATGAGGGATATAGATATGAATTCATGGACAGGAAAAGGCATTTTATTATATTAAAGGACCACTATAGGCACCCAGACCACTTCAGCTTAATGAGGTGGTCTGGGTGCCTGGTCCAGCTAGATTTAACCCTTTTTTCTATAAAAATAGCAGTTTGAGAGAAACTGCTATGTTTATAAATGGGTTAATCCAGCCTCTAGTGGCTGCCTCATTGACAGGTTCCAAAGAGCCACTTCTGATTTTAACTGATCATAAGATCATTTGGGTTATATTGGGGACGCTAAGAGATTGTCCTCTCGTCAGGCTAGATGCTCATTGTTCCTCTCCCGATTCAATTTTGTAATTACGTATAGGCCCGGGACCAAGAACACCAAGGCAGATGTGCTGTCTAGGCAGTTTGAGACAGATGAGGTTCCTAAATAAGAGGTATTCCCTATCATACCTCCAGAATGCCTTATTGCTATTACAGTGTCTTCTCCACTCTTCTGTGCCATAATAGCAGATCAAAATCAGGCACCTGTAGAGAGACCTCCGGATAAACTGTACGTTTCACCACCATTAATGAAAAAGGTACTTGGATTATTCCATGATAATTTGACAGCAGGTCATCCTGGAGTCCATAAAACTCTCTCTGCTATTTCCAGGAGGTTCTGGTGGCCTACACTTAGGAACGACATCAAAGATTATGTAGGGGCATGTCAAATATGTGCCATTTCTAAAGCATCCCACAAATCTCCTCATGGGTTGTTACAACCACTGCCAATACCTAATGCTCCATGGACCCATTTAGCCATGGATTTCATGGTGGATCTGCCCAGTTCAAATGGATATAACACAATCCTTATGGTGATAGATAGATTCTCATAAATGGCACCTTTTGTACCTCTTAAAAAATTACCATCTGCTCAAGATCTTGTACAAATATTTTTGAAAGAGATCTTTCGGTTACATGGATTGCCTAAAAACATAGTATCTGACAAAGGTACCCAATTTATTTCTAGGTTCTGGCGTGCCTTTTGTAAGCAGTTGGGTATAAAACTTTAATTTTCCTCAGCGTATCACCCTCAGACTAATGGCACAGCAGAGAGGGCCAATTAGTCTTTAGAATCTTATTTACTTTGTTTTAGCGATGCCAATCAGTCTAACTGGTACGAACTCTTACCCATGGCTGAGTTTTCCAGAAATAATGCAACTCATGAATCATCTAATCATAGTTAATTTTTTTGTAAATCAGGGTTATCACTCCACTGTTGTACCTTCTGAATTTTCAGACACTGATGTTCCTGCCTTGAACGCCCGTTTGAATTCTATTCATGACACTTGGGATTCTGTTCATACAGCACTACAGAAGGCATCAAAACGTGCTAAGATCCAAGCTGACAAGAGACGGGGTGCCAATCCTGTCTATCAAGCAGGAGACAAGGTGTGGTTATCTACACGTCATATCAAACTTAAGGTTCCTTCCATGAAATTTGCCCCTCAGTACATAGGTCCCTTTCGGGTCCTCCGTCGTATTAACCCTGTGACTTATTCCTTGGCACTTCCTGCGCACATGAGAATTGCCAATTCATTTCATGTGTCCTTGCTTAAGCCACTTACTTGCAATCGATACACTAAAGTAGCTGCCCCTCCTCTGCCCTTGGTAGTGGGTGATCAGGAGGAGTACGAAGTTCGATCTATTTTGGACTCCAAAATCTCCAGAGGTATTTTGTCTTATCTAGTTGACTGGTCCGGATATGGTCCGGAGGAACATAGTTGGGTTCCCGCTGACCGGGTTCATGCGCCCCGTCTTGTCCGGTCGTTTCACAACCGCTTCCCTCACAAGCCGGCTCCTTCCCGCCCGGTGAGCGGTATTCGAGTGGGGGGTACTGTCGCGGTTTCCCGGCCCGCCGCATGGCGCATCCGTGCCCGACCGGCACGACCTCGCCGATATAGCGAGCTTACCTGCCCGTACGCGAGCCGGGAACTGCTCCTCCGCGTCTTCTGGGCAGTGCGCCCAAATCAAAGATGGCGCTCACCATGTGGTCACGCGCATCAAAGCTCCGCCCTTCAAAATTATAGTGTTTGTGACTAAGTGGCTACGAAGAAAGACTGGACATACCCCACTTGCAATACCTTGGGTTGTCTACTTTTGCAAATGGTATGCCATCATGGGGGTAATTCTCATTCCTGGGCTACTCAAAGGCAACATAACCAATCTGGCAAATTTCAATGTCAAAAAAATGAAATGCAAGCCTTATATGTGACTCTCTAACTTTCCAAAACACCATAAAACCTGTACATGGGGCGTACTGTTATTCTTGGGTGACTTCACTAAACACAAATATTAGTGTTTTAAAACAGTAAAACATATTACAACAATAATATAGTCCATAAAAGTGCTGTTCGTTTGTAAAAAATGCAAAACACTTTTACTTAAAATATCATCATTGTAATACAATTTACCAGCTTGAAACACTAATATTTGAGTTCAGCGAAGTCTCCCGAGTACGACAGTACCCCCTATGTACAGGTTTTATGGTGTATTAGAGAGTTACAGGGTCAAATATAGTGCTTGCGAATTAAATTCTCTGCATTTTCTCCCTGTGTTGTCAGGCATGTCAATCAAATTTTAATTAATCAAATCACATAATTATGTTAAAAGATTACTTAAATATACATATAGAATTTTAATATATATGCATTTATAGGTATTTAAATTCTACGTGTATACTAATGTAATCTTTTATGTTATTATATGTATCTATCTATATATATATATATATATATATATATATATTTGCGGTTATTTGTATTTTATATATCGATAGATATTTATATATAGAATGTCATTCTAAGTGTATTTTGTTACCAATATAGATATATATTAATAACAAAATACAGTTAGAATGAAATTACATATGAATATATAATTTATATAAAATTTTGTTTCAATATTTTATTTATTATTGTAATTATACGTGTATATATATATATGTGTATATATCTATTATAAATTTAATATATATACATTTTATATATATATGTAACGTGATTCTAAGTGTATTTTAATACTAATATATGTACTTATATTATTAAAATACTATGTATGATGTTACAGATATATATATATATTTTATATATACACATAATTTTTATTTTTAAACATGTTTAATTTATTTTACACTTCCCACCAGCAGGGGGACTGTCTGACATTTCAGACAGTCCCCCTGCTGGCAGATCCACCTCATTTGCAAGGGGAGGGCTGCCTGGGATGTCAGGCAGCCCTCCAGAAGAGGATCGCGGCGGAGGTAAGTACCGCCGATCTTCTGGGGCTGCAAGCCGTTACGGTGTTCTATGCTGCCGCAACGGCTTTAAAGCCCTTTTAATGCGGGACGGCATAGAACGCCATAATGGCGTTAAGGGGTTAAATTACTTTGTTTCTGTTTATGCAGCCCTAGCCACACCTCCCCTGGCTATGATTGACAGAGCCTGCATGAAGAAAAAAAAAACAAAAAACTGGTTTCACTTTCAAACAGATGTAATTTACCTTAAATAATTGTATCTCAATCTCTAAATTGAACTTTAATCACATACAGGAGGCTCTTGCAAGGTCTAGCAAGCTATTAACATAGCAGGGGATAAGAAAATCTTAAACAGAACTTGCAATAAAGAAAGCCTAAATAGGGCTCCCTTTACAGGAAGTGTTTATGGAAGGCTGTGCAAGTCACATGCAGGGAGGTGTGACTCGGGTTCATAAACAAAGGGATTTAACTCCTAAATGGCAGTGGATTGAGCAGTGAGGCTGCAGGGGCATGTTCTATACACCAAAACTGCTTCATTACGCTAAAGTTGTTCAGGTGACTATAGTGTCCCTTTAACAAAAATAAAGCCAAAATAGAGAAAAGTCATGTGTGAAAAAAAAAAAAAGTACACCTTATGATTCAATAGTTTGTAGAACTAACATAACCAGAAATAACATGAAGTAATAGTTTTCTGTATGACGATCAATCTCTCACATTAGGCCCACTCTTCTTTACAACATTGCTTCAATTCATTGAGGTTTGCTGACATTTGTTTATGCACAGCTCTCTTAAGGTCCTGCGGCAGCATTTCAATCTGGTTGAGGTCTGGACTTTGACTGGGCAATTGCAACACCTTGATCATTTTTCAGCCATTCTGTTGTAAATTTGCTGGGATCATTGTCCTATTGCATGAGCAAATTTCAACCAATCTTTAGCTGTTGGGACACTTGGCCTCACATTTGACTCTAGAATACTTTGGTTGACAGAGGAGTTCATGGTCCACTCAATGACTGCAAGGTTCCCATGTCGTGTGGCTGCAAAACAAGCCCAAACCATTACCCCTCCACCACAATGCTTGATAGTTGGTATGCTGTGTTTGGTTTTCTCCAAACGTGGCACTGTGCATTATGGCCAACATTTCCACTTTAGTCTAGGCCAGTGATGGCGAACCTATGGCACGCGTGCCACAGGTGGCACGCCGGGCCCTTTCTGTGGGCACGCGGCCACAGGTTCGCCATCAATGCAGAGTAGGCGCCTGCCCTAAACGGCAGGCGCCTACTCTGCTTCCGGGTCGGGAGGCAGGGGGAGGGCTCCAGGAAGCTGCTCCCCTGTCCTCCCGCGCGATGCTGTGTGGAGCGTTGCCGCGCGTTACCATGGCAACGCTCCACACAGCATTGCGCGGGAGGACTGGGGAGCTGCTTCCTGGAGCCCTCCCCCTGCAGTGCTTACCACCACCGGACCACCAGGGATCGCTGTCCCCCCTCCCCCCCTCTACTTCATTAAAGGTAAGAAGGAGGGAGGGGGGGTATACTGACACAGCACCCATACCCCCCAGCAGTAACCCCTACCCCCAGCAGTAACCCCCCCCCCAGCTCCCCAGCAGAACCCCTAACCCCCCCAGCAGTAACCCCTACAGCCCCCCCCCCAGCAGTAACCCCTACCCTCCACAGCAGTAACCCTACCCCCCAGCAGTAACCCCTACCCTCCCCAGCAGTAACCCCTCCCTCCCCAGCAGTACCCCTACCCCCCCAGCAGTACCCCTACCCCCCCGCAGCACCCTTACACATATAGCACACACACAGCACCCCCCACCTCAATGCAGTATGTGTATTCAGCAGTGTGTGTGTGTGTGTGTGTGTGCGTGTATTCAGCAGTCTGTGTGTGTTTGCGCGTATTCAGCGGACTGTGTGTGTGTATTCAGCAGTCTCTGTGTGTGTACTCAGCAGTGTGTGTGTGTACTCAGCAGTCTGTGTGTGTGTGTGTACTCAGCAGTCTCTGTATTCAGCAGTCGTGTGTGTGTGTGTATTCAGCAGACTGTGTGTATGTATTCAGCAGTCTGTGTGTGTGTGTGTATGTATTGCATTTGTTGGAGATACTAATAAATATAAGCTTAATTTTTATCTATTTATATCATTATTTAAAATGTGTATCATTGAACTCTGTGTTCTTTTAAAACAAAAGTTATTAGTTCGGACAACAGTACGAGTTTTTTTTCTAAACTTAAACCTCAGTATTTGGGTTTAATTGCCGTGTTGGCACTTTAAGGAGAAAAAATGTTGGCATGTATTGCGGTTTGGGCACTCGGGCTCAAAAAGGTTCGCCATCACTGGTCTAGTCTGTCCAAAGGACATCGTTCCAAAAGTGTTGTGGCTTGTCCAGATGCAGCTTTGCAAACCTAAGCTGTGCTGCCATGTTCTATTTAGAGAGAAGGGGCTCTCTCACAGAAACCCTTCCAAACAAACCATACTTGTGCAGTCTTTTATTTTACTGTCCCGAACTTTAACATTTAAACACACTGGGGCCAAGAGTCTGAGATGTAACTTGTGTTTTTTGCAATTTCTCTGAGCATTCCATAGACTGACCTTGGGGTGAATTTGCTGGGATGTCCACTCCTGGCAAAATTGGCAACTTTCTTGAATATTTTCCACTTTTGAATAAACTCACTCACTGTAGAATGATGGACTTTTAGCTTGTTTGGAAATTTGCTTCCTTAAATGCTTGTGGTAATACATTAATTGTGGATGGAAACATGACCTGAAAGGGTTACTTCAAGCAATTTGACCACTTTGGTGATTTGAAGAGGTCATGGTGTTTGAAATCTAAATGCAGCAATAGACTATGAAAATGCTGCACATGGAGAGTTTAACCCCTTTTGTAACTCCACCTCCAGTAGCGCCATTGGTATCATTAACCAGCCCATAACTCATCTGTGTATATTGGACATCTGTTAGCACCTTGGACATCTTGAAGATGAAGTATAATTTTAATTTATTCATATTGCTGGCATTTCACTAGTAAAATATACAGAGTCAATCTATGTACTTACCTGAAAGTGAACCATGTGCTTAGTGAACGCCCACTATAAATGGCAATGTTGTTTGTAGATACATACAAAATGGAGCTAGGTGGGTGTGTGTGTGTAATGGTTAGGAGCTCCTCAAGAAGTCTGATACCAATATTTTCTATGCCTTTATACACAAACTGAGTAAAATATACAGAGCACAAGACTGAATGGGAAGCACTAGTAATTGTATGGGCTTATTAATCTATACATTCAAATGCTCACTACAACCACAAAAGTAGAAACTTGTAAATACATCACAAGCTTCAGTTCTCACCCCCCTCAAAATTGCCTCTGCAGTGCCAAAAATCCATATATTCCCTCTTGTTTTTTCCTCCTCATTCTTTACCAGTGTAGTGACAGCTAAAGACAGTAACATTTGTATGCAAGGCAGCTATTGTTAAAGGGAATGGTTGTGTCCAGACTTTAAAGCTCGATACCAGACATGCTTTGGATCGACAGTGAGGTGAGCGAGCATACCTTTCGTGAGTCCAACCCTGGAGCTGCGTCTGATGCAGGCCAAGTTATTAGCACACATTCCCCTCACTGTCTGCTTGCAAGACAGGAATGCAGGACTAAGGATTAGGAGGACTAACTCCTTTGACATTGCAGGCTGCTTAGAACTGTGCTTAGAACAACAAAAATATGGTAATGTTTGCAAGACAGAAGAGAGAAGCTAGTTTACTTTAAGTGTAAAGAATTTATTAACCATTTTGTAAAAATGTTCAGACAACATGGTTTTTCAACCTGAGAACAAATATTGTTTTAAAGGGCAAGGTATAAAGTTGTCCATTTGTTGTATTCCTGTGCAACATTTAACAGATAGGCTTCTGGAAATGCTAAAGAAAATATGAACTAACCATAAAGCTATTGATATATCTTTAATTTCAACTCAATATCTTTCACAAAAGTGACAATGTAGGTATGTATGTAAAAAATAAAATATTCATATTACACATTAAAGTAGAGAATAGGCATTGATATAAACTCATGATTATATAACTGTAAATATGATAACTTGCATTAAAAATACTTCATATGTTCAAGGTAAAAGCATACTGTCTTTTGGGAATGCACAGCATGTGTTTACTGCATAGAATAAGGAAGGGGGGAGGGGGAGGAGCACAAGTTCCCATACATGTTTAAATACATAATAACGACTATATGTCTGTTAGATTGAAATACAGGATATGGCACAAAAACAAACACATTAAGCAATGAAAATAAGACGCATGCACAGTAAGAAACATTGCAGAGCAGATCATTAGAATTCAAGTAGTTGTCAAAATGCTCTGAATTAATTGCATTCTATTATTCCCTTTTGAGATATTACTCTGCTTATGATTCGAGATGTGTTAACTGTCCACATTATGTGGGTCAAGGCACTAGTTCTGCATTGGTTGTGCAAGTTAAGTCCAGAACACAATTGAACACTATGCTTCTTAAATAAAGTGGCTCTGTCAGTTCAAATGTGACCTTTATACTATTGTTTCTTCTTCTCTTCCTCTTTCAGAATCTGTTCTTCTTTTTAACATTTCTTATCTATTTCTCTTTAAAACATAATACGAAATTTTATCTATTTTGCTTTGGCATTTTTCCTATGCTTGACAATCCGGTTAAAGGGTGCAGCTTAAAGCACAAAGCAAACTCCACTTCTTTTGTCAAAATTGTCAAATCCAGAGAAAATACATACGACCAAGTTGATTTTAAAAAAAGTTTTAAAGAGAAATAAGGAAAAGAATGAAGGACACTGAAAGAGGAAGAGGATAAACATATAAGAAATGCAAGTGGTGACAGAACCACTTTAAGTGACTGACTGGCAGTTTGGTTTAACTGAAAGATTTGGACATGTCATTTTGTTTTGGATAAGTCCCTATAGCTCATTCACAGGGACAAATATGAAAGATAAACCAATAAAAAGAAATTCTACAGAGTGGTAGCATGGCTACTATTTGTCCAGTAGACCAGAAACTTAATACATATGGTGAACAGCATCCAATTAGGTAGCATTGTAGTCCTAATATGCCATTGCACTTGAAATGATTATTGTAACCTGCACTTTCTATGAAATGATTGGGCCACCTGAAACCATTAGGCAGTTGCTGGATTATCACTCCTATTAACTGCTAATTAAACGGCCTTTGATTCTTGTCCAAAACCATCACAGTGTAAATTCTCCTTTATTTGTTCCGGTGGTACAGAATTTACAAAACAATTATCCTTCTATAGCAGCAATAGTGCTTGACAAATATCTCTGTTGTCCATCTAACTTAAATGCACCAGCTTACATTCTAAAAGTACATGAAATCGTTAGTTTATTTTCTCCTGAAGCAGATATACTATTTGTTGTGGAAGAGACTCACTGTGATGTAAATTTGTTTATAGAATTCTATGTGATAAAATGGTACAAGTGCACAGAATTCCTAGCAGGAACTCCAGATATATTTGTGTTTTATCTATATGACGTGTCTTCGCCCACTGAATTATTGGCACACACAGTGAATCCTCAGACAGGATAAAGTAAGGCAAGTACCACAAAAGCAACCGAAAGAGGTGAGAATAAATAGCCTGTGCGTGGTAATTTAATGCAGTATTCATGCAGATACATATGTTGCTGTGAAGGTTAGTGCAGGTAACAGCCTCAGTGAACAGAACAAAGTCAAGTAGAATCTGATCATTTCTCTTTCAGTAAGCATTCTGTATGCTGCAACAGTTCTTCTAGGCCACAGGGGACATTGGGATCTATTTTCTTGCTAAGGTTTCCGAGAGCTTCTTAAGCCTTTTCTTCAACTCCAGAGGGAATTTCTCATAGCATTTCTTACAGACAGGCTTCATGTCAAATTCCACAAATTTGTTCCTTTAAAAAAATAAATAAAAAAAAAAAATATATTTATTCAGCTATTAATAGAGATCTATTGTGTTCTATAATAAACTTTCTAAAACAGAACTAATACAAATAGTAGAATAAAAAAACATTTATAAACCATACTTTCTTAAAATGTTAATAAGCCAAGAATATACACATATACATCTTCAAATTCACAAAGCTTGGTGCTAGTTTTTATCATGCAAGGTTAAATGTTTGCAGGGTGTCACTACCCTGCAGAATATGCTTAGGTTAGTCTAAAGTAGCGGGCATCATACAGGTCCACTGGATAAAAATAACCGAGATTTAACACCTCAGTTATATACTAAATTTAACTCTGTTGGTATCTGCTGAGCTGAATCCAGCGTTAGACAGCTGCATCATGTGTGAGAGGCACAGAGTACCTCAACCTGTGACAACCCAACACATTAATTTGGACAGACAGTGGTTCATATAACTGGAATCAGCTCAGTGAATATGTCATGTGTACCAAAGGAACAACTGCCCAACCTAACACTCAAAGCCAAGTGTGGCCAGGGTATACCCAACATCTTTATACATGTAACATTATGGCAGCTATGCAGCAACAAATTATTCTTTTAGTCAATTTTAAAAATGGTATATATGATATGTTGACATAGGCATTTTAAAAAAAATGTAACAGCAAATAATGAGGGGCTTGACAAATCCCAGGTCACCATGACAACTAGGAATTTTGTCCCGGAGCCTGCGATTTGTCAGCCTGTACAATGGAGGCGGCAAGGGAGAATTACTCCTACCTCAGCATCACTAAACAAAGAGCAGGAAGATTACAGCAGCCCCACGGAAAGCCAATACACTCCATTTCTCCCAAAGATAAGGAGGTTGGGTGGATTTAAATTAAAATAAAGTTTAAAAAAAAAATATTATAATTTCTGAGTGTCTGTCAGTGTGTGTCGAATTAGTCAGTATCTGTCCGTGACTGTCTGTACAGGTGAGCGCCCCCCCTCTGATCACATGGTAAAGGTGGTTTTACTCGCCTCCAGGCCAGAGAAAAATCAATCATGAATTGGCAGGCCATTGCGTGTACGCCGATCAGCATCTCCTCATAGAAATGCATTGAATCAATGGAGACAATCTCTAGGGGGAACATTCCGCACCTCCATGCAGAGCGTGAAGATGCTGAACGTAGGTACTACACACTGTGCAGTACTGGATTATAAATCACCTCTAGTGGTCGCCTGAGTGACTGCAACTATAGGTGTTACTAGGCAGCGATATAAGCACTGCCTTTTCTCTGAAAAAGCAGTGTTTACATTGAAAAGGCTGCAGGGACAGGCTATAGACACTAAAACGGCTACATTAAACTATAGTGGTTCTGATGACTATAGTGTTCCTTTAAGAATTGTATTTTTATCACTAAAAATAAAGCTTTGTTATTTATTTTTTTTAAACGGTCTTTTTTTGCTGGCTCCTAGATTTAAAGCACGTTTGTCAAGCCCTGAAATAATGAAATATTTCAGAGTGTTTTTCTACCTAATTTTAGATTGTGAATAATATAACATATATTAGAGTGTTTAATTAAACATTGAAAACATTAACCAAATAATTAAAATTGATCGGCATTCTAAATACAGCTGGTCTCTTAAACCCAAGCTCTGCGCATGAAAAGGTTTCTAACTACTCATTCATATAGGAAAGGGATGGGATTTCGAAATAACAGCTGGTATTATTTTCCTATATGTGCCCCTCATAAATGAATTACATATAAACACAGGTGCTACTTCTAAGTCCGAAAGCAAATATCTAGATTTTAAAGGGCATATAGAGCCATTCCAAAAAGTAAATAACCACCACTTTTAGCCAATTTTACCATTAAATATACATTTTTTATGGCTGTCACCATGATTCATTCTCCTCTTACTTGATTTTTATGATATTGCTGTAGAGAAGTGGTGTCATGCAGAACTACATGATGATCATAAACAACATGCTTTACTTTTCTAAACATATGTACAGTTTATTCTGCACACACGTACAACATTCAGGACATCCATCTGGTATGCATTCTTCTTATAAAATTGGGACAAAACTGCTATATGATTTGTCATTTCACCCTATTAGTAAGCATACAATGTGATCAAACACACACAAATGCATGCCACTAACCCAAGAAATAAAAGAGAGAGGAAAGTAAGAGTTCATAGACAGGATCCCTTTTTCTTTCTGTCTTTAGCCTCCTTTGCTTGCTTGGAAAGGCGGCGTTTAAACTCATCTGGCATTTTTTCATAACAGTGCTTGCAGGCTGGTTTTAGATCTATCTCAACAAACCTATGCCTTTGTGGTGCAGAAGGAAAGAAGGAACAGAATAGGTTTTCCGGAAGGAGAGCAAAGAAACAGAGTTATGTCAACTTCTAAACAACCATAAGAATCAATCACACCTAACATTGATTTAAATTGGACACATACTTAAAAATGGGAGTTAACACGTACACTTTATTGGCTCTACTTGAGGCCAGTATGTTTATAATTTCAGGAGCAATTACAATGATTTATATAGCACCAACATATACATAAATTATATTCAATAGGAATCAAGACAAACATTTATTTCTAAAAAATAAAATATGTATGACGTGTAGGAACAGTAGGTAAAGTGGGCCCTGCTCAAATGAGCTCACAATATAAAGGAGCACTATAACTTGATAATAAACATGTCCTTATGAGTGGTATGCAAGTAGCCATGCCCTGTCAATTGTGCCAATAGGTTCACTACAAGTGTAACCAGTTACAGTATAATTCCCACATTGCGAAAGTATACATTCACAACAATCTTTATAATGACCTAAAACCAAGCAATGATGGAATTACCTAGAATATATTTATGGGCATATGATTAAATTGTGTTTTAAGCACTGGTTTTGTTCAGTTATAGAAAGTAGACGTTAAATAAATTATATGGTTTCATCCAATTTTGTGACTGGCTGTGCTTTCCTTTACCATTTACTTCTAGTGAAAAAGCTACTTACTTGAGGGTTAACTTTGTATTGCAGGTGGAACAGGCAAAACAGTTCACGCACCAAGCTTTGTTCAGGGCAGATACAACTGGATGTACGAGATAAAAATCAGATTATTTGTGTTCTTGCAATCACAAAACACAGATCTATTAAACATCAAAACCACAGATATACTCCGCAATACACAGTTTGACAGTTACTGTGCAGTAAGGGATCCGTACCATCAGGGCTGAGTACGACATCCAGGTCTTAATGTGCCAAATATTTGTTGAGGCTTTCAGAGAGGAGACTTTCAGGAGGATGCAATGATATTTTGTACACAAGTTGTTTATTCATTTTTAAATAAACTCCATATCTAGTTACCTAGAGTGCCATTGTACTTGTGTGTGTGTGTGTGTGTGTGTGTATTACCAGTTTCTTTTCTTTCACAATGGACAAATTAACATGCCATTTTTTGTTGCATTTCAAGAAATACATTATCTGAAGCAAAAACAAAAAACACCATGGATACTTACCATCTCCTTCAATTACACGGTTGCAATGGAAACAAACATCGCCAAAAAGCTAAGGGAAAAAGACAGACATACCATTAGTGTATAGAAGAAAAAGAAGAATAGGTAGAGATAGGTTGCTAGGTAGAAAAATAGCCAGGGCCTCTTACCCAGTTTTCCCGCTCACCCAAATTGTCCTCTCTCCCATATTTCCTCACTTGTCTCTGCGTTCCATTTCCCTTTGTAGCTTTTGCCCCACTTTCCCATGTGACTCCCTAACTGCCTTCTGGGCTGTAGGTGTGGGTCTCCTTAGGTTTGGCCAGATCCTTTTGGCTGTCTGAGCTGAGCTTTGTTGGCTAGCCAAATGCAGGCCTGTTTAAGAGCTCCACTCGGTGCCTGGGCTCTTACAGAGTATCAGTCGGAACTGGAGTGCTCAATGTAGACAGACATAAGAACATGACAGAGCATCATATTCCCACATTCTTCTGACACTTCGCAAAAATACTGGGCAATGAGCTGAGAAGACAAGGTCTGTATCGTCCACTCTCCCAGTGAGATTTGAGGCTTTATTAGAATCATATATGGGATTCATACCCATCCAGTTCCCCTCTAGAGATAACCCTGCATGTATTATTACCACAAAACAGCATGGTTTAATTAAAGCTCTCAGATTTTTTGGTTCCTACGCTGATGGGGTCAAGGGAGCTATGACCACTTGTGTTATATTAGTTTCTATAGACAACCCTTTTCTTTCTGCTTGTATAGGGGATATAAGCAGATTAATTCAACCTAAATAAAAAGAATGATCATTTCCTATACAAGGTTGATCTATGTTTTGAAGTTCTAATGATGTCAGGAAGAGAGTGTAAATATACTGACACCTTGTGGCTAACTATTTTAGGGAAGCTAAAATTGTTGTTTGCTTACCACTTGCAACATTGTATCAAATGTCAGGGCACAAAGGATTTAGTTTACACAAGAGCTACACAGTAACAAAATATAACAAATATTCACTACAAGAAAAAAGAGAACTGATTTACAACAGACTCTTGTAAACAAGGTTCAATTACAACAGACTCATTATAAACAAGGTTCAATTATTCTTTTAGATTTTTATTGTAACTACTTTATTTATTCCAATATATTTTAATGGTTATGCTTTAATTTCTATTCTATGTCAAAAATGTGTATGCAACAATTCTAATCCTATTATTCCAAAAAATTTTTTTAAAACAATCAAGATGACCATCTGTAGTGTATACGAGCTATCACACAGGAGAACTAGCCTTTTCTTTACTTACAGGAACACTCCAAACCCCTAAAGCACTCCAGATAACTTTAAAGCTTAGCAGAGTGTCCCCGTGGTCTTTATTTACTAACTTTATTCCATGCAGGATAAACATTTTTATAAAGCTCCAAGGTTGCACCATCTTGCTAGTCAGATCTGAGTGTTCACATAAGACCAGCCTTTAATGGTTCTTTATGAGTAGCATTTTACTGGCACATAATGGTGATTGCCACATATGTGCCATAGGACATCAATGCTTCTCTACAAGAAGCATTGGTTTGGGCCAGGAGATCCCATTAGTGGATCCAAAGTTTCTTCCTTACCACTATCCTAAAACTCTGCTCAAATTTTTTGCCTCTCATGCAGCTCTGTCTCATATACTATTTTTACTTAAATCTGTCAATCTTGCTTGGTCTTCTATATCCCCACTGTGCAATAGCAAAATGCTGTGAAATATGTTATTACATAAATGATAATGTGTTTGACATGCTGGCAGTTTAGTGTTGCAATTTCTTAAAATTGGACCCAATATCACAAGGGTAAAGAAAGTGCTTTTATTTTTATTTTTTAAACAAAACAAAGACCTGGATATTGGAACAGCTTAGACCACGTATTGAATCCGCAACTTTACACAAAGGTACTGCGTGTTCTGAGCCACTCACCTGGTTGTAATGTGTCTCACAATAAGCCAGCCCCTTTCTCTCATAATGACGATGGCCAAGGAAGGGCTTTTCGCACTTTGCACACACAAAATGCTGGAATTACAGATAAACCATAAGTTACAATATCAAATAAAAATATTAAAACAAAACAACAAACACACACCTCACAATCATACAATTTCACAAGAAAAAGCACCTTTCTATAATGGAAATAACTGTTGAGATGGATGGATTACAACATACAGTATCCTTAATAAATACTACTAATAAATCTAATCATATTCAACAGATTTTATATAATATATATGTATTTTAACGATTCTCAATTTTGTAAGCTAGACAAAGAAAGTTTTGTCAGTCATACAGTGTGTGAATAAGTTTTCATGAAACTGACCTTCAGCAAAAGGCTCGCACAGACTGTGCAGTGTCGGAATAATAACATGTTTTGATATGCTTTGTTATCAGTAGACTCACATACAGCTATAAATATAACAGAGAATGTTATGCTATTTCAACTATACAGATGATACTCGATAAATTAGAATATTGTGCAAAAGTTCATTTATTTCAGTAATGCAACGTAAAAGGGGAAACTAATATATGAGATAGACTTATTACATGCAAAGCAAGATAGTTCAAGCCGTGATTTGTCATAAATGCGATGATTATGGCTTACAGCTCATGAAAACCCTAAATCCACAATCTCAGTAAATTAGAATATTACATGCAATCAATAAAACAAGGAGTGTACATAGAACAATATCGGACCTCTGAAAATTATAAGCATGCATATGGACTCAGTACTTGGTTTGGGCCCCTTTTGCAGCAATTAATGCCTCAATGCGGCGTGACATGGAAGCTATCAGCCTGTGGCACTGCTGAGGTATTATGGAAGACAAGGATGCTACAATAGCGGCCTTCAGCTCTTCTGCATTGTTTGGTCTCATGGCTCATCTTTTACTTGGCAATGCCCCATAGATTCTCTATGGGGTTCAGGTCAAGCGAGTTTCCTGGCCAATCAAGCACAGTAATCCCACGGTCATTGAACCAGGCTTTGGTGCTTTTGGCAGTGTGGGCAGGTGCCAAGTCCTGCTTGAAAATGAAGTCAGCATCCCCATAAAGCTCGTCTGCGGAAGGAAGCATGAAGTGCTCCAAAATTTGCTGGTAGACTGCTGCGTTGACCCTGGACTTAATAAAGCACAGTGGACCAACACCAGCGGATGACATGGCTCCCCAAATCAACACAGACTGTGGAAACTTCACACTGGACTTCAAGCATGTTGCAGTGTGTGCCTCTCCATTCTTCCTCCAGACTCTGGGTCATTAAAAAAGAGGACTTTGGACCACTGTGCAACAGACCAGGTCTGTTTTTCTTTATCCCAGGTAAGACGCTTCTGACAAGAGGAATACGACATCTGAAGCCCATGTCCAGGATCCGTCTGTGTGTGGTGGCTCTTGATGCACTGACTCCAGCCTCAGTCCACTCCTTGTGAAAGTCCCCAACACATTTGAATGGCTTTTTTGCTGACAATCCTCTCCAGGCTGCGGTCATCCCTGCTGCTTGTGCACTTTTTTCTTCCACACTTTTCCCTTCCACATAACTTTCTATTAATGTGCTTTGATACAGCACTTTGGGAACATCCAACTTCCTTCGCAATTACCTTTTGAGGCTTTCCCTCCTTATGGAGGGTGTCAGTGATAGTTTTCTGCACAACTGTCAGGTCAGCAGCCTTCCCCATGATTGTGAGTCCTACTGAACCAGACTGAGAGACCATTTAAAGGCTCAGAAACCCATTGCAGGTGTTATGGCTTACTTAGCTGATTAGAGTGGGGCACTGTGAGCCTAGAATATTGCACCTTTTCACAATATATTCTAATTTACTGAGATTGTGGATTTGGGGTTTTCACGACCTGTAAGCCATAATCATCGCACTTATGACAAATCACGCCTTGAACTATCTTGCTTTGCATGTAATGCGTCTATCTCATATTAGTTTCCCCTTTTACAATGCATTACTGAAATAAATTAACTTTTGCACGAAATTCAAATTTTTTGACTATCACCTGTACATTTATGATTCTGGTATTATTTCTGAAAGTGAATAATTTAGCTTTTATGTAAATCTGTATAAAAGCCCAACAGTACATTGCTCATTAGCAACACAATGAATTAAATCTAACTAGCAGTTGCAAAGTGTGATCATAGTTATCTGCAGCTGGTGTATCCCCTATGAGAACATCATCAACATCAGATACCTACTCAAGCAATTTTTCTGTTGTTGCAAAACTCTATTGTAGGTTCTAAAAATATTACTATACCTTTATCAAAAAATGAAAAGTGAAAAAAATTTCAGACCACAGTTTGAAAAGTAGCTTAGTAGCTACAAATATTTGTAATTTTCGTGTTGGACAAACTAAATACATATAAAACATCAGAAAGTGTTTGACAGCAATGTGCCTACAATAATATAGCTCTATATCGTAATTTGATAAGACATGATCGTCATAAGACACATTTTTAAAAAGTGCATATTTGTACAAACATTTTACTTTGCACATAAACCTAAATCATCACAGTCCCATACCTCAACGTGCCATTGTTTGCCCATAGCATTGACAACCCGCCCTTCAATTGGTCTCCTGCAGGCTCCACAGATAGGGACACCCATCTTATCATGGCAAGGTAGACAGTACAGCTCCCCTTTCAGCTCACGGGCATCAGACGTCAGCTCTTTTCTAAATTATTAACAAAAAGGCCATTTCAAAACCAACATTATTTATAAAAGACTGAAAAAAGCTATGGATGGAAAAGAAAGTAAAACACTGTGTGAGAGATTATGTTATACATATGTTGATCAAAAGTGCGGTGCAGATACCCAGAGGGCTGCAAGACGAATTAAATATCAATGGGTAGCTATTTGCATGTAATTTGATCTCTTGATTTCACTAGAGAGGTTAAAAGATCACTATAGTGTCAGGAAAACAAAGCATTTTTCCTGACACTATAGTGCCCTGAGGGTGCCCCCACCCTCAGGGTCCCCCTTCAGCAGGTCACCTTAATCCAGTGCCGGATTACAGCCACTAGAGGCTGGATTAACCCCAAATGTAAACATAGCAGTTTCTCTGAAACTGCTATGTTTGCATCTGAAGGGTTAAAACCTGAGGGACCTGGCACCCAGACCACTTAATTTAGCTGAAGTGGTCTGGGTGACTATAGTGTCCCTTTAATTACAGAACAAAGTTCAATATCTGGAGCAAAACACACAAGGAAACTAATTATCTGTTTCAATGCATCTCCATAAGCAAACTTCAGTGTCTCCATTCAGAAAGTAGGAGTGGCCAGTAGAGGTATCCCTGGGCTGTATTGTAAACACTGCATTTTCTCTAAAAATAAAATTTCTACTGCAAAAAGCCTGACTTTGTGCTCACCAGAACAAAGTTGTTCTGGTGACTATAGTGTCTCTTTAAAGGATCACTATAGGGTCAGGAACACAAACATGTATTCCTGGCCCTGTAGTGTTAAAACCACCATCTAGCCCCCCGGGCCCCTCATGCCTTCATAAATATAGCACAATCTTACTGTATTCAAGCCTGAAGCTGTAACTCTGCATGCTGTTTGCCTGAAAAGAAACAAGCAGTCTGCTGACATCATCAGAAGTGGTAGCCTGATGCAAACACAGTGCTTCCCCATAGGATTGGCTGAGACTGACAAAGAGGCAGGTCAGGGGCAGAGCCAGCACAATTCAAACACAGCCCTGGCCAATCAGCATCTCCTCAGAGATGAATTGAATCAATGAATCTCTATGAGGAAACTTCAGTGTCTGCATGCAGAGGGAGGAGACACTGAATGTTTGGATGCATTTTAGGCAGCCATGACCCAGGAAGGATCTCTAACAGCCATCTGAGGAGTGGCCAGTGAAGTTATCACTAGGCTGTAATGTAAACAATGCATTTTCTTTTGAAAGACAGTGTTTACAGCAAAAAGCCTGAAGGTAATGATTCTTCTCACCAGAACAAATTCAATAGGCTGTAGTTGTTCTGGTGACTGTAGTGTCCCTTTAAGGTAAAGGTTTAAGCTTTGAGTGCTGGAGTTATTTGCAAAGTACTTACTCTGGTATATCGTCTGTAAACCAGTCAGAGTGAAGATATTAGAGCTGCAGGAGTAATTATACAGAGTGCATTAGTATGCACCTGCTCCTCCTACAAAGCATTTCCTGTGTGAGAGGTTAGTAGTGGCAGATGGGAAATGACACTGGAGGAGCAGGGACAGCACCAAGTTTTACCTCCTCTATAAATGGTCATGCAGCTCTGCCATCATGGCTAACTGGACTGCAGGAGACACTAGCCAAGGAAGGCACCTTTTACTTCGCTCTCCACACCATCTTATTTAAGCTCAAAAACGAACATCATAAATGTTGAAAACAGGTGCCCCTAGTGGTCAGGCGCCTTTTCTCCCTAATGGGAATTCTATCTTTGTAATTGTGATAGTAGAAGAAATGTTTGATAGTGGATTAGACAAGTTGATTATTAGAGCTGCATTCCTGTTCGTATTATTTTCTAATATGGCTCTGCACACTATTACACCAGCATATGAAATAATATATGGACATGTTGCTCCAATATAGCCATTGCAGACTCAAACAGGGGCTGCGTACAGACAGTAGGAATAAATCTATAAATAACATGCTGTCACCAGACATGCCTTTCATGAGACTAAATGCTATTACAAGTAAAGCATGTAAGATTAACCATACGTATAGGATTACAACCACACACATAGAAAATGAAGGAAGAGAGAGAGAAAAAAAAATAACTATACATCTTGTACTATTCTAGTGATACCATACCAAAAAATAGACACCTAAACAGGGCACTCAGAAAGATGGCAGGTAATATCCGACTTGCTCCATTTTTGCAAAAGATCTACAATATGTGCAGCTTACCCACAGTTGGCACAATTGAAGTGATCTGGGTGGTAAGGATCATTCTTGAATATAAGAGGATGTTCCTCAATAATGGCATGGCATTTTTGGCAGATGTATTTGCCCAGTCCTCTGGCTTTCTCTCTGTTGTGACAAGGACGGCACAGGTGTCTGGGAGTGAAGAAAGAGAAAAAGAAAAATCAGGATGCGGAATAAGGCATGTATCATATTTAGACACATCAAGTTCCTTAAAAGTTCACTATAGTGTCAGGAAAACAAACTTGTTTTCCTGACACTATCTAACCCTTAGGTCCCCCCTACCCTCAGGGTCCTCCTTCAGTCACTTACCATAATACAGCACCGGGCTTCCTCGCGAACGTCAGCTCCCAAGTGGAGCAGAATGCGTATGCACGGCAACAGCCACGCGCGCATTCAAACAGTGCATAGGAAAGCATTTCTCAATGCTTTCCTATGGACGTTCTGCTCGCTGAATGCGATTTTCGCATCCAGCATCGCAGAAGCGCCTCTAGCAGCTGTCAGGAAGACAGCCACTAGAGGCTGGATTAACCCTGCAATATAAACTCTGAAACGGCTATGTTTACATCTGTATGGTTAAAATCTGGGGGACCTGGCACCCAGACCACTTCATTGAGCTGAAGTGGTCTGGGTGACGATAGTGTTCCTTTAAATCTTGAAAAACAAACTGCAAAAAGAACACTCTCCAAAATGGATCATACATGAGATAGAGCAAATTGTTTGCAAATTATTGAAAATTTGTATATAATTAAATATACAAAGAGATCTTACCTGCCTGCATTCTTAACAAATCCAATATCTGCCAAGACCTGCTCACATAGATCACAGCGAAAACATTCTGGGTGCCAGCTATTGTTCATTGCCTTAATAACACGACCAATTATGAATTCACCTGGAGACAAACATGCCAATCATTGGTAAAATCACTATGCTTATTTAGTACAGACTGCAAGGAATTAAAACATCCCTGGAGCCAGAAAGCCTCAAACTATAGCTAAAGGCACTCACACAACTTTTTTTTTTAATACAAGGGCATAAGCAGGGAAAATAGAGAGGTGAGAAAGAATACAAAACGTGTAACAGGAGAAAAATAAATAAATACAAAACAAGCTGATGTATAGTGAAAATTATCGGAGAGAAATGGGTCAAAGTAATAAGGTGTCATTTTATTATTGGTGTGATTAATCTAACCATTTACATGACTGTCTTGTAGGCTGGTGGTTTATATACAGAATAAGAAACTTTATGACAGATTGCATGTGCTTAAAGAGAGCCATGTGATTCTGTGAAAAAATATGGCCTACGTGGAAACAAATATTAGTCAGAGAAACAAGACTGTAGTTCCTTGCAGTTGGCAGGACATCCATACTTTTTAGTAATTGTTAACAGTATTAAATTGTGTTCTCCATCGAATGTCACTGGTCTTTAAGAGATTAAAATGTGCCTATCCTGGTGCCACTTTATAGGCAAGCACTTAAATGATATAACGTTACTGTCTTCAAGTAAGGGGTTATGTCATTTTTTGGTGATGTTTCATTGTTAGTTGCCTATAAATAAATATACTCACCACACTGATGACAGCAGGGGGCAAACAGCATTTGGAAGTCATGTTCACAATATTTCCTTCCCTCAAACTGAAATAAGAGAAAATTATAAAATTATCATTTTGATAAAATAAAATGTAAAAAACTAACTAAAATATATAGAACATTATTTAATAAACTGAAATCCATAAACAACACTTCACTTTGAAAAGCAGATTTGGTTACTAAACTAATAATGTTCAGCATTTGTTGAAAGTATTCCAACGTAACAATTTAAAGGGGATTGTCACTTCCAAGGGTTTTTAAGAGGTTTAATTATCCTGTAAACGCTGCATAGAAATCCATACCTCTTACTTGTAACTGAGCATCTCCATCTTGGTTCCCTGTCAAACTTTGTTATAAATGTTTTAAAATAGTTAATTTTGCCATTGAACATAGTAATATATAAGAAACCCAAACAATGTTTCCATACGCCTCATCAGTCTGGATAGTCATTTGCTAAATCATTTATGTGTGTTTTCAAAGAAAAAAGGCCATTACATGGAAAAAATTTTTTAACACAAGTTACAGGTGATTTCCAATGTTTTATTCAATTGTGTACTTTCCAGAGAAGTGACATTTACACTTTGAAATGTTATATAGATGCAAATATACATGACACATACATAGAAACAAGCGCTTCACTTTTACAAAGGTCCATGGCAAGTACTGAAATGTTAGAAAGAAAGGCTTGTCAGCAATCAAATGAGCTTCACTTATGACAAATTAGGAACATAACTTATGATCTCTCCAACACCTTTCATATGTGTTTTGCAATAAAATGTATTAAATGCTGTTGATCCTTCCCATATTTTATGGGAGGTTTCACAAACATTGAGAAGTCGAAAGTGTGTTGATCTAGTTACGGGTTGAAAACATATCTAATGCTACTACGGTGAGCACATGTATCTACATGACTGTGCGCCACATTCCATTTAAACAGTTAATAATAGAAAGTTGCTGAACATTATGGCACTCCCTGGACACAATACTCAATTATCTACTGCACGATTATTACATTAAAATACCACCAACTTCTGCAGCACTCTGTGATGGGGAACAAAAAAGTACCTAAAGCAAAAACAAACGCACAGGAAATTAAGTCATGCAAAGTCAAGGGTGGTTGAAATGTTCCAGTGAGAAGCACCATAATTTTTAATACTGGGAGTGCTGGGCTGTTTTTGATTACATAAAAGGGTACCCAAATAGGCATCAACCGATCCTTTTCCAGATCCAAAGCTGATAAAGATTATTAGTCGCCATCTTTTGTCTTTTGAGTGCTGGGCTGTTTTTGATTACATAAAAGGGTACCCAAATAGGCATCAACCGATCCTTTTCCAGATCCAAAGCTGATAAAGATTATTAGTCGCCATCTTTTGTCTTTTGAGCTGATAACCAGTGTGGATATTCTGTCCATTTAATGTTTTTTAAAAAAGCAGCACAATTTCTACAGAAATCTGCCATTAAGTGGGCATGTTGACAGCCATCACACAATCACTCTCAAATGGCCAATACATGTACAAAGTTGTTAATAATAGGAGTGTGATTGCCGTCATTGCACTCCTATCATTATCAGATAACCAGCCCAGTATATTGCCATAGATTAGTCACTATCTCACCTACCTGCCTTCAGCTGAGCTCCGCATGCGGAGACTCATAGGGAGGGGTGATGTAAGGCAGCTGGAGTTTCTGGATGCAGAAAATGGCATGCATTGACTGGGTAAGGCGAATATTTATTGTTAATTATTCATTAAATGACCTGGCCAAAACAGATCAGATATATGCTGAATATTGGCAAAAAGAATTAGTAGAACCAACAATTGGTCAATCACAATGACAATAATTGTTAGTATCCACTTACATTCTGACAACAGGAGAGCTTTGTGACACAGAGTGACCGGAGGTTGTGAATTGTTCTGCTTAATCTTAAAGGGTCACGCCAAACGCTATAATCACTTTAATTTGATTAAGTTGTTATGGTGTCGAGAGTGCCCCTTTAAGTGACCTCTGCTTTGAACATCACCGTCAACTGTAGCACATAAAAGGCTAGTCATGGCGATGATTAATGTGTCCTAATTTGCAAATGACTCCTGAATGGCTAGATCGAGCTGCTAGCAATAAAATCAATCAGGCATCAGAGATTACATCCATTGACATGAACAAAAAAAATAAAAAAATAACCCCATAATGTAAAATGCTTGATGGCCAGTATATTGAATGAATGCCATTTTTGCAACAGTAAAAGGATCTGCCCATACCATTAAAAAGTAGATATAATACAGCCTTTAATTTTGAACTTTGACATTACTTGCCCACATTCGTCATGCAAGATCTCATTTCTTAATAAGTTGCTCAATGGTGAACAGGATGGACTCGGATCACAATACACATTGCACTCTAAATATAGTTTATCAAGAGTAAACACAATGCAAAGTATGGCTTTTACTTTATAATGTAAGAAAAACAGATATAGGAGTTGTATATTAAATTGCATAAATGGATGGCTGTTTTTAACATGAAAGGTACAATGGGGTAGAAAACACAAAAGTAAAAACTATTGATAGTAAACGTGCAAAATCTGGTTTTAAACCATTCGTCTGAATAAAATTCCTGGTAATCATCGAACAAATTCATAGAGAAAATAAAAATGACTAATTCAGAATATTTGGTTCATTTATGGAAGATTCAAATTTCTGGAATCTATCGATTGCCAGGAATCTTATTAGACTAATGGCTTGAAGCTAATTTGTGCACATTTAGTCAGTATATAAAATACTGGACACCTGATGGTTCCTGGGTTCAGAGGACTGCAACACCTCACTATGTTCCAGATCCTGACTCGGCAAGCAGGCCAGCTCCATCTGTCAGGACTCAGGCCCAGAGACTCGCAATATCACGCTATGTTGCCGGAATGTGAGGTACCCCATGACATGCATCCGCTCAATTAAATCCCAGACTGAGTAATCAGTACTGCCAAAGAGGCTTTGCCGAGGCCCACATGTGGCATAGGGTGCAGGCACCGCGCAGAGTTTTTACTAGCCTTACGACAGAATTGTATTTTCACTCTTTTATATGACTCCACTCCCAGTGGTATTATGTACTTGTTTTTTGTTATCGGTTTTGCTCTATACTCTCCTGTTAGCCTAAGCATGCTACTACTCATGGGCATAGTTCCCTTAATCTAATTTTTGCAACCAGTGCCCCCTCTGTCAGCCATTCGCCTCCCTCAACTCTCCATGAGCTGACCGCCCCACTCCCTCAGCAATAAATGAGCCGGCCTCCCCACTCCCTCTGTCAGCCGCCTGCCTCCCTCTCAGCTCTTCATGAGCCGATTTCTCTCCCTTATGCCTCAATGAGCCGGCCGGCCACCTCCCTGAGCCCCCAGTGCCGACTGTCCACCTTTGCTCTCAGGCAGCTGGTCACCTCGGGGGCTGAAGAAGCTCACAAATCCCAGGTGCCAGTACAAATTTCCTGGTCACCATGGCGACCTGGGATTTGTCGAGCCCTGCTTTAAAGGTATCTTCAGAAAGGCAACCAAATCAATGATTAACTAACAAAGAATACAGCGCAACAGCTACTAGCTTATTGCCTCCCAGAGTAACCTCTACCTTACATCTGTCTCTTGCTCTTTCCTAAAAGGCAGCACTCTCTCTCCTTCAGCTCTGCTTCACTCCCATCTTATTTGATTGCCATTTCCTGTCCTAATGTGTTTTATACCCCACCTCCTATATACTGTAAGTTCGTTTGAGCAGGCTCCTCTTCAACCTTTCGTTCCTGTAAGTTTTCTTGTAATTGTCCTATTTATAGTTAAATCCCCCCTCTTACAATATTGTAGAGCTGCAGAATCTGTTGACGCTATATAAATGGCAAAGATAATAGTCCTGCGTTTAAATAGGATGGGTAACTGCTCCCCACAATTCCAGGCTCTGCCTTAAAACAAAACAAACACACACCATTCCATTTTTTCTATATTTATACATCTACTCTTTTGTGTAACAGGCAGCATCTCTCTCTGTTAGTGTGGTATAGGAACTATGACGGCAACTGAACAAGACAGAGACCCACTGACAACGCAGAGGAAAGGAGAGTTAATGATCTACTGACAATTTTCACTGAACTAGCACCAGTCCAAGTTCAATCCCCTTTGTATTTCACATTCAAATACACATGAGGGATACAACAGTTCTTTAACTATAAAATATTTTATCATCATGAATTTATTATTCAGATTTGTTTTCCCTTATCACTTACACCTCACATAAGTATTTTGTATGCTTGTGTCTGCATTACCACTCTTAAAATGGTTAGAAAATGAAATAAACCACACCTTTGTTGCATATGCACGGTTATGTCTTTCCAATCGATATAACATAGGTTAGCCCTTAATCTGTATCTGTCCGCTTTCTTATAGAGTAAGTCATTATACCAACAAAATATCACTATAAGGTAGGATGGTTCACTAGGTTTCCAATTCTGTAGCTGAAGAGGAGAACCATTCCAGCTGGAACATGAACTATGGGGTTAAATTCATGAACAGTTTAATCCCTAATGGTAAGGAAGCACCAGGGACCTTCTAGTACCATAACAACTCAATTTCGATGAAGCTGCTATGGTGCCTGGAGTGTTCCTTTAACGCTGTCCTAAAGCAGTCCTGTCACGTAAAGAGACACTGTAGGCACCCCACACCCTACATCCTTTTATCTTATTACAGTGGTCTGGTTGCAGAGTCTCTGTTCACTTAACCCTGCAATGTCAAACATTACAGTTTTTGAGGAACTTGCTGCGCATGCGCATTAGGTCTTTTTGTTTTCACATATTTTTATGTTAAAGGACCACTATAGGCACCCAGACCACTCCAGCTAGGATTAACCCTTTTTTCTATAAACATAGCAGTTTTTTATAATTGGGTTCATTCAGCCTCTAGTGGCTGTCATATGGACAGCCGCTAGACGCGCTTCTCACTGTGAAAAATCACAAAACAAGTATGTTTTCCTGGCACTATAGTGGTCCTTTAAAGGTGATGTTCTACAGTGGGCAAAATCTTAGAAACAGTATAGCATTCTACAGAGAAATACTTAGTTAAAGAAAGAGTCAGTCAAGGAGGTAAACCTCACTGTTGTCTGACTTTAAAGTAACACTATAGTGTTAGGATTACACATGTATTCCTAACACCAGTGTTAAATTAACGGTTTAGGTATTTAGCCCCTCTTTGTGGAGTTAAAAGGTTGTTTTATTTACCCTTTCTCCATCGCAACGCCGGCCTCTATGTGACTGAAAACAATCTTTATGATCTCAGCCAATCCAATGCTTTCTCATAGGAAGCATTGTGAGGCTATTGCGCATGCAAAGCAAAAACACCAAATCGCTCAGAATTTCCACTCTAGTACATTTAGGGCAGGTATTTATGCTTTGTACAGGACTACAATACAGTATACTTTTTATATTTTTTTACTTAAAGAGAGGTGGGGGAGAGGTGGTGGTTTATATAGCTTTTTGTTTTGGGCTTTTTTGTCTCGTCATCTAGCGCTAATGTACACTGTGCACGATGTACCCTGTAATGTTAACATGGTTTAAAGATATACTTTACTGAGACTTTTACTTTATAGTGCTGGTCTAGAACCTAACCTGCCATATTAGCGAAGTATGCCTGTAAAATGAAAGCTTTGCAAGCAAAAATCTCTCTCTGTATTTAACCACTCATATTAAGATCAAAGATTTGTGAACAATTATCTTTCCATCTGTTGCCCATTTGTACAAATCTGAAAACTCTGAGCAAACCTTCCCTGTATTGTACCATTAATTTTAATTTGAAAGCACTGAGCAATCAGTTCTCTCTGTTTCACCATTCATCTTAAAGGAACACTATAGTCACCTAAATTACTTTAGCTAAATAAAGCAGTTTTAGTGTATAGATCATTCCCCTGCAATTCCACTGCTCAATTCACTGTCATTTAGAAGTTAAATCACTTTGTTTCTGTTCATGCAGCCCTAGCCACACCTCCCCCTGGCTATGATTTCACATATCATGAAAAAAAAGCCTGCATGAAAAAAAAAAAAAAAAAAAAAACTGGTTTCACTTTCAAACAGATGTAATTTACCTTAAATAATTGTATCTCAATCTCTAAATTGAACTTTAATCACATACAGGAGGCTCTTGCAGGGTCTAGCAAGCTATTAACATAGCAGGGGATAAGAAAATCTTAATTAATCAGAACTTGCAATAAAGGATGCCTAAATAGGGCTCTCTTTACAGGAAGTGTTTATGGAAGGCTGTGCAAGTCACATGCAGGGAGGTGTGACTAGTGTTTATGAATCCCTTCATAAACAAAGGGATTTAACTTCTAAATGGCAGAGGATTGAGCAGTGAGGCTGCAGGGGCATGTTCTATACACCAAAACTGCTTCATTAAGCTAAAGTTGTTCAGGTGACTATAGTGTCCCTTTAATATGGGGGTCCCTTTAATATTCCCCTTCCCGTCTGCTTGCAGTGTCAGAGGAGCGTCTGGCCTGCTTGAACAGAGAAGAGCAGGGCTGGAACTGGAGGACAGGTGGCTCATCTTAAGGTGGTGGAAGAGGCCTGGGGGGTGGGGGTTCCTGTGTAGTGAGGGGGGAGTGTATTGAATTGGGCAGGGGAGGCAGTGTATTAATTTGGGGGTGGGAGGGAGTGGGGCAGGGTATTAGAGTGGGTGGGAGCAGTGTGTTAAATTGGGGGGAGGGCAGTGTATTACATTTGGGGAAGGAGAGGGATAGTGTATTAAATTGGGGGAGGCAGGGCAGTGTATTAAATTAGAGTGCTGGTAGGAGGAGCAGTGTATTCAATAAGAGTGGAGGGAGGAGGGACAGTGTATTGGATTTGGGGGCAATGTATTGGATTTGTGGGCAGTGTATTAGAGTGGGGCTGCATGGAGGTGCTGAACGCTCCCCATGGAGGTGCTGAACGCTCCCCATGGAGATGCTGATTGGCCGAGCAGCTTTTTGCCACACATGCACAATAGCCTCCCAATGCTTTCCTATTGCAAAGCATTGGATTGGCTGAGATCATCAAGTTTGATGATCTCAGCCAAAGTGAAGAACACACTCACAGGACTTCAAAATCAACAAGAGAACATCATTTGGTTTTTACAACTATGCAACAGCAGACATTCACCATTTTAGTCCCATTACCAAACTTTTCTTAATATGTCAAGGTAGTTGGACTGAAACATTGGTTATATGGAAATGCACATCTCCTTAAAATAAATTTACTCTTTTGTTTACTTTGAAGCCCTACAAGCGTGAGGATGTCCAGTGCCAGTTAGGCAACTTTTTTTTTATACTGTACTTTTCGAAATAAACCTACGTTTCTCTGAAAATTGAAGTATTCGTTTTTTTCCAGCCCACATAAACTTAAACCTGGTTTATTTGGCCCGTGTTGGCCTTTGAGTTTGACATGCTTGCTGTAAGTTCTCTGAGAAGAGACTTCCTTCTCTGAATTGCATCCTTTCTATTAGCATATTAGTGCAGGATAGCCAATAATAAACATGTAAACGAGTTCAGGGTATAAATGGGGTTAGAAAGGAATTAATTTTTTTTTCTACCTGTGAAACATTATCTACCAGGGTTTTTTCTTTTTGTTTTCCTCAGGATCTAGAATACTGGTTTAATAATCTGCATCTACATTTTGTATCAATAGGGAGGTAAAGTGCATGATGCACAACAGTACTCACACTAGCAGTTCATAATTCACCTACACTTTACTGTTAACAAGTAATTAAGTCCACACAGAAAAGCTAAGAATGAATCGGGCAAAGCATGGGGGGGGCTTGGTTGGCATTTCTAAACCGGGGCCTCGGCTGGCACAGTGGTCCTTTAGCAGTGCAACCTGTACTATCGCCAACGATGGGAGGAAGTGCGTGCCTGTCACTTCTTTACAGATACAGAAAGAGAGCCGCACAAGCGGCAGAAAGGAGGCAGAAGGTGAAGAAGCCAAGACAGTCCTATCAGACTCAGCACCAGGACCCCAAGGAAGCCACCGTCTTGCACATAAAAGGTATGTTTAAAAAGGGGTGGCTAAAAATACATAAACAGGACTACATGTATGTGTGTATCAGTGTGTGTGTGTGTGTGTCTCTATATGTCGGTATGTGTGTGTGTATGTATTGGTGTGTGAGTATCTGTCAGTGTGTGCATCTGTGCCTGTGTCAGCGTGTGTGCACGTCAGTGTATGTGCCAATGTCTCAGGGTGTACATCTGTGTGTGAGTGTATTTGTCTATGCATGTATCCCAGTAAACACAAACATTACAAACACACAAAATGCCAAAATTGTATACAAACACCCTTCATTCAAAACACCAACACTGCACAAACATAGTTGCACAGGCAACTATCGGCAAATAGTAGATCCCCAGATGGCATAGCATTGTAGGAGTTCTATGACAAATGGGGATCTACCTTTTGGCAGTTTAGGGGTCCAAAAAAAATTTCTTGCACCACGGCCCACACTACATTAGCTCCACCACTGCGTAAAACGTCCTGTGATCATATATGAGCTGAGACCCTGCAAAGGACTAAAATAAAAAAGGAGGGTATTTTATCCAATGCCCTGAGGCACGTTTTGATCCTGTGAAGAGTCTAATGCGGTTTTGGGAAGTGTATTTTTTTTCTTTTTTTTTTACTTTGTTTCACAGAGTCGCCAACAAAAGGAGGACACTTTGTTAGCCCCTAAAGCACTTTAGCAAGGTTATCTGAATATTACAGGACACACCATGATGGATGTATTTAGCTTTCATATTTTGTTACTGGTAATAACCCCTTTACTTCTTTTTGATGAAAAAAGAAATAATAGCATAACATTTATTTGAAGCAAAGGATGCCGGTGGATATGTAAACATATGAAAAACAGCAATTGTGAAATTAAAAGCTTCAGTATACGGAGTCCTTTATCTTGCTATATTTCACACATTTTTAAAACGTTAGTATAAAAACAACAATATATAATTTTTTTCTCACATACAATAGGTATAATACAAATAGAGAAGCAGTACAGTGTATGAAAAAACGTCAACAGAATAAGTAAAGAACGTCTGCATTTGATCAGAGAGCAGACAAGGTAAATACAGTTATATTACAGTTCTAAAATAAAAAGGAATTTAAAACGCATATATCAATCTTCTCTACTACTCTATGGAATTCTCTATCACGCTCATTGAATGCCTGTAAGTGTGCATTAAATGTCCGCTCATCTTCTCTTTTCAAAACAGCAAAGGGAGTTTCAATGGGTTGTATCAATCCTACAATGAGGGAGGGGGAAGTAGCAAATTAACTCCACCATTTTTCTGTTAGTAAATGGCGATGAGCTGCACCTTTTTGTACACTTGCAGGCATTCAATAAGTGAATGGTGGCTTCTAGTAGAGAAATATGTTCCTTTACAGGCGGTTTATTATTCGAAGAGCAAAATTGTAAGTGAAGTTTTAGGAATGAATTTCTTTTTGCAAAATATATGAAAGTTAAAAAGTTTATACTTGACTCTGGGAGTAAAGTGGTTTTAAAAAAATGGTAGTTAAACATTATTGAAAGATCCAGCTCTGCTGCAAACACCCTAGGCCATGATATATATTGATTTTAGTCTTGAAAGAAAAGCCAATAAGCAAAATTTACATTTGCTCATTTAAAACATGTGAAACTAAACACATGTAACTCTAGTCAGGAGGGGGTGAGAATGAAAAAGCATTGTTACCTCATAAAAGAGTCCCTCTGGGAATTGCTGAAAGCACTGAGCACACACAAAGCATTGCTCATGGTACAGCTCTCCATTGCTGTTCACAATCTTCTCTGCAGGGGCAAAGCCGGCATGGCAGCGTTCACACATCGCATTTGCAAGAGCATTCGCCATGTTGCTGCAAAAACAGAACAAGATGGTTACATGAAATTCCATCAATGAAAGAACTGATCAAAACCAAATCTGTCTGCAATATAGCAGGCTTGGTGGAAAACACTAAAGCCCAACGTGTGTTCAAGCAACAATAATATAAAACCACTGTTGAACTGGTATACGTGTACATATGCAACATTTTACAGCATGGAAGCCAATTCGACTTCGATGCCACCTTCAATTTAAGGGATAAATGCAGAAATGATATGGTATTTCTGTCTAAAACACTGGGGTACCCTGGAAAGAATGAACATTAATTCAAATTACAGCTTGGTTTGTGATTTAATAAATGAAACAAACAGTTTTTATGTGGTTGTTACATAATTACAAAGATTAGAGCATAAATTAACTAGTGGTTCAACTTGAGGGATCTTCTGTAACTGTAAGAGTTGTAAACTTTAAAAAAATATATACAAAAGATAAGTAAAGTAAACATATGGAGTCAAGCACTCCTTTAGCTCAAAAAGAAATTCTCTTATGCAAAGCCACAATTTTATCACGTTCTGAGAAGACAGGATGGATTGCAGTAGGTAATAAACATTCCATTCTGGCCAAAGAGTTCCATAAAAAATGGAAATGGTTGGAGAGTTAACTACTATGACTATCACCAATTTTACACTTTGAAAATTTTCATAATGAATCCCATATTTAGAGACTTTTCTGCCTTTAATGCAACTGAGTATATTGAAGGGGCTCGGTCACCATATGTTGGTAAGTGTTGGAAAAACATGTGGAACACTTTCGACCTCACATGAGAGAGATCTTTGTCAAGCTTGAGTTAATCCTCCACCACTCACACATTTAAATTCTTACAACAAGATGTAAATGTTAAAAACAAAAAAAATTAAGAGACCATTTCCCAAGGCCATCTACGATTTTCCTTCATCGGCAGCTTATAAATGTCATATTTACCAGAAGCCTTATTAGAGCGCATATTTGTAGCCAAATTTACTTTTTTGATTATCAGACAGAATTCCCAATTTGGTTGCATTTTGTTAAATTAAAAAATTAAGTTAAAGTTAAATTTTTTAAAAAAAAACCATACATACATACATATAATGTACACATACAGTAAATTAAGCACTGCATCCAACCTATCACAGCCCTGATGTTAAAGTGTTCATGCTTACAATTCCTTGGTCTAGGAGTTACAAACTTCAGGCAGTTATCAAACAATCTTTGACAAATAACTAAATATCACTACTGAGGAGAACAGTCTGTTAATTTGTCTAATCATATTTTGTTACCTAAACTCAGGGGATGACGTCTAAAGAGTATCCACCAATATAATGTTACAGATATTAAATGAAAGCTGTGAATCACCACATAACCCGTTAAATAACAGTTTTAAATCCCATGAACTGGACTACAGAGACAGACTAAATCGTGTCACTAGATTTCTTTTACTGTTCTACAGAAATAAAGTTTTATATATACACAATGAAAATATACTACATTGATTAATGAAAGCATTTCTATCTGGCCTTCAACATGTTTCTTGCAAGTTCCCGGTTTAGGTTCATAAACAAAATCTTTAGCCTATAAACCAGCATCAGGGTAGCCAAGGCCATCTTCACTAGATATGACATTCTCTTTTATTACACTATGCCAATCTACCATGTTCTCTGGAAGAACGACGGTTATTGTATGGCCAGGACATAAATTTGTCAATTATTTCTTGATTATTACAGACAAAAAAAAAATATTAGGTGAATGAACACCGAATAAGATTGGTCACTAAAAATTATTAACAGTCCTTTTCCAGAAATTATGGTGTAACTTTAATGGTTGAAAACGCAGTTCAATATATTAATACTATTGAGAAACATGATTATTCTGTAAAAATATTATAAATTGTCAGTTTCTTATATTGACAATTCTCTTCACCCCATACTTTTAAACTCTACAAAAAAATTTTCTTCCTGTGCTATTCATACACTTACATCTGCTTATAACACTAACTTTTGCACACTTGGCCATTCCTGACATAGTAACTTGCATGGTAAGAGCCCTTAGAACACCTGTGAATATGACAACAGAGGCAAAGGTAATCTGCACTGAATGCCAATATAATCCAATGTAAGATTACAAATTATTATACAGACTTAATTTGACTCTACAACAAAGATCTGCCAAAGCTACTCTTTTTTACCAATCCATTAGACCTAACCTTTCAAAGCATTTGGACAGTCTTGCTTAACCTGGTGTGAATACAATCATTGCAGTAGAAGCATGGTCATTTAACTTCTTAAAACTTTTGGAGTTCAAAAGCTAGCAATAATTGAATCATGGATTTATATTATGATTTCAGCTTTATAATGCGGACTGTCTCACAGGTTACAAACTTTTTGCCACCATACTTGCAGATAAGATATGACATGTCAACACACACACACACTCGTGAGACAAGTACATATTCACTGAGTGAATTAGCAGGTGTTGCAATTGTAGAACTTCCTCTAAGTGCAAATTTCTTAGCATTTACATAATGTGAGTGGCCAGCATGATCCAAATGTTTCAATTGTGAGGACAGACAGACATTTGCCTATAGTGTGAGAAGTAATGGGTACATTCCTGAGATCTGGATGGAGACCGCTCTCTCCTTGGTTGCCTTGGTAGTGAGGAATTAATACCTTAGCATTATCAATTTTTGCAATCATGGTGGTGATTGGTTTAGAGTGCTGTGAGACAAGCAGTTTAATCCCTCCATCCAGGTGAGATTAAACTGACACTTCGATAAGAAGTGTTAATTCCAAATTCTCAAGACAGTCAGGTAGAACTGGACAGTTTCCAGTTAAATTTTGGAGATTGCACCCTGAGCCCACTGTCAAACCATTCCTAAAACTATTTGTCATTAAACTGTGGACCGTGCCAGGACACCAAGCAACATTGAGCTGTAGTGATTGTGTAGCTTTGAGTGCCACTTTAAATAAAAAGTCCATTATGAAAATATGTGTCAACTTAAATATTTGCACATATATGTAAGGAATACAAAAGGTTGAATTAAGTCATCATACGGGATGAAGATGATATGCGATCTTGCCAGGTTTCAGAAGTATGCGCTTGATCTGGGCGGAAGACAGACACACGCACACACACCCCTTTAGAGATCAAACATCTATTGGGGCAACTGAAATGTGTTCCGAACACATATTAATGTATGATGTCTGCAGGCACCATATTTTCCTCTATTACGAGAAGGACTTACCAGTTCTACAACTATTCTATCTAATATGGCACCAGAACAGCAATATATGTTTTGCCTAAGTATAGTAAATGGAGATATTTTCTTTTCTTCTAGGCTGTCTTATCTCTGTACCAGTCTACGCACATCACCACATGTATACAAATTCTCACAGTGATACAAAGAAGACTTAAACATATTCTATGCATTTCCTCACATATACAAAGTGTCTCAATTTAGTGTGGAATCAGTTAATTTTTCACATCAAGAAATGGTGTTTCAGATCAGTACACTGGTGACCTGTAAATGCACTAACATTTGAGAAAATACAAGCAGATCATGTATGTAATTATATACATGTAAAAAGAATGCAAAGAATTCTTGTATTATTTTGATTGTAAGCTCTAGCGGCAGACATTTCTTCCCTTCAGATTTCTATGCTGACCATGTTGTACTGCCCATAAACTACAGTCATTTGCAAATATTCTTGAACACCTGTTGGCCAGTGACAAACATGAATTTATCTGGTTCCCAGAATGGCTATCATGTTCCTTCAAACAGAAAAGAATGCACCAACTGAAAAATATATATATAATTCGATACAGAAAAGTTCAAGCACACAGATGAACTGGGGTTATCTTAAAAGGGCAACTCAGGACAAAGTTATGTTGCCAAAACGATCAATAGGCAAACAATAGTAAGGATCCTACCAGTTTCTCACATTTAGAATATTGCTTGTGAATGTGAACGCTAAATAGTTATTCTAAAAATAGCATCCATTTTGTATTTTATCATTTGCCCAGTAAATAAAGTCTATGGAAAAGTGAATCTCAATTGTGAAGACTGGGGAGATGAGCAATTAATAATTTAACCACACACAAGGGTGGGGGTGACAGACAAAACATGTCCCTATATCAACTGACCGTATACAAAAATGGTGTTTATAAATGTAAATGTGTGGAATAGTCAGCATAAAACAAAGTACACATTAAAAAGATGTAATGGTAAGAAATATAATCCCCTGAAAATTAAAGAGATAAAAGTATTTGATGTAATAATTCAATTGTAACAGTTTCACAAATTGTATCCAATTTAAGTCCCAGAACCCTGCTCCAACATTAAACTATATACCTATATCCACTTACAATCTAGCATAGAAATCGCAGATTTCCTTGTACACCTTCACATCACTGCGTCTCCGTTGCAAATTTGATACAGGCTTTTCATCTTCTGCCCCACTTTCCCGGGGAACACAATTGTTGGTAACTTCCATAACAGGTATTTCCCCATTTTCTGGAATATCTGGATGGATCCTGGTTTGAAATTCCATTCTTGTTGCCCCTTTAGATCCTTCTTAATAGACAAAGATTTTAAGGTCTCCAGCAAGGTGTAGCAGGGTTCTGCCAGGCTGCATGAAAGATGAAATCAGTGTTCCAAACTACACCCAGGACTGGAGCGGATTTCGACTGACTCATACTGGGATTCACTTCAGTGCTGCCCACATTCCACAGCACATATTCCAACTAAGGCTATGGAGGATAAAACGTCACTTAGGATAGGTGGGACTCAGCTGCTCGTAGCTGTTGATGTTAAGAATTCCATTCCATCCAGAGTGGAAACTGCACTGTAAAATTTGGCCCAGAGTTGCTTACTGCTCAGCAGTTGCAGTAATTAGGCTGGTCTGTGGGGAATTAAGTTCTTGATGTTTTCTATTCTTCCCCCCTCTGTTGTTGGCAATTAATGACCATATTCAGGGGGAAAAAAATAGGTGTAGCCTGTACTTATATATGCAAACGCTAGCATAATTTTGAGTAAGTGAAATTACAACACAGCAATCGAGTTTGATTCAAAGCATTCTATTATGTTTTACAACGCATTAGTAACCACGAGTCTCTCCTTGTATGTACAAACCATATATGGATTTTTTTTAAACAAGTAATATTCATTGCTGCTGTGTTGGATGCTTTAGCCATTCCCTAGGCTTTGATAAGAACGTCTGGCACTAGATCAAATATTCACTGGCCGGTAATTAAATAAATTGTAAAACATATCTACAGAAACAAAAAAGGAAAGAAAAACAGAAACAAAACACAAAAGTAATATTTTCTATTTAAAAATACACTAGATTTTAGGCTTGTTTGTGCCGGGCTAGCTTCACCTAATTTTGATGAGGGATACGTTGGCGCTATATCAATAATTATAAAATAATAAAGGCTGCTGTAGTGATTATGGTACCAGGAGTGCCTTAGTGCTGTCACAACGTAATCTTTCAAACCATTTTAGCATGGTTTGACAATAACCTGAGATTTCTTCATTAACATGGATTCCTTGAGGTTTGCTGACCCATGCTCAGTAGCGACCCTCCCTTTTTTCTACTTTTCAGCTCACTAAGATCGAACTCAGGGCATAGTGCAAGGGCACTTAGTAGAAATAAATACTACAGCAGGTTGTAGTGGTTAAAGGAACACTATAGTCACCTAAATTACTTTAGCTAAATAAAGCAGTTTTAGTGTATAGATCATTCCCCTGCAATTCCACTGCTCAATTCACTGTCATTTAGAAGTTAAATCACTTTGTTTCTGTTTATGCAGCCCTAGCCACACCTCCCCTGGCTATGATTGACAGAGCCTGCATGAAAAAAAAAAAAAAACTGGTTTCACTTTCAAACAGATGTAATTTACCTTAAACGACCACTCTAGGCACCCAGACCACTTCAGCTTAATGAAGTGGTCTGGGTGCCAGGTCCCTGTAGGATTAACCCCCCTTTTTTTTTTTATATAAACATAGCAGTTTCAGAGAAACTGCTATGTTTATAAATGGGTTAATCCAGCCTCTAAAACCTCTAGTGGCTGTCTCATTGACCGCCGCTAGAGGCGTTTGCGTGCTTCTCACTGTGAAAATCACAGTGAGAAGAACGCAAGTGTCCATAGGAAAGCATTGTAAATGTTTTCCTATGAGACCGGCTGAATGCGCGCGCAGCTCCTGCCGCGCATGCGCATTCAGCCGAAGAGGAGGATCATAGGCGGAGAGCTCCCCGCCCGGCGCTGGAATAAAGGTAAGTTTTAACCCTTTCCTCGCCATCCAGCCCGGCGGGAGGGGAACCCTGAGGGTGGGGACACCCTCAGGGCACTATAGTGCCAGGAAAACGAGTATGTTTTCTTGGCACTATAGTGGTCCTTTAAATAATTGTATCTCAATCTTTAAATTGAACTTTAATCACATACAGGAGGCTCTTGCAGGGTCTAGCAAGCTATTAACATAGCAGGGGGATAAGAAAATCTTAATTAAACAGAACTTGCAATAAAGAAAGCCTAAATAGGGCTCTCTTTACAGGAAGTGTTTATGGAAGGCTGTGCAAGTCACATGCAGGGAGGTGTGACTAGGGTTCATAAACAAAGGGATTTAACTCCTAAATGGCAGAGGATTGAGCAGTGAGGCTGCAGGGGCATGTTCTATACACCAAAACTGCTTCATTAAGCTAAAGTTGTTCAGGTGACTATAGTGTCCCTTTAAGATGTTTGGAGTGTTCATTTTAATATTACCTAAAGGAATTTGTAGAAGTGCAAAAATATTTATTACTACGTGTTTTCTTCACTAGTATTTGCACAATGAGATGCAATAGTAAATTTGCAAATTTCTCCTGAAGTTTTCAAAATATATACTTTTAATCCTATTACAAGTTCTGACCAAAACAAAACTTAGCATTTGGGCTACATGTTTGTTCAACCATAACTTTACCTCTTTAATTATTAAAAGGGCACAATAGCCACCCAGACCACTTCAGCTTATTGAGGAGGCCTAAGTGCACTCTCCCTGTCCTCTTAAAGGACCACTATAGGCACCCAGACCACTTCAGCTTAATTAAGTGGTCTGGGTGCCTGATCCATCTAGGGTTAACCCTTTTTTCTATAAACATAGCAGTTTCAGAGAAACTGCTATGTTTATGTTAGGGTTAATCCAGCTTCTAGTGGCTGTCTCATTGACAGCCGCTAGAGGGCTTCAGCGTTTCTCACTGTGAAAATCACAGTGAGAAGGCATCAGCATCCATAGGAAAGCATTGTGAATGCTTTCCTATGGACTGGCTGAATGCGTGCGCGGCTCCTGCGCTGGAGAAAGAAGTAAGTTTAACCCCTTCCTCTCCATCCAGCCCGGCGGGAGGGGGACCTTGAGGGTGGGGGCACCCTCAGCGCACTCTAGTGCCTGGAAAACAAGTATGTTTTCCTGGCACTATAGTGGTCCTTTAACCCTGCAATGGTAATGAACATTTCTGAGAAACTGCAATAATTACCTTGCAGGGTTAAGACTACCTCTAGTGGATGTGAGACAGCCACTAGTGGCACTTCTGGGTGATTGAGAGACTTTTTCCCCTCATGCTCTGCAGGAAGACATCCAGTGTCAGCCAATTCCCCATAGAAAAGCACTAACGTAATGCTTTCTAATAGTTAGGGAGTAATGCACTTGTTGTGCATTAGCACCCCCACGTCAGGTGATATCAGAGGGGGTGGAACGCCGACCCAGTGCTTAGGGATGCAGCGATGGAATCAGGAGAGAGATAGAGTATGTGTTCTAAAAGGGACTCTATAGTCAATGGAACAACTACAGCTCAATGCAATGGTTTTGGTGTCTACTGACTGTTCTTTTAGGCTTTTTAAGCCCTTAAGGGCAGAGGCAACTTGAGCTATGTCGGTTTGTTTTTTTTCACGAGAAATAGCTCCCCCCCCTCCCCCTCCCACCCAAGTTCTGCATGGCATATTAACTGTGAATGTCATAAAACTGTTCGTATACCTTTTTTTTGCAGTAAAAGCTATGATGTCCCACGAATACAAAAACGCGCTTCCCCATGTACAGGTTTTATGGGGTTTTGGAAAGTTACAGGATCATACATAGCAGTGCTCCTCAATGCACACCTAACAGTCCAGGATTTAGGGATTACCTGTGTGTGTGTCTAATGTGTTTTAAAAAACACCTTCAAGTATTTTTTATTTTTTTTAAATACCATAGACACCTGAATAATACCTAAATCCTGTTAGGTGTGCCTTGAGGAGCACTGATATATAGGACTTGCAAAATAAATCTGTGCTTTCTGCTTGGGTTGTCAGGTAGGTCTCCCCAAAAATAAAAAAACACATAATTACGTTAAAAAAAAGGAATATATAGGAAAATAAATAAATAAGTAATAAAAATTAAAAAAAATATATATATTTTAAAATTAAATGACAATTCCATATACCTATATTTTTCTATACATACCTTACCACACAAACTCTTAAGTGCTTTTGGAGTGTGGTGTGGTCCTTTAAAAAGAATGTCTGCAAGTTTTAATAAGTTGTTGGGCAATTATACAAACAAAATATATGTCCTGCTGAAGCAACCAATATAATTTTGACCTCAAATCAGTGCCCCGAAGTGAATATTTGCACTGAGATTGTACAATCTTTCTTCCATGATGTAATATTATTTGTTTATTTCATTAAAGTTTATGAAGTTTTGTTACAATTTGGAATTGACATATGGCTGGCATATAGCGTTTTAATTTCCAGGTGGTATTGATACAGCTAATCTTCCGGTTTATTTACATTCAAAAGTGCAAACAGCCAGGCTATGGAAACACTGAGAACTGTGTACATTAATTTTTGAAAACCAAAGATCTGCAATATTCCAAATGCAATGCTCCAAATGCTGGAAGCTTTCTTCCTACTGCCTACTGGCTGCCAGATGAACAAGTGCAAACCTATATACTATGTGGAAACTACAAATACTATATTTACATTTCTTTCCATTTGCATTTACCTTATCAAGCAGCAGTTTAACAATAACCCAGCACTATGTGTTACAAACAAGAATTCAATTCACTCACATATTCCAGAGTAGAGTGCTCTGTTTTGCCAAATAATCTGTGGATAGAATCATTGCCCATTGGGATTAGCTGGACAAATTGAGTGTTCTATGGTATAACATCCAACTAACACGGTTTTCACTTTCATGTACTTATCTTGAACTACATATTTGGCACTAATGAAACAAGTCAATAGGCTCCCTTTGTAATTAATCAATATTATGTAACTCAAGAAAATAGTCACACACATGCCACATTTAGTGCATAGGGCCAAAGTAATGGCACTCAAAAGAAGGTTTAGACCGCACCAGGGTGCTGTAAATACATTTACAGCATAATTTCAAACTAAATTTTGCCACTAAGCCTACATGACTGTATTGTGCATGATTTATGCACATTACTATCGCAGAGGAATGCAACACAGCTCATGTGTGCCTTCCCTGCTCAAACAAGCTTACAGTCTATAGGAGTTGTGTTGGATCTTATACCAAGAATAGAAGAGTCCAAGGAGGTGCTTCCGAATTACAATTCAAGTTTTAGGGCTCAAAGTGCTGCCTATCCACTCGAGAGTGCCGAGGCATCTATATGAACAAATATGGCATTTAATTTACATTGTTTTCTCACCACCAAATTCTATTGTTTAATTTTATAATTATTAACTTTCTAATAATGTCATTTTTAATGTTTAAAATAAAAAAATGAAAAAAAACAAAACAATAAAAACACAGGGGTAAAATGACAATAGATTTTATTTTTTGTGTGCATAATTATATACAGAAAGCACAATGCCTTTGACTATACACTAAGTTACATAACAGGAACATTTAAAAAAAAAAACTAAATACTATATTGAATCAAAATGAAAACAGCAGTCAATTACCGGTACCTCCATGCATCTAGTTTGAGAGATATGTGAACTCTTTCAGCACACGACATACACTATATGGACAAAAGTATTGGGGGGAGAAACACCTTTTACTTAGTGAATTCAGGTGTTTTAATCAGACCCATTGCCAAAGGTGTATAAAATCAAGCACCTAGCCATGCAGTGTGTATTCATAAATAAATCCGAGTAATTTCAAGCTTAGTACTTTGATACGGTGCCAAGCTTTGCAATATGTCCATTTGTTAAAATTCAACTCCTGCTAGGTATTCCATGGTCAACTGCAAGTGGTATTATTGATAAGTGGAAGCGCTTACGAACAGCAGCAACTTCACTACAAAGCAGAAGACCACATAAAGTCACAGATCGTGGTCACAGAGTTTATAAAAATCGCTTACGCTCAGCTGATTCCATAGCTGAAGAGCTCCAAACTTTTACTGGCATTATTACCAGCAAAAGAAATCAGTGTCGGGAGCTTCATGGAATGGGTTTCCACGGCTGAACAGTTGCATGCATGGCCTCACATCACCACATACAATGCCAATGTCTGATCCAGTGGCATAAAGATGCAATGAGAACGTTACCTGCCTAGCTGCATTGTGCCAACTGTAAAGTTTAATGGAGGAGGGATCATGGTAAGGGGCTGGACTAGGCCCCTTACTTCCAATGATGGGAAATCTTAATGTGTCAGCATACCAAGACATTTTAGACAATTCTATGCTTCCATCATTGTCGGAACAGTTTGGGGAAGGCCCTTTTCTATTCCAGCATGACTGTTCGAAACTGCACAAAGCAAGGTCCGTAAGGATATGGTTGGATGTGTTTGGTGTGGAAGAACTTGACTGACCTATAAAGAGAACTGATCTCATCCCCAGACACTTTTGGGATGAACTGGAACGGAAATGGCAAGATTGGGCTAATTGTCCGACACCAGTGCCTGACCTCACAGATGTTTTACTGGATGAATGGGCTACTCCAAAATCTTGTGGAAAGTCTTTCCCAAAAGAGTGGAAGTGGCTATAGCTGCAAAGGGAGGACCAGCTACATATTTATGTCTATGTATTTAGGATTAAAAGTCTTAAAACTCCCTGTTGGTGTAACGGTCAGGTGTATCAATGCTTTTTTCCATATAGTGTATTTGAGAATAGTAAATCATCTCCAGAAACATCTTAAAAAGGATACTTCATTGCCCAATTACAGATTTCCCAAAGCAACTCTATAAGAAGTCTTTGCAATCCAGGTGTTCATGAGCTTGACATGTGCAGGACATAATTGAAAACGAGAGAAATCTCAATGTATCTTTCCTGGTAAAATATTTAATAAATAAATAAATAAATGAGCAATTGTTGCCTTTTGAGTTTAGATCCACGTAAAGAGACACTATAGGGTCAGGAACCCTAATATGTATTCCTGACTGTATAGTGTTACAACACTACCTTGCCATCCTTAATATAGTAAAATCTTACCTTTATTCCAGTCTGCTGGTTCTAGCTCTGCCCCTAATTTGCCACATTGGCTGACATCAGTAATGTTGACCTCAACCAATCACAATGATTTCCCATAGGAAAGCATTGGATTGGCTGAGATTGTCAATTCTGATGACCTCAGCAAAGGAGGCAGTCCAGGGGTGGAGCCAAACCCCACACTGGCCGACCAGCATCTCCTCATAGAATCATGCAGGGGTGGACACACTTAATGGCAGTGCTGCACCGCCCCAGGAAGCACCAACTAAATCAGAGTGCTCTGTGTCATTTTACACAGCGTGGGAAAGTTCTTTGAAATTTTTTTGCGCTGGTTTTTTTCTTTTCTTTTCAAAGTTCGACGGGTATTATGGATTTTTATTTGGCTTTTTTGGGGCCGAAAAAATAAGATTTTAGATAAAACAAGCCATCAAATGGTAAGTGATTTCTGATTTATAGGGATTTAGTCTTATTGTTCCCCCCCTCACTATTTTTAGGGTGAGGGGGTAGGTGTAGGGGTTTATTAATTTTATTTTGGGTGGGGGGTGACTATGGGCTTGGGGACTACTAGTCACCGGGGGAGGGGGGGGAATATTTACACTTGATGGGGGAGGGGAGAGGATGGGAGGTCAATAGGTCGCCCCCCCACCCCCCCGGCATTTTTATCTAAGGCCCTCTCCCACCACTCAGGGGTGGGGAGCCGTGGGGAGGACACTAGTCATGCCTTTAGTGTAATTTAAGGCCCCCACCCGCCGCTCCTGGGTGGGGGCGACAATAGGTCATCCCCCCATTTTCATCTAGGGCCCCCACCTGCTGCTCAGGGGTGGGGGTAGGGGTGGCAATAGGTCCCCCGTTCAGTTTAAGAGCCCCCACTCGCACGGCACAGGTGGGGGGATACTATGTGTGTGTTTGTTTGTTTTTTCAAAACAGTGAGCAGCCACTGTTTACTAGACATGCCCCTATTCGCGATACAGCGAGTAGGGGCAGAATGTACTAGTTATAAGTAATTTTTTTGTAGATTTACTATCTACTTTTGGTAGATAGCTCCCTGATACCCTGGGAATATCTACTAAGCGGCAGCAAGATGCAGCTGCGGCACGAATCGGATCGGAATTTCCTTCTTTTGAATAAAATTCCGATCAGAACAAAAGTCCCGAATTGCGTCCTAACATGAATGAACCAAGTGTTCTCATTCGGTTAGGACGAAATTCGGTAGTTTTGCAGGCGTTTTGTCTAAGTGACAGGATGTTCGGTAATACTGACCGGAAGCATCGCAAGATCACGGAGGAAAGGTAAGAAAATAGCTTTAACCACAGGAAACGGAGCCCACTTTGTACCTCCGCTGGTCAAGCATAGGAAACCTCCATAAGACAAAGTAGTCCCTACCTTGTCTTAAGTTTTAAAGAAAACTAGAGCAGATAGGAAGAAATTAAACTAGATCCTAACAGAGGGAGAGAAGAGAAATGAATTAAAGAAATGTAAGTTCAGCATGACAGTGTCGCTTTAAGGCTGCTTTCACATCCAGAGGTATTGTGTGTATTAACAGTACGACAGTATGACGTGCAGAGGAAAAGCAGACATTGCCTTTAACTATTTTATAACAAATCAAACCCTCTTAACATGTCTGGTGTCAACAAAATATTCAACCCTATAAGGATTCTCAGACTCTTTGGCACTGAACAGCTTGCTTTTTATAGGAATGACTGCACAAATGTAACCTTCAGGTCTGACCTTTAAAAGAAATGGTGTGTAGCTGAGGCTAGGGAAGCTTACACTTTCATGTGTAATAATAGTTATTTCATTGAGTCTCATCAATGACCGAATCAAAGCTCTAAAACTGCTAACCAAAGCTTATGCAAGAAATTACAAGATGTGTCAAGAAATGCTATTTGCATTATATGAAAAGAGGTTAAAAGGGAAAAAAAATGATCATGCTATCTCAGCTCAAGATTGGCTGAAGCTTAAGATTACTATTATTTATACAGCTCCAGCAAATTCCAAAAACGACTGATTATCACAAAGTCATGCCATGAGAATATGGAGGCCATGAGAATATGGAGGTCAATGTGAAGATGAATAGCTGTACTGGTAGTACAAATCAGCAATTCTGCTCTGCATTCTGAATGGCCAAGCAATTTGTATAAAAAAAAAAAACAAAAAAACAAAAAAACAAAAAAAAAAACACCACACTTGAAGCGATAACTGTCTCTTGCGCGTATCAGAAGGTCCATCTTTTCAAAGGAAAATAGGTGTTCTAACAGGGTGTACTTAACCCCTTAAATATTCCGTCATGATTCCCTTTTATTCCAGAAGTGGTGTCCTTAAGGGGTTAAATCCATACAGCCATCCAGAACAAAGTGAATGAACGCCTATCATTGTCATACTCCGATTGCCTGGGTTCCAGTTGAGAGCAATCATCCAACAGTCAGAGGAACACTGGGTAGTGTTTGGATAACCAGGTACACAGTGTGTAACCATGAAATAAATACAGATTCAAAGACAGGGCTTTAACAAGGTATTATTTGAAGCAGTCTATGCAAATAGCTTGCCAGCAATGGATGAAAGGCATGCTATGTAATCTGATAAAGTAAAGTTTGACAGTTACATATGTTGAGGTCATAGCAGGCAGTCCTTCTCATATTCATTTGACAAGAAGGGAGGAGGGAGAGCCAACTGCGCATTTGAAAAGGTTGTAATGCTTGGCAATTTTACTTTCTTTTTTTTCCTAGAACACTTGATGCTGCTCAAGAAAGCTCAAAAGTTCAGAAGACAGTATGTTTCCTGTGCTGAAACCCTCAGGTGCCAGTTGAGAACATATGTCGGTAACAGGAAGCGAGACATCACCGAGGTAAGTCTCTCTGTGTTAGTGGGTTGGGAGGGGGAAATCACATGGTAAGAGCAAATCATTACACAACTATAGCTCACCAATATCTGAAAATCAACACAGAATATGCAGCACAGTAGTCTCCTGCTTATCCACAACTTTGTAACTTTGATTGTCAAACTATACAAAAGTTTTTGGGTTTTTTTGGCTAGTTTTTAATCCAGTGGTTGACTACCAACATGCTTCCCCCCCCTCCCCCCCCCGTAACAGCAGACAGTGTAGCGTTTTATGACATACAGTTTAGGTTTTAGTAGCCATCTCAGTAATATTTTGAGATGCCAGCACTTTGAAGATCCCAGATTCTAAAGCCATTTCTCAGTGCAGCATATCATGTATTTACTTGCAACTTGACCCTCTGTGACAAATTGCTTCAATTGCTAGTGCTACATCACATTGCTATTTGGGTGTGATGGCCACATCTAATATTTTTTTTATTTTTCCTTTATTTTTGTTTGTTGTGTTTATTTCATTTTTATTTACAGTTCATTCACTATACACACACACTCATATATAGCTCTAATTTTGCACACCTTGCCACATGTGCCTCATTCCAGGGCCCTATTTAACCTTGAACTGCAAAGAGTTCCAGGGGTAGGTATTTCCAAAGCAAGTCGATCTAATAAAAGCAGGCATTGGGTTGCTAGGATAGAACTTGCAAAGTTTGGGGTATATTGGCATTGTGGCAGGCTTATGCAATGTATGAGCATATACTGTAACTAAACCAGAAATTTTGCTTAGATTTATAGGTTTAAAAAAAAAAAAAAAAAAAAAAACTATAATAAAAACAGCTATAACTTTCTGCAGTCCAGTGAGTGCTTTCCAATCTACCTAAATTTGTGGCCGGGCATTTAGCAACAGGTATCCAGACTATTATTATTACTGTTCCTTACATAGCGCCAACGTATTACGCAGCGCTTTACACTATTATAAAGAGGGAAATTTAACAAGACAATTACAAAATTTTACAGGTTGATGATGACATTGCTCAAACGAGCTTACAATCTAGATCTAGAGTATGGGCTCCTGATTTACTATATAGATTTCCCCCCATCCCCTGCCCCATCAGATCAATAGAAGCAGGGGTCTAAAACACGAGACAGGATCCAATGTGCAGACTGTGCAAAAACACAGGATCTACTGTGCTCTACAGGGACAGTCCAGCACATGTTTGCCAGGGCAGTGTGCACTGAGAGGCACAACCGAGTTGCTGGATAATAGTAAATTTAGGGTACAGAAACTATGTAGTTCAGATTGGCTTGCAAAGCAGCAGTTGGTAAAAAAGCTGCTGCAGCCCTAAACAATTAATCAAGAAACCCAGAACACTTTGGAGTGTCTATGGCAGTCTTACAGTGCATTTCTATCGGTCAGGGCTTGTCATATGTCAATGGCTAGTAGACCTTAACTGCATTTAGCCTTTTTAAACACAAGTACTTAATATGGAGCAATGTTCTTTTGAAACATGAAGTGGAAATAAGAGGAAAATAATTTTTTTAACTGCCTGCAGGACTCTTTAATAGGGAGCACCCTGTTCTAATCTATTACATAGACTAAGACACAAATTTTAAATCCCAGTATTTTTCTGTATCTTTAATGCATTATCTAGAAGGAAACATCTTCTCCCAGTTTCCACTTCACAGTCTAAAACCTCCCATTTCTCGCATCGAGCTATAGCAAATTAAATCTACAGTGTTTAGCCTTTGCCAAATATTTTGTGAATGGCTAGAGACATCAGTCAGTAGGGTACTAGATGGAGCTGCTTCTCTGTCACTTGCTGAATTATTATTTGGCATGAAAGGTAAAGTCCCTTACATAAACAGTTTAAGTGTATAGAGAAAGTAAATCCCTTCTCTGAAAGGAATTGTGTGAACAGCAAACATAACTTGGCAACAGTTGACGATTGGCGCGCATGGATTTTCTGATTTGGGATTAATTGATAACATTGATGTCTACATAAAAAGCCTACCCATGATGTGCAACTTTCCTTAGTCAGGAGGTTTGCAACTGCAGCCAAAGAGTACTGTTCAATTTCAACATTGCTCACTTTCAAACAAGGTGATCAATTGTTCAAATCAGCACCCCTTATATAAAATGCTTAGTTTGCTTGAAGTCCATAAACAAAGATTACAAAGTTTTGCCTTTACCTGCCTTCATAGGTTTGTTCGTAAAAAAAAGAAGAAATAATTCTTGCTACATTTTTTCCAATCTGTTATCATGTCTATATATCATCACTAGAAAAAGTGAACTTCACTTCATCTCAATTAGGCAGCGTGGGTCCCATGTCCTGGTCTGTTTAACCCTGCAACTATATTTTGCAGGAAATGCAATGTTTACATAATATGCATAACATGCCTCCAATGGATTTTACAAAGATCGCTACTAGAGCTGCTTCTGCAGCTTTAACTGAGCTATACGGACTCTCATCGAGTCTTAGCCAGGAAAGGTGGAGTACCCATACAGAGACTAACACTCTCCAGATGTAATACAAGTAAAACTAACTTGGGGGGAGAAGACACTTACAATTGTGGGAGAACACCATTGCGTGAGGAATACAAGTTTGTATTTCTAGCGATACAGCGTTCCTTTAAACATAGAATCTGATACCAGGAAAAGATGTATGCACCCATATCCACTAATCCCTCAGATAAGATCAGCTGGAGAGTGTGAGGCACAGAGTAGTGTTTAACATGTTCTGCTAAATAACAAAATTATTGATCCTCAAGATAACTCATGGATAAATTCTGAGAATTGGCAATTTTTCCGATCCAAACAATACAATAGTTACAAGTTTTCAAATGATGGCATTAAAAACAGACCACTCTGTTCCCTGAAATATATAACAAATGGACTGTAAAGATATGAACTACAAAATGCCAAGTCACATATTTTAAACGTACTATTTTTGGAAGAAGATACCAAAGCTAAACAAAATTCCAGCTCTAATCTCTCTAGTGACTGACCACACAAACATTTATTCAGCAGTAGTCCGATTGGCTGAAAGTGCTGAAAACAGAATTCCAGCATTTATTTGGAAGCCAAAAAAAATATAAAAATATTTTAGGTAAAAGTTAAGCAATTAAAAAAAACCAACAAAAAAAAAAAAAACCAAGCACATCAAATACGATTGGTTATTTGAAATTATGGTTGGCATTATACATATAAAGGGTAAATAGTTTAATGGTAGAAAAAGTAGATAATCTGAAATGTCAAAGTTGTATAAAGCAAAGCTTCTTAGTGACATTTTCTACTTTCGACAAAAACGGATTAAAGAAAATCATGACACAAAGATACTGGATCTGATGTGAAGAATGATTAAGCACAGAGTCACACACACAGCCCATTCAATATCCTGTTTTCCAGTGCCTGGCATGCCATTTCCCACTATAAAACCATTACACATGTTTACAAAGCGGTGACTAATCCTATAATCAAAAACTATAAGTATGCAACTCGGTAGATAAAGATATATTTAAACTATGAAAGACACAATTGGTAAATTGTGACGTGTGCATAAATTGCTCTTTTCTGAACAGAGTGAATGTCTCACAATGTGGCATAACTTTTTGATCACAACACTACACACTACACTTTTAATATCACAAGTCTGATATATTTTATTACCACAAGACTTTGCTATTTCTCCCCCAAGTATGAACAAAATGTGACCCAGTAACAATTCCATAGTAAAGATATTTGTTGGCAAAGTACAAAAGGTGGAAAAAACAGAAGCAACATTCCACATTTCTACTATGAGAATTACTAGCATTGGGTGGCTATTGCACATGCACAGCAAAATACCACACTGCACCAATCAACACTTCTTTATAGTGATGCATTGAATCAATGAATCTCTATGGGGAGGGTTCAGCATCTCTATGCAGAGCATGAAGGCGCTGAACGTCGGTGTTGCACACTGTGCAGTATTGAGATAGGAAGCAGCTGTCACTAGAGGTGTAACTAGCCAGCAATGTAAACACTTTAAAATGCTGTTAAGCTGTAGTGGTTCTGGTGACTATAGTGTCCCTTTAACTTATTGTGCCACTAATACAGGGAAATACTTGTATTATTTAAAAGGGAAAAAAATATATATATATATAAAGAAAACCTAGTTAAGATGTTCTCAACTAGAAATCAAACCAGAACAATTATACTTATTGTTGCCAATATGCTTCTAAAAAAGAAGTTAATTTTAAATAACAGTTTTTATAGGATTGTAAGGCACTTAGCTTGCTATACTTTGTGCCAAAATTCCACAGAGCTATACAATTAAAGGGACACTGTAGGCACCCAGACCACTTCAGTTAATTGAAGTGGTCTGGGTGCAGTGTCCCTTTTGCACTTAGTGCTGAAATGATAAACATTGTAGCTCCAGAGAAACTGCAATGTTTACATTGCAACTCTAAGTCACTAGAGGGCTTGCTGAATTGAAACGGACCTGTGGTCCGGTATCTGACCCTGGACATCCTCACACTCTGCACGAGGATGTCCTGCACCAGATTTCACCCAAAGGAAAGGACTAATTTGCGCGCGGCATGTGCATCAGTACGCTCTCATTGCGGGCTGTTGGAAGGGGTGGGGCTTCGACCCAGTGCCGAGGGACATCGGTGGTGGGATAAGGTAAGTAAATAAAGGGTGTTAACCCTTTATTTACCTGGGTGGGGGTTGTGAGGTAGGGGGGAGGCAGAGAGGTATAGTGCCACGAATACCGCTTTGCATTCCTGACACTATAGTATCCCTTTAAGGGTTATATTAGAATAGAAAAGGTTAATTTCTGACACTAAAAAGTTGATTACCACCCGTTTCATCAAAAGTTAAAAAAGTCAAAAAGCTGAGCACGCCACCAGAGCTGGATTTTCAGAACAACAACATTTTTTACTTACAGTAAAAAATAATTTCCTTAATGTAGTGGCAGTTTCTGTTGGATGCTCTTAATCATGATGAACAAGTACTCCTAGAAATATAGTTCAAATAATAAATCAAGCTCCTCACCCTCCCTCTCATACCTTTATTTGGCCAGCAGCCAAATAATAGCAGAAACTATATGTAAAACAACTGCTGCAAAAAACTGTAAACATTAAAATAAAAGGAGTAAAATCCGTACTGCCATTGTACGAAGGAAAAAAATAAAAATAATTTACGATAATTACAATTTCTGTATTTTCCCACATACAGTAGCAGTACCTCTGGGATATAGCTTTAGCTTTAAGTTAGTCTTCACCGGAAGAGGTAGTTTGAGACGTGATCAGTAGCACAATTGGAATTTCAGTGGAATCCAACGCCGCCTAAGCATGCGTTTCACTAGTGTTCACTGACTCCAGGTCTGTCATATGATGGAGTGCCACCCTGGAACGCCTCTTAACATCCTCCGCCAGGTATACCTATAAATCAGGACTGATTCCGGCGCTCCATGATGCTGGACAATCTAGAGATTGACATCATGCAGCTTACCATCTGTGGAGCTATTAGGCCGCACACCCCCAGCATCAGCCAGTGTGCTTCACGATCTTCTGTTCAAGGAACATCTGAGTCTGCTCGCAGAACAATAAAAACTGGGGTGCCCATCTGGGACAACCTTTTTAAGAAAATGGTATGAGAGGGAGGGTGAAGAGCTTGATTACTTTTTTTAACTGTATTTCGAGGAGTACTCTTCCACCATGATTTAGAGCATCCCCATAAATAATGCCACTATACGTGGGGTAAAAATAGTTTCTACAATGGCTGGCACTTATTGAAAGTATGGGATGTGGACTGCGGATATTTAGGCGCTAACTTCAGCTCACTGGTGACTATTTCTAGGGTCTGCTATAATAGGGAGTGGTTAGCGATCCTCAAGATTGGGAAGGGTCATACTGTATAGCACTAAAGAAGGACACTGACCAGCAGGAGGGAAAAAAAATAGACTGGTTATCCTGAGCTGCACAGTCTTTTCATCATAGGTACATGTCAAGGTGCGTGGGATTTTCTTTACACTGTGCAATGGTAAGCTAGAGATGCTCTAGCAACATCCAGGAACTAAAAGAGTTCTGCTAACTTAGTTGCACAATTAAAGACAATACAGGCTGGAAGCCTTCACCATTTTAACACATTACTTGGACTATCTTCTGGACAAATTTGTAGTAATCTCCAGGGTACCTCTTGGTTCCTAGGTTCTTGTCTCATTATTAGGGACTGCAAAATAAGATTCATTTGGTAACATATACTTAATAAATAGAATGTTAACTGTTAAGAAGCAAAAACAAATGCAAAACAAGCAAGCTGCCGCAGAAGAAGTCCTTACACTGATCAAGAAGAGGACGCTCCAATCAGGAGTCTCTTATTTGGGTAATTGGGGTTTGATTTTATCCCTTAAACTCCTGTCTAGTGCAGGAGTACGAGACTAGTAGCTAACCCCCAATCCAATTCCCCTCAGGAGATCTGAGAAGCCAAACACTTGAATAAGCGGATACTAGCCAGTTCACAGATAGCACTGTTGACATTCACAGAGCTGTAAAAGAACAGCAAAGCGTGTACATGAACAACAGACAAATTGAACAAATTTGGACAAAGGAAATAAAAGTGATAATTAGAAAGGAAGCTACGTAACATTTTGTTGCACAAAACGATAAATTAAAATAGTGATTTTTGAAGGATCTTTGAGTTGTCTAGTTGCAGTAAGTGTTATGCTCCTAGGCTGTAATCAAGTTGTATATAGCAAATTCCAGATCCATTCTGTAAAACAGGATTGGCGTTTTATTCAAATTGCAGTGTTTCCTTATCGCTACTATATGTCAATAGCTACCATTACAAACTTGATGGCAGGTCGGTGGTTTAACTGCTGGCTTCTACAAAGTGAAAATATTTATCAAGGCATGTGCATATAGGGTGTCAAATGTGGAATCTGTAGAGCATTACCGTGTCACCCAAGTGTTAGAAAAAAGTAAACAGCAGAGCTGTAAAGATGACAACAGATTATTATTTATATAGCGCCATCGCGTAGCGCTGACCAATAAACATAATAAAACTGTTCCACATGTTTACTATTCCTTCTCCCGGGCATATGCATTTATATATATATATATATATATATATATATATATATATATATATATATATATATATATATATATATATATATATATATATATATACACATACACACATATATACACACACACACATATATACATACACACACACACACACACATATATATATATACATATACACACACACACACACACACAAAATATTTTTCATAATATAAAATCATTTAAAAAAATAAAGAAATACGCAATTTGAAAAGTTTACCCAACAATATAAAATCAAGGCCAAAACTGGGAACTGTGGAGAACAAAAAATATAAAATGCAAATGAATTAGATGAAAATAACCATAAGTAGAATTTATCCAGCTCAGGTATATTCAATTTAAGCCATTTTGCAATTCCTTTTATTTTTATTTTTAAACACTAATCAATGTCTCAGAGGAAATTTGTAGCCGCCATAATAGGCACAGTTGTTGCCCAATAGGAAATATACTTTTTAGTCACGGAACATAAACAGTACCAGAAGCACCTGTGTCTATTCTTGTAAAACCAGTTGAATTTAAAGGAACACCCCAGGCACCAAAACAACCTCATCTACAACTTTACAAAACTGGCTTGCAATCAGCGGCACCCCTGCCCTGTGGCACTCCGCACTTCCTGTAAGTTAAAATTCTGATGCAGGATGCAGTCAGGGGAGACCAGAGCTGAAGGCAACTTAAGGGTTAAACAGTTCGAGAATGGTTTAAACCCCTTGAGGAAAGAGTGCTTCCATGCAGCATAACAAACCAAGTTGTTTTTGCGCCTGGAGTGTCCTTTTAAGATCATTTCCCTATAGTATTTTTGCTGTAATTGATTAGATTGCGTACCTTAAATGGACACTTTAGTCACCATAACAACTTTGGCCTAATGAAGCAGTTTTGGTGTATAGATCACATCCCTGCAGTATTACTGCTCAATTATTTGCCATTTAAGAGTTATACATCAGTTTATGCAGCCTGTAACATCTCCCTGCAAGTACACAGCCTTCCTATACACTTCCTTCCAATTAAAGTTCAATTTACAGAGCAGCAATAGAAGAAACAACAAAAAACAACAACATACTTTTAAAGTAAGTTACATCTGTTTTAAAATTAAACCATTTTGTTATCATGCAGACAGTGTCAGTCATAGACAGGACAGAAGGGGGTGGGGAGAGCGCAAGGCTGCATTAACTGAAACAAAAGTGATTTAATTCCTAAATAGCAGAGAATCGAACAGTGATACAGTGCTCCTTTAACCCCTTGACGACCGATGACGGTTCAAGGGGTTAAGCATCCCCTTGAGGACTGATGATGGTCCTGAACCGTCATAACGGTCTGGGGGTACTTACCTGATCGTCGTCGGTCCCCCGGCGGCGATCTGCGTTTCACCTGGTTTGGGGGGACTGCCTGTCTGCCCAGGCAGTCTCCCCGCGGCAGATCAGGACCCCGCGGCCAAGTGATCACTCGATCACATGACCGCAATAGGTTCCTGTGTATCTGCCTGCAGAGGGACTGTCCCTGCAAGTGGAAAATCAAAAATAAAGTTAAAAAAAAAATAAAAAAATCAATCAGTGTAAAAATAAAAATAAATATGTGTGTGTATATATATATATATATATATATATATATATATATACATACATACATACACACACACGTATTATATCTATATATTATAATGTCATACTAAGTATATTTTTATATACACATATATTAATATAAAAATACACTTATAATTAAATTACACACACATATATAATAACTATATATTGTATATTATAAAATATAAATAACAAGTACATAAAAATAAATTAAATGTAAAAATAAAATAATTTAAAAATGATATATGTAATTTTATTCTAACTGTATTTTGAAATTAATATATATTTATATCAAAATACACTTAGAATGAAATTTTATATATATAAGTTTTCTTGTAATTGTCCTATTTATTGTTACATCCTCCCTCTCAAAATATTGTAAAGCGCTACGGAATCTGTTGGCGCTATATTAATGGAGATATATATATATATATATATATATATATATATATATATATATATATATATATATATATATATATATATATATATATATATATATATATATATTAAGAAGAACTATACATATGTCCATATACATAATTACATAAATAATTTCATAAATATACACGTAGACTTCAAATAAATAAATAAATAAATATATTTATATTTAAATTCTACGTGCATATTTATGTAATATTATTACATAATTAAGTAATTTTATTGATTGCAATTTGAGGGACATGCCTGAGAACCAAGGCCGAAAGTCCAAAGAATTTAATTTGCTAGCACTGTGTTTAACCCTGTAACTTTCTATGACACCCTAAAACCTGTACATGGGGGGTACTGTTTTACTCGGGAGACTTCGCTGAACACAAATATTAGTCTTTCAAAACAGTAAAACATATCACAGCGATGATATGGTCAGTAAAAGTGACTTTTTTGCATTTTTCACACACACAAACAGCACTTTCACTAATGATAGTATTGCTGTGATAGGTTTTACTGTTCTGAAACACTATTATTTGTGTTCAGAGAAGTCTCCTGAGTATAACAGTACCCCACATGTAGAGGTTTTATAGTGTTTTTGAAAGTTACAGGGTCAAATATAAAGCTTGATTTTACTTTTTTTTTCCTTCATTGAAATTTGTCGGATTGGTAATGTTGCCTTTGAGAGCGTATGGTAGCCCAGGAATGAGAATTACCCCCATGATGGCATACGATTTGCAAAAGAAGTAAAATATAAAGTAAACACTGACCCCAGCTATTGTGAGAGAGTTCTCCTAAATCTATTCCGGTCACTAAAAAGTACAAATTTATGGGAAATAGGGTCCAGTAGAACTATCAGACAGCTAAATGTGTCCACCTCAAGTTAAGAGCGCGGTTTCCTGTGCCTAGAGAGGGCTTCATTCCCCCCTAATGCACACTTCATCATTTTAAAGTAAATATATATGACATGATACAAATATTGGTATGTAAAGAAAGACCTTCTTGTCCTGAAAAAAAACAATATATAATTTGCATGGGAAACTTAAATGAAAGAGTGGAAAAATACAGCTAAACACAAACACCACAAAAGTGTTAAAACCGCTCTGGTCCTTAACGTACAACATTGCAAAAACAGGCCGGTCCTTAAGGGGTTAAACCAGATTATTAAAATCAAGAAAAAGCCAATAATACTCCACAAAAGTTGTTGAACTGATACTACAATCATCTTGAACCACTGACTAGGAGTTAAATCTATAGTTAGAAGTGAACAGTAAGCTTGACCAGAACTAACAGTTATGCACACATAACAGCGCATGTTTTAAATCCATGTAGTTTGATATATATGCAATCTAGGCATGCAGTGTTTCTCTAACAAAACAAAAATAGACAAAGGCACTTTCAAAAGTAAACAAGCTAAGGCTGATACTAAAACAGATAATCTGCTCTAAAAGATTAATGGCCCTTACAATATTCGCTACATAGGTTCATTCACCTTTCAAACAAAATAAACTCGAAATAGACAAAAAAATTGTATACTTATGTGTCACGTAATAATTTCCTAAATAAATTTTAAGTTGCCTGCACATATTTTTATCGTATTTATTTTATAGGTGAGGAAACTGGTTGAGTTTCTGATGACTAATAAAGCAAAACATAACCAGAAAAATTTGTTTAATCCTAAAGCGGGGGAAAGAAATCCCATCACACTCAACAAGCATTGCCTGTGTAAAGCTCTACATCCTACAGTAAGTCAGTTACTTAATTCTTATCAATGACTATTTGGAAGATGGCATAGAGATATATCCAAGGATTTGTTCATTAGACTGATATATATATATATACACACACACATATATACACATACATATACACAAAATACAGATTTTACAATTTTATGATAATCTACAATCTAAAAGAAAAAGAAATACCGCAAAATAACACACAAATCAACATTAATTTGACACAAATTGTTCTGTACGGTGAAATGTGTGACACCTTATTGAAAGACCATAAATACTCATAAGCAATTATAGGTAATTGAGTGTGAACTAGATTATATGCCTACCATCTTAGTTTTCTAACATTTACCGAGCACATTAATCAAATGTGTCTCTTCAAACAGGCCTTCGCTAAGGAAGTTACAGGAACTGCCCTCGCCCATGGGATGTCACAAGCAGTTCTACCACATTCTTGTGTCTACAGCCCCTTCAATCAGCAAGTACATGCTCCCTATGTGCAGATAGGACAAGCAGGATCTGACATGCACTAAGGATTTCAATGCACAAAGAGGCAGGCCAAGAAACTGAAGCAGGGTCAGAAACAGAGCATTCCTAACGTCCCACTAACACCAGAGTACTGGGCATTTGGCGTGTGTCTGCACGCGTGCAAGGCTTCAATACAGGCAGAATACTGCAATGAAAAGATTTTTTTTTTTTTTTTAAACAAAATTTTTTACTTATTATTAACAAACTCTGCCTGTAGGCTATAAAACAAACATACTAAATTCTTACCTCAGCATTATATTCATTTAACTGCCAAAAATGGGGTATAATGGTGTGACAGGCTTAAGCAAGGTATAATCATATACTGTAACTAAATTCCAATTATTATTTTTTAAAGTATAGTGTTAAAAAGGTAATTGCACCAATGACCATTTTTAACAGCAGCCGAAACAGCTGCCATCCTGGACTGTAACTGCCACCAATCTCAGGCGGCACTGGAAAATGTATGTTCCATTGCTGCCCTTACAGTAATATCTTCCCCTTAAGCCAAGCATTATATATGTTAACCCCTACAGTGCCTTTATACACTTCACCATTATTAAAACCCCAAACAACAGATAAACCCCAAACACTAACCATTAACCCATATATTTCCTTAACATATAATGATGAAGTGTGCATTAGGGGGGAATGAAGCCCTCTCTAGGCACAGGAAACCGCGCTCTTAACTTGAGGTGGACACATTTAGCTGTCTGATAGTTCTACTGGACCCTATTTCCCATAAATTTGTACTTTTTAGTGACCGGAATAGATTTAGGAGAACTCTCTCACAATAGCTGGGGTCAGTGTTAAATATTATAGGGTTTCTTAAACAGATTTGCAGCATTATGTCCCAGCACCGTCACAGTGAACTGTTAAGAGGTAAACAGACAGAATAGGCTCCTGCAGGTACAATGCCTCACTTACAGATGTCGTAGTATTTTAGAAACCAAAAAGATATAAAAGGCAAGCTTATCAAATTTCTCCAACATAGCTAGTCACAAAACAGACCATTTTAACTATAATTTTGCAATTTGGAGTTTTGATTCACCACAATTTACAGTTTAGTGATTAAAACCCCACAGTGTGAAAGCATCAGTAATTTCAGAAAACAAAAGTACACACACAAAAAAAAAAAAATATTTTAAATTGTCAAGTGAGCTTACCCAAGCTTGCCTTCATGTATGCCATTAAATCCGAAACTGTCAGGACGCTCTTTCCTTCTCCTGTACAAGTCTGACTGTGACAATTCTTTCAGCTGCAATGCGCTCATATTGCTCAGTACAATATTGGTATAGAAAAGCAGGCCTGCCAAGTAGCCCTGTAGAGGCAGTAGCAGTGTCGTGTGCCTGCACACCTGCAGTAGTTCAAACTGAGAATTCTTTGCCAGAAGAAGCAGTAACTCAGCCGCTTCCTGTTTCTCACTTGAACACACCCTTTAAACAAGGCCACTCCGGTATGTTCCCCTTATCACAAAACTCGCACACCTATGGGACGTCCCATTAATACTGTTTGAAAAGCAGGCTGGAGGCGGGCCTGCTGGATCTTTTGTCCTCAGAACAGTACTCACAGATAATCACTTACTGTTGTGATAAAAGGACAGTCACCCACACATTCAATTACAAATCTTTGCATCACAGAGCAACAAAACAACGGTCAAGACTGATCAGGATACAAAACACAGAGCATAGGCTTGCAGACAAGAGGATGAGTGGTAAAGTATTCCTTAATAAAAGGAATATTATGTAACCACAATATCTGGGGTTTTACAATAAATCAGAAATGATGGAGAATGAACAGAAAGGAAAATGGAAGTTTTAGGTCAAGGTAGCAGAGGTATGGAAACAGATAAAATCTTAGCATAAAACTGGAATTTTTTTCTGTCACAGCATTTGACAAATGTTTCCATTCATGCCATGAAAACAAAAAAAAAAGTCAGAATGAGAATTGTGAGAGCTTAAACTCATAAAACACTCCCATGCAAGAGTTAGCCATTACTGTCCCAATATAAAATATCAAATAACTTTGCTTCAGTAAGCAGTAACAAATATTGGATACATATCAATGACAAACTATAAATGTGTGATATGTGCCAATTCAGACATGTGATTATGCTTATCTCACTAAAGACTGCCCTCTACTGTAAAGAAAGAAGAAAAAAAAAAAAAGTATAATTAACGCTTTAACCACCTGTGATCAACTTAAATGATCAGATCACTTCAGATCAGTGAATTGGTCTAGAAGCCATGTGCCCCTCCACCTTCCTTTTAACCCTGCAGTTGAAAATATTGTCCTTTTGCCAGAATAACAATGTTTACATTGCAGTGATTGCCTGCTTCTAGTGGCTTTCAATATGATAGCCACTAGAGGAGCTTCTTTAAAATAAAGTTTAACTCTGCTGTTTTAATCAGGTGGTCTCAGGAGACTGATTGGCACAGCGTGACATGCGGCACTAGCCTCCCAATTCTTTCCTATGGGAAAGCATTGACTTGACTGATGTCATCAGCAATGATGATCTCAGCCAAAGAGGCAAAGCTATCTAGAAGAAACCTGCACTGTGAGGGTTAAATGGTAAATCACATTTTTTTTACCATGGCTGCACTGGCCCAGTCATCTAAACAGTGACTAGGGCACATTTGTATTCCTAACTTCACAGTGTTCCTTTAACTCTAACACTTCTGAACACAAACAGGTGGTAACAAAATGGCATTGCTGCCCCTCGCACTAAAAAATAAATAAAAATAAAAACACCCCAAGCATCATAACTATTACAACCCTCTGTATTGGTTATGATGCCATGAGTGTCCAGGCACCATATTAGCAATGTTTAACAATATAACTGGGTACCATGGGTGACCATGCATCACCAGATTTTAAGAAGCCATCTTTATAACTTTGAAAACCATGACAGATGACTAATAATGGAGCAACAGACAGGAATATGTAGGGATTTTGGTACCTTAACTAGGTAAGAGCTGATCAGTGAATTGTGTATTAGGTCAATAAAGTCTAAATTGGAAATATTCTCCAGCGGTTTCCTTCTAGCTTGGATATTTTATCTTATAAATGGCAGCTCCCTGGTCAGTTTTCTACAAGTCATATAGGAAGCAACAGACTTAAAAAAAAAAAGACAATTTTATCTGCTTTACTTCATTGTAATTGGGTTGGGCCAAGTTAGCTTTACACAGTGCCATGGTAAGAATTTTGTTGCCAAACTTATTTAGATGGCAATAATCTGTGATCCACAATATACTGTTTAGTGAATAAACCCCTAATAGATAAATGTTAATTCTTCAAAGTGATTGTCTCAATGACATGTAGCTGGAAATAGCTTTTCTCTCCTAATAGAAAATGGTATATGAATAATGGGTGTATAAAAAAAAGGTCCAGCCACATTTTGATCACTTCCTGTGCAGCATCTACCTTAAAAGTAGGAAATACAGAGTCAAATTTGAAATAATAATACAGGCTACAGATATTTTTCTAAAATGAAAATATATGGCACAAAGTATTATTTCATAATCACAAAGTAATACTTAACTACGGTAACTGCATTACAATCAATAATGGAGGATGCTGGCAAGGCTTTAATTCAGGGTTCTAAATGTACAGTAAATGGGGACCACAAGAAGAAGAAAGGGAGAAAAATAAAAAAGGAAGAAGAAGAAAAAAAAAGTTTATACAACTCACCCTTCCCACCTTGCTTATTTAAAGCATGCAAGGTATGCTGACAGTCTGTGCATATCTAGAGGGCTCGAATTACTTAACTCTTCAAAAAGCATTGCCTGGGGAATTATTATTTTTTTTACATTTACATGGATTCTGGCAGACAATGTTGCGGTCAGAACTTCCAGCTTGACATGCATGTTTTATGACATTTTCTCAACAAGTATACAGATATAAATCGCACACAAGCAGATACGTCGACTGTCTGTGCCTATTTCCTCACATCGGCTTTCATCCTGAAACCTATGAAGAACATTTCTAATAGTCCGGTTTACTAATGCAAGGACAACAGGTTAAATCATTTAATTAGTTACTAGTTAGAAACACTGGCTGATTATACATCCGTGACTGAAACGTGACCAACTTCACAGAGTTGGTAGAGTCCCTAGACTGCCATGTTTTTTAAGATACATCTTGAAGGAACACTCGAAGCACCATAATTACTACAGTATGCTGTAGTGCTTATGGTGCCAGGCAAGCCCAACCTAGGTAGTAGAGTCCACTGGGCGCTGCTTCTTGCTGCCACTGATGTCTCCAGGCCAGCCAGAAGCTCCCTGTCTGAGCTATGCCTAGCACTGCATAACTTAGCTCTTTGTCCGACAGTAATCATCTGACACTGAGAGAATGAGCTAGCCATGTACTGCAGGGTTTAGCTGAGGAAAACCAACGGAAGCGCCTAAGCAAGAACGCCCGGTTCTCGTAATGGCTGAGAGGAGGCATCTAGTGGAGCCCAGGTAAGAAATCAATCAACTACTAACAATAGGGGAGGAGGAGGTCTGGACACTCTTGGCACCATACGTATTGACACTATAACAAGAGCCCGTGGGTATGGCGCAAAGATTCTGACCTGTTAAAGAGACACTATAGTCACCAGTACAACTACAGCTTAATGGCTCCCTTCAGGCGTTTTCATCTAAACACTGCCATTTCAGAGAAAAGGCAGTATTTACATTGCCCTTAGGTACACCTACAAGTGGTCACTCCTTAGATGGCCACTGGAGGGGCTTCTTGGCTCAGGGCTGCACAGTAAGCAGCCATGCCGTTCAGCGTCCCCACGTTCTGCATGGAAACGCTGAATTTTTCTCAGAGATGGATTGATTCAATGCATTTCTATGAGGAGGTCCTGATTGGCCAAAAACGGCACTTGGCAAATTTTAGCCAGTCCAATGCTTCCCCTATGAATCATCAAAATCGGCCATTTTGATGATGTTACAAAGGGGCTGGAACCAGAACTGGCAGGCGGTGCTGGAAATAATGTGAGTTTAATTCCTTTTAAGGGGGCCGAGGGAGGGCAAGCCACCTAAATGGTGGGTTTAGCACTATAGGGTAGGGAATACATGTTTGTGTTCCTGACCCTATAGTGATCCTTTAACTTTAAAGGATCACTATAGGGTCAGGAAAACAAACATATATTCCTGACCCTATAGTGTTAAAACCACCATCTAGCCCCCCTGGGCCCCTCATGCCTCCATAAATATGGCAAAATTGTACTGTATTCAAGCCTGAAGCTGTAACTCTGCATGCCGTTTGCCTCAAAAACAACAAGCAGTCTAATGACATCATCAGAAGTGGTAGCCTGATCCAATCACAGTGCTTCCCCATAGGATTGGCTGAGACTGACAAAGAGGCAGCATGATTCAAACACAGCCCTGGCCAATCAGCATCTCCTCATAGAGATTAATTGAATCAATGAATCTCTATGAGGAAAGTTCAGTGTCTGCATGCAGAGGGAGGAGACGCTGAATGTTTGGATGCATTTTAGGCAGCCATGACCCAGGAAGGATCTCTAACAGCCATCTGAGGAGTGGCCAGTGAAGTTATCACTAGGCTGTAATGTTTCTCTGAAAAGACAGTGTTTACAGCAAAACGCCTGAAGGTAATGATTATACTCACCGGAACAAATTCAATAGGTTGTAGTTGTTCTGGTGACTATAGTGTCCCTTTAAACCCATCTACCATAGTTATTAAATAGTCTCAAGATGATCTTGCTGATTATGCATAAATATTTTTATAATTTAGGAGTATATATATATGATTTCCAATTTTTATTAAAACATGAGGCAAATATAATGCTAAATCTTTAACGTACTCAAAATAAATATATACAATTAATTCCCAATCTGGATCAATACTTTTATAGTGGCCCCAGAATGACAGATTAGCTATAGGCAGTTATGTAGAGTTTTAAAATATTGTTTATTCCCCGCAGCTGAGCATTAAAACTCAGTCGCAGTTATACTGTGCCTAGCCTAGTGTTGGGGAGACAGGGTCTGAAGAGACTTTGATATTGCCCCCATGCCAATTATGATCACTCAGCTGCCCATGATATCATTACATGCTACATGCTGCTATGAGAGCTGGAAAAGCCCTCTGCGAATATTCATCCCACTGGGTTAGGGATAGTGTAGAGGCAAAGGGACACTACAATAACCAGAACAACAACTACATCTTAATGTAGTTGTTCTGGGGTCTATAGAATGTCCCTGCAAGCATTTTAATGTAAACACTGCCTTTTCAGACAAAAGGCAAGGTTTACATTGCTGCTTCTAATGGCAGTTACTGACATGGCCACTAGAAGTGTTTATAGATAAATAACTGGAAGTTTTTTTTAGTATCTTTTCAATGGTCATTGAAGTGGAAGCTGACCTGCCAAGTAAAAGCAAAACCTCTAACAATTCATCTTGCGGCTTTCAGCTAAAAGGTAAAATCGCTAATGAGACAGAGGGGTATTTTCTGTGCTCAGGGCTTTGCATGTTTTTTTTGGTGTTGGTTTTTGGTTTTTGTTTTTTTATGTATTGGGGCTAGTTTGTTCCATAGTACTATAAAAACTGTACGTGACACATTCAGCCAAATTTGGAGGGGGCGGTGAGTTAAATTCTGTTTTTTGGTTTTAAATTTTCCCTAGATCACGGATATCTACCTGAAATATACAATTATCTTGTTTTTTACATCCAGTTTTGTGAATAAACCCACAAATGTTTGGAAGCAAGATTCACAAAACTGCAACAAAATCATATGTATTTCTTCATAAAGCAGCACTAATGATGCAACACATATCCCTCCCTAGAAAACAAGGGTGTGTGCTCAATGGCTGTACTTTGTCTACTTGAGACTTGTGTGCAGCTCTACACAGTGTATTTATCAATAGGACTCTTACAGCAACGTTGCAAAGATGAACAATACATTGCTCAACTCCACTTGCTAACCGTGCAGTCAGATCAAGTGTTCCGCCAAAAGCAGAATAGACCATTTTGTCTTTAAAAGCTGCGTGATCACTCCATAGTCGAGCCTTTTGTTGCCTTATATAGTGCAGTTTCCCATTCCTTCACAAGCAGACTTTGCACAGTATATTTACTATATGATAAAGTAAGCTTGGTTACGGGTTTGCAAAAACAGGAACAGAATTATTCTTATATTCTACGACAGTGCTCACGGCAAATCAAATCTTAATCAGACCCTGCATAAGAGAATTAAGACCAGTGCACCTTCAAGTAAACCCTTGAGGAATTGAAATAAAGACCCAAAAAAGCAGAAAACTCAAATGTAAAATGAACCTAAATCAAAATACGAGGTTCTGTGTCTTTAAATAAACTTGGTGCTCCAACAGCCTGGTTCCAAGTAACTGCAATTGTGTCTCTTGAGGCATCTGATGAAGTGGTCACCCCCTTGCCAACTAAGCACGTTTTGTAATCATTTCAAGTTTCCATCTGGCCATGAGGAACCATGTTGGACACAGGGCCTATGGTTTCCAGCACTTCAAAGCTCTGTTCTGGCATCTGTAGGAGTTTGAAAGCAGACAATCTCATCTTCCCCATTTCATTCCCTCTACAAAAGCAGAGACTGTAGAGACTATATAGAGGTTATCAAACATTGTCTAACCAAAACTAAGGTAAGGTAACCTGAAGGATACTGCCATATACTGAAGGTAGGGATATTTGTACATACTGTAAGCACAGCTTAGAAAAAATTTTGATCAGTTACATGCCGGTAAATGTTGACAGCAAGGAAACCAATCATATAAAAGTTCACAATAGCTATAATTAAGTTTAAAGTGTTATGAATGTGATTGTGGTACCTGGAGTCTGTATATGCATTATTTTACTTCTATTTTTTTTTATTTTTTAATCTGCACTTGGGGGAGAGAGATACACTCTTCACATATAAAGTACTTTATCAAGCTAAAGTGCTTTTACTTAAGACAGCAGAGTTACTTTTTTTGTTTTTTAAAGGGTTACTCCAAACACCATAACCACGTTTAATGTGGTCATGATGACTGGAGTCTGTATGTGCAGTGTTTTGCTGTGAAATGCTACACTTATGGTGTTTAAACCCTCTGCTGCTGTAGGAGTAACTACCTCTGACAGAATCATTGGGAGGATACTTGCCAGACTGGAATAGAGTCCCGGGCTAGCTAATATCAATTCTGTGCAACTTTCATTGCTAAATGGCTTTTCTGGTTATTAGGGAACTCAGACCAGGCTACTACTCCTGGCATCATAACCACTACATTAAAGGTGAAAATTTCATGCCAAACTTACCTTTCCCCAATCGATTCCTCTTCTCTCCCTCTCTCATGATCTGTTCTTCATTTCTTCCTGTCTGATCTAGTTTTGTTTAAACCATAAGACAAAGTAGGGACTACTTTGTCTAATTGAGATTTCCTACTCCTGACCAGCGGAAGAGCAAAGTGTGCTTCATTTCCAGTGGTCAGAGCAATTTTCTCTCCGTGATCTTGCGATGCTTCCTGTCAGTATTCCTGAACGTCCTATCACTTGGACAGAACGCCGGCGAAACTAATTTCGTCCTAACAGAATGAAAACAGTTTGTTCATGTTAAGACGCATTTCGGGACTGTGTTTGGATCGGAATTTCATTTGAATGAATGAAATTACGATCTATTCGTAATTTAGAGCCCCCACCCGCCGCTCAGGGGTGGGGGCAATAGATCTCCCGTTCAGTGTAATAGCCCCCACACGTGCAGCACGAGAGGGGGACACTAGGGTGTTTTTTTTTTTACAGTGAGCAGCCACAGGCTGATCACTGTTTAGTAGACACGCCCCTACTCACGATATATAGAGTAGGGGCAGAATTTACCAACACTAAGTAATCTTTACTTAGTATTAGTAAATTTGTCTGAAAGACCAATTTAGGTCTTTCAGCCTTTAGTGAGATAGCTCCCTGCACCGTGGGGATTAAGGAGCTATCTACCAAGCAGCTGCAAGATGCAGCCGCGGCACGAATAGATCGTAATTTCATTCATTCTATTTAAATTCCGATCCGAACAAAGTCCCAAAATGTGTCCTAACATGAATTAACAAACTGTTGTCATTCTGTTAGGACGAAATTCAGTAGTTTCGCCGGCGTTTTGTCTAAGTGACAGGACGTTTAGGAATACTGACAGGAAGCATCACGGATCAAATGTGAGAATTGTGGGAAAATTGCTTTGATCACCGGAAACAAAGCACACTTTGCTCCTCCGCTAGTCAGGTGTAGAAAACCTCCATAAGACAAAGTAGTCCCTACTTTGTCTTAAGTTTTAAAAGAAAACTAGAGCAGACAGGAAGAAATGAAGAACAAATTCTGACAGAGGGAGAGAAGAGGAATTGATTGGAGAAAGGCAAGTTCGGCATGACAGTGCTGCTTTAAAAAAAGAAAGAAAAAAAAAAAAAAAGTGATTAGGCTTCTGTTTCCTTCATTTTAGGATCACAAAGTTTCTCACTGGAGGTGTTGGAAGAGACGTACTTGTATCAATATGGAGTATTCAATTATTTTAGAAAGCCTAGCTAAGCACGGTTCCCTGCCATCAACACCTGATCATATCTTTTAGGAATATTTGCTCACATGTTGGGTGCCCTTTTAGCTCATTTGCTTAAAGGACCACTCTGGGCACCCAGACCACTTCAGCTTAATGAAGTGGTCTGGGTGCCAGGTCCCTCTAGGATTAACCCTTTTTTTTTTTTATAAACATAGCAGTTTCAGAGAAACTGCTATGTTTATAAATGGGTTAATCCTTCCTCGAAAGCCTCTAGTGGCTGTCTCATTGACAGCCACTAGAGGCGTTTGCGTGATTCTCACTGTGAAAATCACAGTGAGAGCACGTAAGTGTCCATAGGAAAGCATTGAAAATGCTTTTCTATGAGACCGGCTGAATGCGTGCGCAGCTCTTGCCGTGCGTGCGCATTCAGCCGAATGGGCGGAGAGGAGGAGGATCGGAGGAGGAGAGCTCCCCGTCCAGCGCTGGAGAAAAGGTAAGTTTCCTCTCCCCAGAGCCGGGCGGGAGGGGGTCCCTGAGTGTGGGGGCACCCTCAGGGCACTCTAGTGCCAGGAAAACGAGTGTTTTCCTGGCACTATAGTGGTCCTTTAACTAAGCCAAAAAAATAAATAAATTGGGATTTGAAAGTTATACGACTATTAAAAGGAATCCTAGACAAATTCTGCACATAATATAATAAGACACAAACATAAAATAACCGTTAGCTTAGAATTAAATAAAACCACTTTCTCAAGTTCAAAAGCTTGAGCTCCTTATTCAGTAAACTGGGCTGCAGTTTGTACTGGGGCACTGAACTTTGTAGAGGACAAGTGTATGATTACATATACAGTGGTACCTCGGTTTACAAATTTAATGCATTCTCCGGGAAGTTTTGTATTGCGAAAAATTTGTAAACCAAAACGTGGTTTCCCATAGGAATGCATTGAAAACCAATTAATCCGTTCTGGAGGTCAGAAAAAAAAGTCAAAATGAGCTGGCATGGAAACCAACCCACAATGCAGAACACACAGTAAAAGGCATGCAAACGACTAAGCTCAGCTCCCTACCTTTCCACGGCTTGAGAAATGCACCCAAAAAGTTTCAAAAAGTCCCAAAACCGCTGCAAACCATTTCCAGAATGGCTCCAAAACACAATGCAAAAGTTCCTCCAACACCTCCACTCTCGACGTCATGTGCTACTCACAGACTCCAGCATGTACGGGAGCAGCACTATAATTCTTCCAGGCACAATGCAACCTGGGGAAGCTTGCTTTGGATTGCGAAAACAAATTGTAATCTGAGACATTAATTTCAATGGATTTTCATTTGTAAACTGAAAATTATGTTAACCGAGGCGTTTTCAAATCGAGGTACCACTGTATATCTTTTTTTATGAAAAATATAGGTGTTTACACATATACACACACACACAATTATACACCAAGGATTCATAGGCTTACTACAAAATGGTAAAAACGTGTCCTCAGTGTCAGTCAATGAACGACATTAACAAGCAAGTGTCCAGTGCAGGCACTTCTTCCACCTAAAAGACATGCCAATTTATTTTTCCCATGAAGAAAACATTCTACCAATATACCCATGGGCGCGCACACACACACCATCACCACCACAATAGCATGACATGACAGCCTCTTTCTAAACAGCTCCTAAGCAACAGTGGAACCAAATGTGTTAACATCAACTTAAGAGCAGGAAAGTGAGTAGCAGTAGTCATTAGGGTGCTTGCCAAGTTAAATATGCATGTGCAGAATCTAACAAAAACTCAGTTGACTCAATAGAAATGAGTCAACAGTTTTAATAAAGTAGTCATCACTACCAACTCACCTGCTAAAGTTTACTACTGGGTTATAGCAATTGATCGCTTATGGAGAGGACAGCATGATCAGGTCTGCATTCTAGATCTGCTAGGAGAGGAAAATATTGTAAATCCGGAAGGGTTTCCAAAGGCAGATATATAAACTAACCATCGGCAAACACATCTGTTTCCTGTACAGCACTTCCCGTTTAAGCCTTTACAAATTTATAGAAACAAATTAGATCCTTATGGACTGAACCTACAAAGTTGAAGTCTAGCCCTGCAGTTCTCTATGAAGAATACGTGAAAAGGATCAGCTTCAGGATGTATTACTATAGACAAAATAAAGAGTGATTTCCATCAGATACCCAGAAGCTGGATTTAAAAAAAGGAAAAAAAGGTTTATTTGAATGGGGAGGGGGAGAGACTACTTCTGCTTTTGCATTAATGTTGTAATTGTCGGGGGCCTTTGAAAAGGCTTTACAGTCTGTGCCGTCATGCAGTCCTTGTCCTAAATTACATTTTATTTTTATAAAGACAAATACATCTTAGGAGACATTAAGGATACACAGGATAGGTTTTTAAAATTTTGTTTTTTTATAACAAACCATTCATAAACAAAGCAATGTATTTGATGCACAATATGAAACTCCCTCCTCGTTATTTCAAGTCCAAATGTTTTGTTTTTTCTCAATAAAAGGCTGCCCTCTACTGGCCACAGGGAAACTTGTACAAGTTTCTCTAATACATCAGCATCCTTAAAAGGAGATCTTAAAACATTCTATAGCCTGGGATAAACAAGCGTTTACCTGTTAGATATTTAAACAGGAGGTGCAATATTATTTTAGATATTCTGCACTGTGCATAAAAAAAAAAAAAAAGTTGCTCTTGAATTTATATGTATTAACAAAGTAGCACAATACCATGTGTCTTGGTATTCTCTTTGGAATTTATTGGCATATATTTATTTTAAGGAGCATTCAGCTACACGTACATTAAATGCACTTTCACATACAGATTTATATTTCAAACCTAGCACTTTCTGGTATTTTTAAGTATTATAAGCTAGCAATATTTCACCTGCTGTAGATACAAATGCGCACATAGAACCGTTTGAAAGGAAACTGTACGTATAACCAAATTTTGGTAAAAGAGACATAAGAGCAGCTACATGAGCCTGATAAAAATGCAATATATGTTACCTATTTCCTATGATACATGAAGGGTTACGATATAGGACCACACAGCGACCAGTGATGTACTTAGATATTAGAATGCATGAAATTAATTGTGGCATATTCTCCAGAAATCACACTTCCCAAACAACCAGCCCAAAAACCACAAATAAATTTACCAGAAACTTTAAAAGCTATTTACCCTGATCCCCCTTTCAATGATGTAGGTCATTCAACCCGGTTTTAAATGAGAAAATACAATTATCCAGGCTAGTAAATAAAATGGAGAAATCCTGTAGGTTCACAATAACATTAGGCCCAAATGAGCATTACCATTGATCAGTTGAACCAAATGGATTCTCCACAATCTGTGTTGTGGCGGTGTTTAGCCGATGTCATTTAACTCTTTACAGTCTCTTGTCCCACAAAAAGCGACATAACAGGAACATTTACAAAACAGTTTCAGCACACAACATACACTATATGGACAAGGGTATTGGGGCTTCTCCGTCTGGCAGTCAGGCAGTCTGACAGGCTCTGTCTGGCAGGCAGTCTGACAGGGTTTGGCAGAGGCCAGGAGAACTATACTTATATAACTGCATTGAGCCAACGGTTTAGTTTGATGGAGGAGGGATAATGGTACAGGGCTGTTTTTTTAGGGGCTGGGCTAGGTCCATTACTTTCAGTGAAGAGAGATCTTAAGGATTCAGCATACCAAGACATTTTGGAAAATGCTGTGCTTCCAACTTTGTCAGAACAGTTTGGGGAGGTCCCTTATCTATTCCAACATGAATGTGCCCCAGTGCACAAAGCAAGGCCCATAAAGACATTGATGGAAAAGTTTGGTGTGGAAGAACTTGACTGGACTATACAGATCACTGACCTCAAAGCCATCAGACACCTTTGGGATAAACTGGAACAGAAATTGCAAGCCAGGCCTTCTCGTGCAACATCAGTGCCTGACCTCACACTTGCTCTATTAAATGAATGGGAATTCCCATAGGCACACTCCAAAATCTTGTGGGAAAGCCTTTCCAGGAGAGTGGAAGCAAGTAGAGCTGCAAAGAGGGGACCTTGACCAGCTACATATTGATATCATTGTATTTAGAATGCAATCTCATAAAAGTCCTTGTTGGTGTAATGGTCAGGTGTCCCAATAGTGTATTTTCTATCAGATTTCTGCAGGTTTCACAACCATAGCACATGTACGCAACTAAGAGATAGCCTAAAAGCTTTAGTAATTATTGCCCTAATACTGGAGGGAAAGAAAAAAAAAAAACGGATTTCAAATTACAGTTTCCATTACAAACACATAAAATGGTCTTCTGATCTAGCTGTTTAATACATGGAACTACATGCATTCAATGTCATAGCTAAATTACTACCCTTACAAGGAAGGGAGCAAAGAAATATAGCAGTGATTATTATGGGAACCTCAGAAATATAGGAGCCATATCATATCACTTCACATCCCTTTTGATTAAGAAGAAGAAAAGAGCTGACCATACGATCGCAGGGTGAGCAGGAAATTATGTGGCAGAGTTGACATTACGTAAAAGATAGAGGTTGTAAATCATCCATTATTGCCTTTACAGGCAGGAAAACTCACCTATTCAACAAAACAAGAAATATTTCAAAGCAAGCATTTACAGACAGTCTTTCCAGCACGCTTTAGTTTCTGCATGTTTAAAATCATTCTTCCTCATTCTACTAGGCATGGAAAGACATTGAAAGAGGAAATATAAATTATTTCTCGTAAAGCTACCCACACTAACCTAGTGATTGATAGACATATAGCTATAAAATAGATTTTTTTATTATTTTTTTTAAACTCAACATAGTGGGAGCAACAAAGGCACATTTGTTAAAATGACAGATTCTTGCAGAGTGTGTAGGCTTACTGTAGTATTCTGTTCTGAGGATCCCGATTACCACCAGAGATAAAAATCAACTATAATGTCAAATGTAGAAAGAAGACAATATAGTGTGACGTACACCAAAATAATATTAGTACAATAGCCACAATGAGCTGTACTGAAGATGGTGCTTACAGCAGCACTTTAAATTGACTTTCGAATATTGAATCCCTTGTCACAGTTACTTGCTCCTTTCTGTAATGTTTAGTCTATTACACTGTACCTACACTAGGTGTCACTGTGTAACCTGTCTCAGATTTTTCTACAGCCTCACCAGAGCAGAGGGCAAATGCAGGGCTTCAGACCTACTTGTCCATTAGTATCCTGGTAGTGGTTAGTAAGGTGCCCATCTTGGTGCATGGCATGTGTTTCTCTCCCCTCCCCATGCACGGATAGCCGCATAAAATCTTCATGAAATAAAGTGCTATTCATCTGCCATGTTTTATGTCCTTAATACATTTTTTTGCATATTTAAGAATGGAATTAATTGTTCGATTTATTCCGGGGTATTGTTCCTTCTTGACAGAGTGCATTATTTTGAGGTGTTGTTCCCTGAAAGGTCTCAGCTGTACAGAGGGCATTTGTAAGGCTTTTCACATATTGCTCCATTAGTATCTGTTTCAAGATTCTGCATATTTTCATTTTTAATACAGGTACGCCTCACTTACCGACCAGGTTCCCTTACTTCGATCCTGTCGTAGAATGAATAGGAGTGAGGAGTTATGGGATTCCCTGCTCTGGTGCACTTTGCTATGTTCGGGGAAATTTCCCACGAACATAGACGAACGCACCAGAGCGGGGAATCCCTCTAATCTATGTTCAGGGAAATTTCCTGACATCAGCGTAGGAGGAATGTGGGCGGAGCCTGACCCAGCTCCGAGGGACATCGGCGCTGGATTCAGATAAGTGCTTTTAACCACTTTAGCCCTGCGAGAGGGGGTGACCTATTAACCCTATAGTGCCAGGAAAACCGCTTTGTTTTCCTGGCACTATAGGATCCCTTTAAGTGACAGTTGCCTGGGTTGGATCTCTACTTTCAGGCTGCATTAAATAGAATGCATGCAGATATTTGAAGAGATGGAAAGTGGGAACAGGTAAGTGCAACAAATTACAAAGACAAAATGTTAAATAAGAGATTTCAAATTACTGGCACAAATAACTTACAGATACTATCAGCATCAAAACAACAACTTTAGCTTAATGAAGTGATTTTGGTGTACAGATCATGCCCTTGCAGTCTCAATGCTCAAAACGCTGCTATTTAGGAGTTAAATCACTTTTGTTTCTGTAGAAGCAGCTGTGACTGACACAGCCTGCATGAAAACAAAATGATTTAATTTAGATGTTAACTTACTTTATGACTTTTTAATCACCTGCTCTGTAAATTGGAGTTTAATCCAAACACAGGAGGCTACATCGGAAGGCTATTAACAGAGCATTATAAAAATCAAAATTAAACAGAAAGTACAATAAAGTGTAAAGATTATATCTCGTTTTACAGTAAGTGTTATTAAGGCTGTGTAAGTCACATGCAAGGAGGTGTGACTAGGGCTGCATAAACAAAGTGATTTAACTCTTAAATGGCAGATAATTGAGCAGTGAAGTTGCAGCAGCATGCTCTATACACCGGAACTGCTTCATTAGGCTAAAGTTGCTTTGGTGCCTATAGCATCCCTTCAAATGGTTGATTAAACCACGTTTTTTCTCTTTTTATATTATCTGTTATTTACTTAAAGTTGTGTGAAACTATATAAAAGGAGATGCTTCATATTATTACTAAAAAAATTACGGTACATGAAGGATATACTAGTTATTATGCACTATATCTACTTAACCAGTAAACATATCACATTTACCAGTCTCAGCTGCTAAAAATAAAATGATATCAAATACAGATTAATGGAAAGTTAATAACACTTTCCACGAAAAAAAATAAAACAAATATAATAAATTCTCAAAGGAGAAAAGCTAAGTGAACATTCACTATGACCCTGCCTATGAAAGTTTTACATAACTGCCACTAGGTGGCGAAAACACTGCATTAAGCTATTGAGAATTACTTGTTATGATGTCGTCGTCCCTCCCCCCATTAATTCATGAAACTCCAACACATTCAGCAGATTCAACATTATATTGGTGAAAAATATATATTTTTTTGGTGGTAAGTGAAAATATTCTATGGATGATAGGGTAACAGTTTGAACATGTAAATCCTCTAATGTGCTCTGCCAGTTACAATATTTCCCACTGCTTGTGTAATAAATATTATTAAAAGTTTCCTTTTGAACATGCCTGCATTAGAACTATTCTGATACGTACACTATTATGCACTTCAAAGTAGTACTAAAGAAAGTAAGGTGTGTGAAGTTTTTACGGCCTTTATGTGATATATATATATATATATATATATATATACATACATATACATACACACATATATACATATATACATATATACACACACATATACACACACACAGTATTTATCGGCATATAACACGCACTTTTTCTCCCTGAAAATAGGGGAGAAATTGTGGGTGCGTGTTATACGCCAGCCCTTTAAATACTGCAGCCGCCTGAGCGCTCTGTCAAGAGCGCTCAGGCGGCTGCAGTTGGTACTCACCTCCTCTGTAGCGTGGCCGAGCCGCTCTGCCGTCCGGAGTTTCTGTTTCCTGTACCCGGTCGGACTGACAGGAAGGTGCACACTGAGCGTGCACCTTCCTATCACTCCGGCCGGCCACCGCGGACGGCAGAGCGGCTCGGCCACGCTACAGGGGAGGGGGGTAAGAAGGGGGTGAATAGAGGGGGAGGGGGGTAAGAAGAGGGGGGGAGGGGGGAGTAAGAGAGGGGGAGTAAGAAGAGGGGAGGAGGGTAAGAAGAGGGGAGGGGAGAGCAAGAGGAGGAGGGGGGAGTAAGCAGAAAGGGGGGCAAGAAGAGGGGAGGGGGTAAGGGGAGTAAGAAGGGGGGTAAGGAGGGGGAGTAAGAAGAGGGGAGGGGGAGTAAGAAAGGGGGAAGAAGAGGGGGAGTAAGAAGGTAAAGAGGGGAGGGGAAGCAAGAAGAGGGAGGGGAGTAAGAAAAGTAAGAACTTTATTTGAAATTTAAAGGACACTTAGGCACCCAGACCACTTCAGCTTTATGAAGTGGTCTGGGTGCCAGGTCCCTCTAGGATTAACCCTTTTTTTTATAAACATAGCAGTTTGTGAGAAACTGCTATGTTTATACTGAGGGTTAATCCAGCCTCCAGAGCCTTAGTGGCTGTCTCATTGACAGTCAAGAGGCGCTTGCGCTTCTCACTGTGAAAATCACAGCGAGAGCACGAGCGTTCATAGGAAAGCATTGTAAATGCTTTCCTAGGTAAATCCCGAATGCACGCCGCGTGCCTTGCGCGGCGCAGCTCAGGATGTCACGAAAGCAAGGAGGAGAGGAGGAGGAGTCACCGGCGCTGGAGAAAGGTAAGTGTTTAACCCCTTCCTCTCTCCAGAGCCCGGCGGGAGGGGGTCCCTGAGGGTGGGGGCACCCTCAGGGCACTATAGTGCCAGGAAAACGAGTATGTTTTCCTGGCACTATAGTGGTCCTTTAAGTTTTTTTTCCCCTGAAATTTCCTTCTTAAAATGAGGTGCGTGTTATACGCCGGTGCGTGTTATACGCCGATAAATACGGTATATTATATATATATAAAAATATAAAATTATCAATAATGCTTCAAATAGAAGAAAATGTCACAGTCATTTACTGGAACAGCAGACATTGAATTGGAAGAACAAAATATGAAATGTTAACCAATACATAAATTGTATTAAATAATCAGATATATGATTCAAAGATACAGTAATATGGATGCAATATAGTGACAATATCCCAATCTTACCTCAAGTCTCAATGCCAGCAGTGTAGTAGTTACTAATCCAAAGAAGACTGGATTCTAGTACAAAAGGGCATATTCCTTTATTTACCCCAATAGCCCCACGGGACTATTACCAAATTAGTATAGGTGTGGTGTGATGCTTTTGCTTTCATTTGTATCTGATGATGCAGCTCAGGCTGCTTTAGCAGTGAAAGCTTGCTGCAGTTCATAAAAAAACAAAAAAAAACACACACACACCATACATTATGCCACAGCATGTGTGTATTGACTGCAGTACGATTAGGACTATAATACTATAAATTATACACACACAAAAATAAAATAAAACTGGACCCAAGCGATACAGGCAGATTTTCAGAAAGCTCTACAAAATAAGTAACCCAAGATTTCTTTGTAATAATGTCTTAAAAAATGTAAATCAAGGCATGCAATTCTTGGGGACAAGCCCTTTCTTCAGGCATTGAATAGTTAACATGCAGTATGTAATAGATTAGCTGGGGCAGGGCATGCTTAGTTGTCAACAGTTCTTAATCAAATCAACATGAGGTAGGTAGTGTGACACACATACACAATCTTAGTGTAAAGAAACTGTGAAATTGCAAATCTATTGGCTCACACTGCCTCTTTAACAAAGTGAGAGGAGGTATCCAAGGATAATTCACTGTGCAGTTCTTGTAAGTCTGCACAGGCTACAAGAGTGAGATAATGCAGACTTTATTTCAAAGACACAGTCAAGAAAGCTCTGTAAGCTAAACTACAGAGGCAAAACACAGCTAAAAAAAATTCTTTAAAAAAAAAGTCACTCTTCTTTTGTAGCGATTATATACAATTGTGCTATATGAAATGTCAAGCAAAGCATAAGATGTGGGGCTATAACCCAAGAAAGCAAAATTTCAGGTTTTAACCATAAAATCTTTGTAGAATAATGCAAAATTAAAACAAACACTAAGAGAAAGCATTGGACTGGCTAAGTAATCTCAGACAAGGATATGGGGCAAGGGTGGAGCAAAACGACATGCTGGCCAATCAGCATCTCCTCAGAGGTGTATTTGACCAGTGATTCTTTATGAGTAGTGATGTCCCGAACGGTTCACCACGGACAGCGAACATATGCGGTAAACTTTTACCCTGTACCTCACAGTCAGCAGACACATTCCAGCCAATCAGCAGCAGACCCTCCCACCTCCTGGACAGCATCCATTGTACATTCATTGTGAAGCTGCATTCTTAGTGAGCTGTCCAGGAGGTGGGAGGGTCTGGGAGGGAGGGTCTGCTGCTGATTGGCTGGAATGTGTCTGCTGACTGTGAGGTACATGGTCAAAGTTTACCGCATATGTTCGCCGTCCACGACGAACCGTTCGGGACATCACTATTTATGAGGAGTGTTCAGCATCTCCATGCAGAGAACTGACACAGGAAGCCCTCTAGTGGCCACTGGAGGTGTCCCTAGGCAGCAATGTAAACAATGCCTTTTCTCTGAAATGGCAGTATTAACACAAAAATGCTTGCATCCATAGCCACACACCTTCATGCCACAAATATTTCCTTACCAATGTCTGCACACAGTCTCTGCCCCAAGAGCACTGAGTGGACAACTTTTAATTTTCAATTCTGGCTGCAAGAAGACAGAGAAACGACAAACAAGTAGTAATATCCTTACAATAAGTTTCCCTGAGTACCCTCTTCTAATGCAGGTTTGCTTTGTTCAGATCAAAAAGAGCTGAGCGCACACATTTGATAAGAATTTTTTTCGTGAGTGAGGGGGCGAGGCTAAGAGTGAATGCTTATCATGCGGCATTCTGTGAAACATGTCTTTGTTTGTGCATAAACTATTTTTTTTTTTTCAAACTAAGATTTGAGCATGAAAAATAAGTAAATAGAGAACATATTGAGGCCAAAACCTCAAAACAGAGCTTCAAGTGTTCCTTTAAATGTATTTTTTGCAGAGACAGGGTCATAGATAAACGGGCTCAATTTAATTTAATTTTTGAGACCCTTAGGAACTATCCTGTTTCGGTTGGAGAGCTTCAATATTCACAAATATAACCACAGCAGTACACAACAAAGTAAATTTTAAATACGTAAATATTTATTCAATATAAAAAATGGTAATTAAAGGGACACTCCAGGAACCCAGACAACTTCTGCCCATTGGAGTGGTCTGGGTGCCAACTCCCACCACCCTTAATCCTGCAAATTATTTTTTTGCAGTTTTTATGAACTGCCATTATTACCTTGCAGGGTTAACTCCTCCTCTAGTGGCTGTCTATCAGACAGCCACTAGAGGGACTTCCAAGTTCTTAGAACACGAAAAGTGTTTTAAACGACGCTGGACGTCCTCACGCTATGCAGGAGTACCCCTCCAGCGTCACCGGAATCCCCATAGGAAAGTATTGAATAATGCTTTTCTATGGGGAGGTCTAATGCACATGCGCAGCCATTGCCATGCATTAGGTCTCCCCCGCGGAGGAGCATAGGCGGAGCCTGACTCAGCGCAGAGGGACACCTCATGTTGATTTGATTAAGAACTGTTGACAACTAAGCATGCCCTGCCCCAGCTAATCTATTACATATTACATACTGCATGTAACCAGGTAAGTCACTGAAGAGGTTTTAACATATCCGTTTTTTTGGCACTGAAGAATCCCTTTAAATGCACATCAAAGAAATGGACTATCTAGAATGTATCAACTGGCAGTAAGATACCCCAACATTTTGGCTTTTGGCATTTCTCAAGGCATACGTGCACTTGTGCGGACAAGAGTACTCCACCCTGCAAGTCATATGCCTAAAAGGAATCCCTGCAAGCATCAATAAATGAAGTAAACACATGCTGTGGATAATAATTAAAACCTCAATCACATATGTCCATACAACTTTCGGTCACTGCTCCTCAGTGTAATGAGTCCACCTGTAGCATATGCTTTCATTTTTAAGACTTCCCCTTGACACAGTAAACAATTTCATTTTTTTTTTGGGAGAAAGAGGGGACATTACACAAGCAAAATCGACTGTTTCACATCTTGTTAGCGGAATTGTTTTGCTTTTAGAGTACATATACTGTATAATTTATATTTGTAGTGAACACAACACTAAATTAGCAGCTACTTCTGCAGCTGCATTTGCAATTATTATTTAAAGGAACACTATAGGGTCAGGAACACAAACCGTTAAAAGCACTATTTAGCCCCTCTAAAACATAGTAAAATCTTACCTTTATTCCAGTCTACTGGTGCTAGCTATGCCCCTGATCTGCCTTCTTAGCTGACGTAATCAGAAGTGATGATTTCAGCCAATGGCTGAGATGGTCAATTTTGATGATCTTAGCCAAGGACATGGCCTGGGGGTGGAACCAAACCCCACCCTGACCATAAGAATCTACTCTTAGAGATGCATTGAATCACAGGGTGCAGCACTGCCCCAGGAAGCAACTCTAGTAGCCATCTGAGGAGTGGCCACTGGAGGTGTCCCTAGGCTGTAATGTAAACACTGCCTTTTCTCTGAAAAGCCTACAAAGACAGGCTATACTTGCCAGAACAACTACATTAAGCTGTAGTTGTTCTGGTGACTATATTTTCCCTTTCATTTTGTCAAATATACCTAAAACAGTCTTGGTGGCATATTATTGGCAATTTTGTGATTAATTAGGTGATGTACAAATATTCTGGAGGTTATCTGCCATTACCTCACTCTGTTAGGATAATTGTATATTAGATATCGTACCTCTAGCATTCTAGCATTTATATTTAGAAAAGATCATATATGCTGGCAACAGTTTGCAAAAAAGCAATACAGAAGCCATTATCCTCTGTAAAACGCAGCCTGGTACTTAGGAAAGTTAACGATATTAAAGCCTTTTGGGAGCACTGACCGAGGCCATTACTAGAAAGAGGTATTCTTTAGGACAGGATGTGAATTGTTCAGCCTGGGCTCTGGTGTCTGAATTACGGAACATAGCCAACTCTTCAGAAAAGAGGGTGTTATATTCAGAACAGTCAAATTGGCACTTCCAGATCACAAACACCATCTAAATTACACAAACCACTCCTTTTTGTCCCAGACATAGGCTAGGAAACAGAATTTATATTTAAATAAGGCACATTCACTATAAACTATAGAGGCACCAATAAATAAAAAATGGGTCAAGTGTAATGAGATCACGGTCATATTTCAGACATTTGACACAGCTTGCATATCAGTAATAAAAAGGTTTCCATTTAAATATACTAATAGAAGAACAGGAACATAATGAGTTACTGTGCGCTTTGTTGCCTACCACAATATACAAATCCCCATTGATCTAGAAGACTCCGTTAGTACCCCATCCCCCCCCCCATAATGGTCCACCTTGAAAATGCTTCTCAGGTGTTTTGTTATTAGCCAGCACATTCATACACACGTTTATATTGTACCAAGTGTGAGCAGTTCGTGTACTCTAATCTTCTATATCTCCACTTTTTTATTCCTTGTTTGCCAATTATGTGATATTTCTTCAATTCTCATGGATTTGACTCTACAAAGATCAAAGGTTCAGAATCAGATCCACATACAAAATGCATACAGGCAGATTAAATCTTTAATTACAGTTTTTTCTAAAAAAAGACATGTCTTCAGAATAGTAAGGATTTTACTGGACCCTGCTGTATGCATTTTTAGAAAAAGGGGAACCTAGAAAGAAATCGAACCAAGCTTTCAAAGCTTTACAAAATATGTTAAAGGCTGTGCATTCAGTGAAACCAAAAGTGAGCCATTAACAAGGCAATTAAAGAGAGGTCAATCAGAGTTCTGGGCTGGCTAATGTTAATTCTGTGCATATTTGGGGTTTGTCATCCGTAATCATAGCATGCTGAAGACTAATGGGAAAACACCCACACCACCCAAGTCCTCCCCAACATTCCCTGCAATGACAGTGAGTGACATCACCATAGCGGAATTTGGGCTGCAGGGAGAGCTTGGTCTCAGCACTGGAACACTGGTACGTTTTGCTTTATTTTTGATTTTTAAGACTTTGGGGGGGAAACTATGCCAGTAAGGATAACTAACCAAAAAAAAAAACAAACAGTTTTTGGTTGGACTAGACTAACACTTTAAATATCAAAATTCCTATTTAAAGGATCACTATAGGGTCAGGAACACAAACATGTATTCCTGACCCTATAGTGTTAAAACCACCATCTAGCTCCCATGGGCCCATCCTGCCTCCATAAATATTGTAAAAATCTTACTGTATTCAAGCCTGAAGCTGTAACTCTGCATGCTGTTAGACTCAGAAAAACAAGCAGTCTGCTGACATCAGAAGTGGTAGCCTGATTCAATCACAATGCTTCCCCATAGGATTGGCTGAGACTGACAAAGAGGCAGATCACGGGCATAGCCAGCACAATTCAAACACAGCCCTTGCCAATCAGCATCTCCTCATAGAGATGAATTGAATCAATGAATCTCTATGAGGAAAGTGCATGCAGAGCGAGGAGACGCTGAATGTTTGGATGCATTTTAGGCAGCCATGACCCAGGAAGGATCTCTAACAGCCATCTGAGGAGTGGCCAGTGAAGTTATCACTAGGCTGTAATGTAAACACTGCATTTTCTCTGAAAAGAGTGTTTACAGCAAAAAGCCTGAAGGTAATGATTCTACTCACCAGAACAAATTCAATAATTGTTCTGGTGACTATATTGTCCCTTTAAGGAATTGAACTGTTACTGAAGACCTAGCCACAATGAACTTATTTTTTTATTGGTGTGTTGCTACAACTTAGAAAGAGACCAGAGCTATAAACATCAATATTGTGCAAGACAGCTCATATTCATATTGGAGTAACATTGGCACCTCATCTCATAAGTGCATGCAGCATAGTATAAGAGTAAGAAGACAACATGCTGGGAAAACTACAGAAATTGTACTGGTGTCAAATGCTGTTCAAGACAAATTATGTATATACCTGTGCCTTTGAACAAGCCACTTGTATTAATGAGAAAATTCTAAAAAGCCCTACTACTTACGATGTAAAGTAAATAATGAAGTCTGCTCTGCGTCTTGCAAGTGTGCAGGCATGGCACTCAAAACTTAATCACAATACTTTCTTTCTATAAAACTGTAGTTATTCCCTACATTCAATTAATTCAGCAGTGCAAGATTTTGTTGCTGCTACTACATAAGCACCGGAGATTTGCTCACTAAACACAGGATTTTAGGGAATTAAAAAACAAAATTGCTCAATTTAGGCTAGAAATGCCAAGAATGGACTATACACAAGATACACAATTTGTCCAAAATAAGCTATTTTGCAATTTGTTTTCAATTCACTGCAGTTTGTAGTTTAGTGAATACAAGCCTATGTCAAATCAAATCAATCAACTAACTAACTAAAAGGAAAGCAATGAATATATACTGAAGACAACAATGTAGTCTGAAAAAGGCAGATGGACAGAAGGTAATCACCCAGGGCCAAACAATTAGACTACAAGTAAAACAGCAAATATTTAGCCCAAGCTTGCACATAAGCACACATAAAATCCTGATGTGTGGGTTACAAACACACAACTTCAAGGAAAGACTGTGTAAGCACAGCACTGGCATTCCTGAAGCATGACAAGTATGCATTGCATCACCTTCATCAAATGGTGCTCAAATGACTTAAATAGGCAACTAATACTAAAATTGTAGAGAAAGTAATACAATACTGCATTTCTACAGGTGTTTTACTTTCTCAAAAAAACAAAACAAAAAGCAAAATCGGTTTACCTCTTGAAATATTTGCCAGTCCCTGCACTGGCTGATTACTTATAAGAAGCTCGAAATAGAGCAGAATTATTATTGGTATTAATACAGTACAGCGCAAACTAATTCCAAATTCAACAGAAATAACAAGTTAGGTTTTGTTTTTTTAAATTGTAATAGCAAAATCCCTAAATGGTTACCCTTTTTAAAAAACAGAATTTTACTTGAAATGCTGTATTGGGCAGTACTAGTTATCCACCCACTTAAAATGCAATAGTAAAGTGTTAAACTTACCTTGAATTCAGCATCAGGTGAAATCATAGGCTCCCTCGGATGATCCATTCAAATAGCATTTGATTTAAACTTTCTCAATGGCTCTGAGCACATGTGCATGCTCAAAGCCAGGAGATAGAGGTATGAACAAGGGAGACAGGGGATTAATTAAATGTTTTTTTTTCCCAAATTGAGGGAGGCAGTGAGGACTGGGACTGCATGCAGGGAGGGAAGATGAAGCAGACCACGTCCGTTGCCAGCGCGCAGACAGCAGCCAGCTCCAATATCAATTCTGAGCAAAAAGCATATGCAAGTCTTGGCTTCCTAAGTCACATGTGCAAGGGGTGTAACTAGGCCCAGCATACAACTATTCCATTTTCTTTTCTGGCATAGATTTTAGGTTATTTTTTTATGCTTAAAGGACCACTATAGTGCCAGGAAAACATACCCGTTTTCCTGGCACTATAGTGCCCTGAGGGTGCCCCCACCCTCAGGGTCCCACTCCCGCCCGGCTCTGGAAGGGGGAAAGGGGTTAAAACTTACCTTTTTCCAGCGCTGGGCGGAGAGCTCTCCTCCTCCGATCCTCCTCTTCTCCTCCTCCTCCCCGTCGGCTGAATGCGCACGCGCGGCATGAGCTGCGCGCACATTCACCCGGTCACATAGGAAAGCATTATCAATGTTCTGCTCAATTAAGTAAGAGGGGTAAGTTACTTTGTAAGTGTAGGAGAAACATGGCTAATACACATGATCCTGATTCTGGCAATGAAATACATTATTGACATGCTGACAAAACAGAAATATACACAGCAGCTCCAAATCATGTGAAATAAGGGTAACAACTGATTGTATTAATGACTGCAGTAAATGCAGCAACCGAGCTGATCTACAGTGAACCAGTCAGGGGAAAGACGGGAAAAAAGCAACAAAAAACAAAACAAACAAATGAAAATAAAGTTATGTTTCTTAAGAGCCACACAGAGTTTTATTTATAAGAAGAAAAAAAATAAAAAATAAAAAATCAGTGTATTAAGCATATTGTTTGATTCTAAAGCTATTTTTAAACCTTTCTAGATTTAAAAGGGATAGTTTGTTCCTGTGTTCTTGGCAACTAAACACTTAAAATTTAGTCTATACTGTACACTTATTGCCAAATGAAACAAGATCTGCAATAGTGTCTCTAGTCCAAACAATTTGAAATTCCATCTCTACTGGGAGATATGTACAGCGCTACGTAATGTGATGGCGCTATTTAAATAATAAAATAATAATATAAGTTTTCAGTTTTGAATTTCCAAGAAAAGTATGTGCTTAGTTTTTGCTTAAATGTACTCACCTTACTAATTAGAATCTGAAATTTATCTTCAGGCTCTTAATGAAAGGCTGTCTATGACAAAATATATTCAATAATGCTTGCTACAGATACACAGGGCACTGGTATGATTGTTACCAGCTGACTCTAGGGGGCACTGTAAACACTTTACACTTTTTAAAGGGACACTGTAGGCACCCAGACCACTTCAGCGCATTGAAGTGGTCTGGGTACTGTGTCCCTTTTGCACCTAGCGCTGCAATGTAAAATAGAACAGTTCCAAAGAACTGCAATGTTTACATTGCAGCTCTAAGTCTGCCCTCAGTGGCTGTCCACCAGACAGCCACTGGTGGCACTTCCGTAATCCAAACGGACTTTTAGTCCGTTATCGAACGCTGTACGTCCTCACACTCTGCACGAGAACCTCCAGCGTCAGACTTTCCTCATAGGAAAGCATTGAATAATGCTTTCCAATGGGGAGGTCCAATACGTGCAAGGCCATTGGCGCGCATGCGCATTAGTTCTCCCCAGCCGGCTGACATCAATGGGGGAGGAGCGTGGGTGAAGCGGACTTAAACTCATCCTTGGATCAAAGAAAGTCAGGTGTAGGAAAAATACATAAGACAAACTAGTCCCTACTTTGTTTTATAGAAAACTAGAACAGAAATAAAGAAAAGAAGAAAACATTCTGAGAGAGGAAGAGAAGAGGAAACAATAGGAGAAAGATAAGTTCGACAGTTAATCCGTTTTATCTATGCACTGTGCTACATATGTGATAGATATTTATAAATTGAAAGTTACATAACTGAATAGCCACAACAATAAAACCACTGACATGTGAGGTTAAAGAACAGCAGTGATTATATTGTTACAATGGTTAATGAGTGTGATATATTAGGTAGCAAGTTAGTTCTTAAATTTCATGTGTAGGAAGTGGGAAAAACAGGAAAGTGAAAAGATCTAAAATGACTTTCACAAGGGCCATATAGTTATGGCTGGACAAGCATCTCTAAAATGGCAAGTCTTGTCCGTTGTATGTTCTTGGTATGAAGTGGTTAGTACCTATCGAAAGTGCAAGGAATGACATCCGATGAACCGGCATCAGTGTCATGGTGCCAGAGGTTCATTGATGCACGTGGGGAGCTAGCCTGTCTGGTCCAATCACGTAGAAGGGTTACTGTAACTCAAATTGCTGAAAAACGTAACACTGGCTACAACAGAAAGGTGTCAGAACAAACAGTGCATCTCAGTTATCTTGGTAAGGGGCTGCATAGCCGCAGACCGAGCAGAATGCCCATGATGACCCCTGTCCACATCACAAGTGCCTCCAATGGGGACATGAGCATCAAAACTTGGCCATGGAGCAATGGAAGATGGTTGCCTGGTCTGATGACTTACGTTCTTTTAGGTTGCGGTTGGTTTGTTTTCGTTGCTGCTGTCTTGGCCTCCAAATTCAGCAGATCTCAATTCGAGAGCATCTATTGGATGTGCAGGAACAACAAATCTGTTCCATAGAGGCCCCACCTCACAACTTGCAGGACTTCCAGGGTCTGCTGCTGATGTTTTGGTGCCCAATACCAAAGGGCACAGTAAGAGGTCTTGAGTCTATGCCTCAATGGATCAGAGCCGTTTTGGCAGGGAGACCTACACAATATTTGGCAGGCGATTTTAATGTTGTGGCTAATCAGTCTGCCCTACGCTAGTTTACAGCCAAGTCAGCCTTACCTGCCATTCCTAGCGATCTACCTTCTGGTACAGCTTGACATTTTCTGTGCATCAGCTTCCAACAAGAATCAGGAACATGGGGGTTTAATGTATGCATTAAACTAGAATTTGCTAGTATAAGTAATTATTCACCAATTTAAACAATAAATAAATAAGATTCTACACTTGTACATGGTACAAATAGACCATTTAACTAGTTTATATACCGAGGAGGTCATTACTACCTAACTTTACGTCACACCTGGGCTTCACAAACAGAACAGACCGAGGTCACAGAAAAAGAAGGTACGTAAATAACAAACAAGCAAAAAAAAAATCAAAAAAAAAAAATCAAGGGATAATCAAAATACATTCCAAAGTCACAATACACAAGAACAACAAGTAACCATGCACTCTCGGATAACCAGACTAGAAATCACAACAGGGCACTGAAAATAAATCAAAAGGAGTTTAAATACCATAATAAGCATTCTGATAGACTAGAAATGGCTGCATAAAGTCTGGAAGTGCGTGTGTGCCATCGCACACATGTCCGCAAGAGATTTATGGGCACAGAGTAGATGAGCCATAAGAGGCTCTAGCACGCAGCGGCTAGCATCTCATATGCTTTTAGACATAGTTGCTACCGAGGCAAGTTGTACCCAGCCACTTTCCTTTGGGAGAATGCATCGCAGCGGAGTTTGCCAGGCGGACTGCTATAGAAGTGTGGTCTCGGACATACTGGACACCAAGACCGCTACTAGTTAGTATAACATTTTACATACATTGTGCGATCCAACTTGCTAACAAAAGTATATATATAAGTAGTTATTTCACTAAGCATTTTTGACCTCCTTAGTTTTTACACCTATGCCATTGCTGTAAATGACAAAAATTGGGAGCAAAGATGCAAAAAAAAAAATAATATATATACATGCTTTGCCACTCCCAGCTCCTTCTGTCAGGACTAAACTACAGCAGAGCTTTTTATTAAGTAGACCTTTTTACATAATAAACCCTTTGAACAGAGAAGAAAAAAAAATGCATAACCGTTTTTTCCTTTTTCTGTAAATAAAGAAACTATTAGTTAATGATAAGCTCTTAATAAATGTCATAACTACCAGTATCTGCAGACATAGCATAATTTGAACAATAGTTTTAGCTCCAAGGGCATATTATCATTAATAATGCACAATGAATCATTCTTTCGTCTTAACATCACATACTTAAGTAAAAAGCATTGATTTTCCATCCTTGTGACCGCAAAATGTTCTTGTAAAAGTACACAGCAGCTTTACACAGTAAAAGTGAAGATCCATGTTTCTAATTAAAATCATTTACAATGCTCATTGAACTATGAAATAAAAAAAAAAAAATTGAAAACCACACAAAGACGACTTTTTTTTTTTTCGGGAGCAAATAAGGCATGCATAAATATACCAGAGGTCAAATTGGTTTACCAGCAGAGACGGGTGCATGCAATGCTTGCTGTCCACTATTGTAAAGATCAGTTTAGTTTCTTTTTAATCAGTGGACTTGTCATATCATTCATAATAAAAAGATTAAAATAGTTCTTGGTAAACATACATACAGATGCATGTTGGTGTCAATCAATATTACATGAATGCATAAAAATAGTTTATCTAAATAAGATTTTTCAGAAGAGTACATTAGCACACACCTACACTATGTAGATTTTAAAGCACGCATAATAAATGTGTATCTGTGGATTCAGTCAATTCTCTATACAGATCTATCATGTTTAACCAGAATACCCCATTAATAATAGGTATAAACACAACTTCAGACATAGAACTCAACTTGTGATACGTACACTGTGCTTAAGTCCCTCCTGCATAATTCTGAAACTCCTCCACATTTTATAAACTGCTATAATTATCTGCTAGGGTTAACTCCTCCTTTAGTGGCTGAGCCATTATCTGAATAAAAGTACAAAAACCATCTACAGTTTATTATGTTTAGATTTTTATGAAGTAAAACAAAAAAGTAAAACTTGTATCCACTTCCATTCCAAATAAATGGTTTACTAGGAGATGGATAGATTGGATAGAGATATACATATACACATCCAGCCACTAGAGGAACTTTGGTCACGCTATGCATGAGGACCTCCAGCGTCACCGGAATCCTTAAATAATAATTGAATAATGCTTTCTTATGGGGAAATAAAAATGCGAGCGCGTCCATAGCCGCACATGCGCCTTAGGTCTCTCCTGCTGGTGGATGTCGGCGGGGAGGAGCTGAGCCAGCGCCAAGGGACAGTGGCGCTGGACCCAGATAAGTGACAGAAGAGGTTAATAATAATAAAAATACTTTTATTATATACACACACACACACACACATACACACACACACACGTGTGTGTGCACTTGCAGTAGTGAGAGCACTGTAAAAAGTGAGATTTATGTGGGAAAAGTCTTATGGCTTGACTGGTGTGTGTAGTGTGTATTTGTGTTCAATATATTAAAATATATTGAACACAAATATTTCACTAGCAATGCACATCTAAGGTTTTAAGTTGGAAAAGATACACACACACACACACACAAGACCCTACATAATGCCATTTGCATGTACAATCACCAAATTTCAGATGGGCTATTTGCAGATCTGAACACACCTATTCCAACTTAAAACCTTAGATGTGCATTGCTAGTGAAATATAATGCGTGAAAAACAATGTAATAACTGTAGAAAAAGCCATCACACATTGTTGCAATTCTTTTGTCATACATGTTTGGCTTATTGTACAACTGATGAGGTAACAAAAACCAAACTCTGCTCCAAAGGAAGAGGTGTTTATACATCAATAAATAAAAGAGCAGGAAATCTACAAAATTGAATGGCAAGTGTACCCTGACATTTTTTCATACAGCTAGTTTAAATAATGCCTACAACAAGTATGACTTAAAAGTTACTCAACCATGATGAGAGTTTGTGAAACAGTTTTGTAATGAAAAGATAAAAATAAATTAATATTATTTATAATCAGAGATGAAAGTTTCAAGTCTTACACTACTAGCTAGGAATTTAAAGGGACACTATAGTCACCCAGACCATTTCAGCATGAAGTGGTCTGGGTGCCAGGTCCCTCAGGTTTTTGTAAACATAGCAGTTTCTGAGAAACTTCTATGTTTACATTGCAGGGTTAAGCCAGCCTCTAATGGCTGTCTTCCGGACTGAGAAATTCTTTCCTATTGACAGCTTGAATGCGCACGCAGCACTTGCCGCGCATGCGCATTCGGCTACACTGACGTCGGCGGGGGAGGAGAGGTCACCAGAGCCGAGGGAGCCCGGCACTGGAATAAGGTAAGCAACTGAAGGGGTTTTAACGCCTTTAGCGCCACGGGAGGGGGCACCCTCAGGACAATATAGTGTCAGGAAAACCACTATTGTGATCCTTTAAAGTTCTTCTACAATGCCAGCCTGGAGGGTCTATGACACACTTATCAGCATTGAATTTCTACTCAATAGAGCTAAAATTTATATTCGCCAAGATTTGTATTTTGTGATATAAACAAGGCTCAGAAATTTCCACTTACCACAAACACTGAACTAATATGAGCAGGAAAGTTTAATAAGCAAACCAGGTCTAATGTGTCTACTTGTATATATTTTCACCTGACAATAATCTCTACTTAACACAGGTTTGTAAAAATAATGCACCTGGCATCATTTTTTTGTTTGATTTTAAATCTGATGCACATTTTGTGCTTGAAGTTACCCATTCAGCATCCACTGTAAGTGGTCTGTGGGGTCCAAATGTTGCCAATATGGCAGAGCCATTATCTAAATAAAAGTACCAAACATCTAGAGTTTGATTATGTTTAGATTTTTATGAAGTAATTCTGAGTGCACATATATGTACAGACATCACTTGTATCCACTTCCATTCCAAATAGATGATTTACTAGATGGACAGATTAGATAGAGATATACAAATAAACATACATACACTTCCATCCAGTACCAACCTCATGCTGAGGAGTGGTTCAATGGCTCTGCATTTCTTCCGGAGTTGTGTTTCAAAGCGGTTGTGTACGGCAAACACAAACTCCAAAGAATCCATGTTTAAAACAGAATGAGGCAAAAATTTGATTCTTTTTTTCCACCACTAACACATACACACATTTACATACATACACACTCTCACACCCACCCCCACCAAAAAAGAAAGACTTTTTTTTTTATTTATTTAACACAACATTGACCATTCCTTGGTATGCAATAGATGTTGAAGTATTTATTAACCCCCCCCCCCCCATGACACAGCTTCAGAATTAAAATGCCAGAATGATGGACAATTGCAAAGGTCAGGCAGGAGCTAGGTGTAGTGACTGAGTAAGGAGTAGTAGAAATAATGAAGTAAATGGTTACTCAGCTTCTGACCACATATGTGAATCAGTTACCCACAGCCACATCTGCATGCCAAACTGACCTAAGCCTCTGTAAGCTGCCAACATCAACTTCTGATTTTATTGGGAACTACAGCCTACATACCTCCAGGTTTCTATCTGGTGAATCAACAGTCCCTGTAGCTCAAAACCAGAGACACAGTGATGAACTGTCACAGTAATTTAAGACTTCAAAGACCTTCTGATTTTTATTGATCCAGTTAGGAATAATTCCACAAATACTTTAAACAGTCAAAACACACAAGCTATATTTTTTTCCTGCAATCAAAAGCAAAATACTTTTTAGGGTCATTGTTTTAACAGAGGCTATTTATTGCTCATAATCTAATTTTATTTCATCTTGTGGCTGTGTAGGAGTGCATTTGAATATACAAAGATGTAAAGGCCAAGTGAGTAATTGCACCACTGGAACAGAGTCAATTAAAAACTCCCTGAAACACATCTGCAGTAAAGGCAAAGCCATCCAAAAGAGTTACTTCTATGCAAGCCGTGAACTGGAGGATAGCTTTCTCCAACAAATCCATCACTTGCTAAAAATCTTCACATTACATTTTAAGTCAGGCATTGCTTGCTTTACCTTAAATGGAAACTGAACATGTAAAATCTGCTAAAATAATTGTGCAATACACCAAGCTTAGTAAGTAAATTAGGTCATCAGTGGTGGCCATTTTGTGCTATGCTGGGGTAGCCTACCACACCTTGAGGTCTGTGTAGTCATAGATAGTCTATAGAACCCAGGCTAGGCTATCCAGTGCTCTTTCAGTAACAGTAAGTAGGTCTGCCAGACAGCAGCATATTAGATAAGACAAATGGAAAGTGGAATGTCATGCACTCGTTTGATTAACATTGCCATCAATTTCTCATAAGAGTCAATGCAATATCTATAGAGATGTGAGCTTTCTGGGATTAGGGCTTCTGATAAGATGCCTGGCAAGAGTCCCTTTCTTGCATTAGAAGGGAGACCTGTGTGCGGGGAATGGAGTTATTAATATTCAAAAACTGACATATCAAGGCATATCAAGTCAGTTATCTTTATAACTAAAATTAAATTTCAAACCATGTCAGGATGACTGCAGTAACTGCTTAATCTTGACACCAGTCACATTATTTGTTTTTTCATTGGCTGTGCACTTGTTTTAAACATACCCACCGACAATTTAATAAAATGCCATCAACAGATATTCATTTCCAACAGCATTTATAATGTTAGTTCTAAACCAAGTGATATCAATTTGATTCTTAGCGGATGAGGTCTGTAGCCTTTACCTTGGTTTCTAGTACATAAGTTAAAGTGATCTCTATAAAGAACAATTCGGGGTCAAAAGTTCTAAATGTAGAGCAATACCATTGGAAATCAGTGTAAATGCCTCTGCTCATGTCTTCACATTTCAAACTCTGCCAAGAATTTCTCATTTTGTAAAAGGTCAGGGTTGGTGAAATGTCTATTGCATGCATCAATTTATTAAAATTAAACATAAAACATGCAGACACTGCTATAGACATTGGGAAAGTCATGGAATTTATTTTGGGTCTTAAATATACCACACCCAGAGGTCTTACACTGGCATTAATTAGTCTGCCATAACTAGGCAACTCTTTCATCATTTTAATTTACAATAATGATTCATCCTCAAAATACAAAAAAGAAAACTCCAATCCACAAACAAAACCACAACTATAAACATTCAAAATGAGAACAATGCACAGATTGATAAAATGGTGGGTACATGCAGCTTTAATCTCCATCACAAGTAATAATGTAATAATAAGTAATAAAACAGGCGTTTTAAAAAAAATATATAATATAATATTATATATATAATTTTTTTTTTTTTTTTTTAAATCCATTGATAAATGACATCTGCAGAAAGGTCCAAAGCCCACTTTGTGATATGAAGGTGATGCTCGATAGTATTATCTCTCTATGTGCTGTTTTAATCAAACTGTGGTGACTAAAAGTCTTCAACGTAACCGCATACTGCCTCATACCATTATTACAACAGTTACAAAGTGCTATATTTACAAGGATTTAAATAAGTGTCTACAAACTGCTAAATCTGCTTTGGGACAAAGGTGCCCCAGAAAACATTAACTAACAATTTAACAATAAAATCACACACAAGGAAACATAAATCAAAATGATTGCTCGTTATTCAAACCTGTGAATAATATATTAGACTGAACATATTGTAAATTTATTGAACAATGTTTACCTACACAAGCTACCTTTAACCCCTTAAGGACTGGACTTTTTTTGCGATGTTGTACATTTGCGACCAGGCCTCTTTTTACACTTTTGTGGTGTTTGTGTTTAGCTGTAATTTTCCGCTCTCTCATTTACTATTCCTATACAAATTATATATTGTTTTTTCAGGACAAAAAGGGCTTTCTTTACATACCATTATTTATATAATCTCATGTAATTTAAAAAAATAAAATATGATGAAAAATTGAAAAAAAAAACCCTGTTTTTTGACTTTTACTTGAAAAATCTTTTACTCATCTACAAAAGCGAATGAAAAAACTGCTATATAGATTCAGAATTTTGTCCTAAGTTTAAAAATACCCAGTGTTTACATGCTTTTTTGCTTATAGGGCTATAGGTACAAGTAGGATATTGCGGTTTCAAAACATACAATGTCACTATTGATACATTTTAAAAATGTAACACTATTATCTGTCATAAATCTCTGAATAACACCCCACATGTACATAATTTATTTTAAAGTAGACAACGCAGGGTATTCAATATGGGGTATGTCCAGTCTTTTTTAGTAGCCACATAGTCACAAACACTGGCCAAAGTTAGCGTTCATATTGGTTTGTGTGTGAAAAAAGTAAAAAACTAAAATTGAACGCTAATTTTGGCCAGTGTTTGTGACTAAGTGGCTACTAAAAAAGACTGGACATACCCCACTTGCAATACCTTGGGTTGTCTTCTTTTGCAAATGGTATGCCATCATGGGGGTAATTCTCATTCCTGGGCTACCATACGCTCTCAAAGGCAACGTAACCAACCTGGCCATTTTCAATGTAAAAATATCTGACCCATATACTTGACCCTGTAACTTTCAAAAACGCTATAAAACCTGTACATGGGGGGTACTGTTATACTCAGGACACATTGCTGAATACAAATATTAGTGTTTCAAAACAGAAAATCGTATCACAACAATTATATCATCAGTAAAAGTGCGGTTTGTGTGTGAAAAATGCAAAAAAAGTCACTTTTACTGACCATATCATCGCTGTGATATGTTTTACTGTTTTGAATCACTAATATTTGTGTTCAGCGAAGTCTCCCGAGTAAAACAGTACCCCCCATGTACAAGTTTTAGAGTGTCACAGAAAGTTACAGGGTAAAATATAGTGCTAGCAAATTAAATTCTCTGGACTTTCGGCCTGGGTTGGCAGGCAGGTCCCTCAAATTGCAATCAATAAAGTTACTTAATTATGTAATAATATTACATAAATACACACATAGAATTTAAATATATATGCATATTTATATATTTGAAGTCTGTGTATATTTATATAATTATTTATGTAATTTTGTATATGGACATATGTATATTTCGTACTTTTATTTATTTATATATACACATAGATATATCAAAATACACTTAGAATGAAATTGTATATAAATAAATATATAACTATCAAAACACAGTTAGAATAAAATTTCAAATAGATATAATTTTTTAAAATGTTTATTATTTTTTACATGTTTTTATTTAATTTAAATTACTTATTTGTATTTTATACATACATACACACACACACACACTCTAAGTACTATTTAAATTTAAAAACGGTTTTATAACTTTTACAAAACCTTTTTTACAGGCATGAGGAGGACAGCTGAGAGCTGCAGGCACTGCATAAGCCGGCTATTCCAACCATGTGATCGCGAGGACCCCGCAATCACATGGCTGGGGAGGGAGAAACCGGATCGGGCAGACACCATGATCGCGACCGCCGCCGGGTGAGCGGTGGGGACCCAGTAAGTACAAGGGATGTCAGGGACGTTCTATGCCGCCCGCGTTTATGACCGCCTAAAAAAAAAAAAAGGACGGCGTAGAACGCCACCGTCCTTAAGGGGTAAATTGCTCCAATATTTTTTTTTTTTTTTTTTTTTAAAGGATCACTATAGGGTCAGGAACACAAACATGTAATCCTGACCCTATAGTGTTAAAACCACCATGGGGGGATGCCTCCATAAATATAGCAAAATCTTACTTGTATTCAAGCCTGAAGCTGTAGCTCTGCATGCTGTTTGCCTCAAAATAGAAAACGGTCTGCTGACATCATCAGAAGTGGTGGCCTGATCTAATCACAGTGCATCCCCATAGGATTGGCGGAGACTGACAAAGAGGCAGATCGGGGCAGAGCCAGCATGATTCAAACACAGCCCTGGCCAATCAGCATCTCCTCATAGAGATGAATTGAATCATTGAATCTCTACGTGGAAAGTTCAGTGTCTGCATGCAGAGGGAGGAAATACTGAATGTTTGGATGCATTTTAGACAGCCATGACCCAGGAAGGACATCGAACAGCTATCTGAGGAGTGGTCAGTGAAGTTATCACTAGGCTGTAATGTAAACACTGTAGTTTCTCTGAAAAGACAGGGTTTACAGCAAAAGGCTTGAAGGTTATGATTCTACTCACCAGAACAAATTCAATAAGCTGTAGTTGTGCTGGTGACTATAGTGTCCCTTTAATACATCATATATCACAAAGATACATGATGCATTCAATACATTTCCTCCATTCAAGCGCCGCTTCTTGGATGTTACTCTTATGTACGAGTATCTGAGAGCTATCCTCTGGTCCACCTGCTGTCTTCTTTGATTTGCCCTTCTTGGGAGACGCATCCACAAGCAGGGCAAACCTCCTCAATGACACCGTCATGCTGGCTTCGTTCCAATCATCTGAACGAAGTGACATCATGCCCCTCCAATGCCTCTGCATTGCATGAAATTAAAATATATATATATATATATATATATATATATATATATATATATATATATATATATATATATATATATAAATAAATAAATAAATAAATAATAGGTTTTTCCTCAATCCATATATTTGCTAGCAAAACCACTAGCACAATGTATAGATGAAATCTTCAAGAGAGCATAAAAAAATAAGTGTATCCATTCTTCTAAAAATTAAGATACTCAAAGCAGCATAACCTATGCTCTTTGTACGGTTTATGAAACAAAGAGCACCCCTGTCGACTGCTCTGGCTTATTTTTATAATTATAGCTGTAGATATGTACAAAAATAATGCAACAATAAACCGAATATTTATCAGTCATGAAGTCATGGATAAGCTGTGGCTTCTATTAGCTCAAGGAAGAGTTTCATTCTTGCCTTTTTATTAGAGAAATTGTATGGGGGTCCTGAATTACATATTCCATGAAGGCATTCTAGGTAAGGATTTATGATATTCGCTGTACGGTCCAACTGGGAAAAACCAGGAACAGCACTAGGTAAGTAAATTCAGCCACTATAGATTTGAAGCAACCAATGAAAGCCAGAGATGCAGAGAAGAGACTTTTAATTTCAATTAACCCTTGCAGAGGCACAAAATTGAAACCTTACCAAAAAAATAAATAAATAAAAATGGTGAAACAGGACACTACAGAAAGTTAGAAATTGTGAATTTCTAATTAAGAGAACCAAAACAAAATCAATTACAAAAAAGATGTAGCTACATATGTGTGCATCTACATTTCTTGGATAGCAACTAAAAGCTCAGTTTCAGCTAAAGAAACAAACACCAACATGATCAAACAGGACACAAAATAGTTCACTTGTATCCTACATCACCTAATCTGTTTTTGTTACCCGTCTCTGCAAAATATGAATACATTAAAAACCAAAAAGAAAGAAAAAAAATGCATGGTAATTAAGTTAACAAAATATAAGAAATTAGTACTTTGTAACATCTGTAAACAGTGCACAAGTCAAACATCTGCCAATCAGAAAGATCAGCAGTGGAGGCTGATTAATATGGGCAAGTGGGGCTTAGCAGACAATATAGGGACTGGAACCGGTACTAGGCCTGCCCCTGATCAGCCTCAATGGCAGAACATAATCAGAATTGATTATCTCAGCCAATCACAATGCACACAAAGTGTGTGTTAGAAAAATATGGGTCTGTCATGAATAGTTCCCATCTCTCCCCTTAATGGATTACTGGATATGCTGCTGAGAGGATAAACAACTAACAGCAGGTCAAGACAATTCTGAAGAAGAAAACACAACACACCCATTACCAAGATGTCTGATGGCAGCCATTTGCTTTGCATGGTGCATCACAACCTGGACAGGTCTGCAAGTTGTTCTGCCTTTGAGGATTGTCATTGGATAACAACACGAGTAAGTGGAGTTGGACCTCTTTAAAAGTGGTTGGTGTTATCCCCAAACTGGCATAGATACCAAAATGGCTGACCCAGCACGAGGAAGAAAAGATAATAAATATTAATAAATGCAAGTGGCAAGGGAGGGAGCATAATCATTAAGATACAGGGGTAATAAATAAATGACAGGGCAGCTATAGCCCATTAAGGGACACATGATGGAAATATTCCATCATGATTCTCTTTTATTCCAGAAGTTTGGTCCTTAAGGGCTTAATAAGGAAAACATTCCATGAGGTCTTCTGGACAGGCTGTGATGATGATTAAGGGAAACTTTTAATCCTTAAGGGGTTAAAACTAAAAAAGTCTAATAATAATAATAATAATAATAATAATAATAATAATAATAATAATAATAATAATAATGTTAAAAAAAGAAAAAACACAATATTAAAAAAAAAAAAATTATTTGAAAAAGCATTTTAAAAATTCCACTTTTCCATTTTCCTCTGAAATTTGAAATACTCTTTCCTATTTTAGAGAATATCTTTGCTTGAGGTTGACAAGTGTATATTTTACACGTAGGGAGTGAATTAATGTACTAGTTAATAAAATCGCACATGGAAAACTAATATGAATATAGCATTACATTAATGGAAAACAGTCTTTCAATAACAGAAGTACTTACTTTGCGATATGGTCATTGAAGGAGTTAACTGTGCCTCTCATATCCATACTGAAAAACAGCAAACAATTTTGATCATGTTAAAATTGCTTTAACCCTTCATATGAGCATGGTCAGAAAATATATTTTCCCCACATGAAAAGTACATTCTAAACAACAATGAAGTTTCCCTCAATATAAACACATTCCAAATGGAAAGTGTCCAGTAATTGATAAGATCCAAGTAATCTATAAGTTAAGCTATAGTTTTTCACTTTCTATAGACCAGATTGGTTAATTTGCAGTTGTTTGGCCTGTATACTGTGTAAGCCTGGTGGACTATGAGGGAGGAAAACATAACAATTATTTGCTCCACAGCCATTTGCTTTAAATCGGCCATATGGTCAATTACTCTACTCAATTCCTGGGGGTGTAACACCACACATTGCAAAAACTAAAGAGTAAGAGAATCACAGACATTCCACACATTCAATGTATCTTCCTGTTTGGGACTTTACTTCATGCCTTGTATGGACAAGATATGCTTTGGAACAATGCTAGAGAAAGAAGCATAAAAATGAGAACAAGGAGCCTTTATTGTTAGCTTGGAATTATAGCTGGGATAGATGTGGCAATTAAGAAAAGTTTTATATTATATGGCAGAATGTCAGGTCTTCATTTATAATAGTCCACACCCTAAATCAGAAATGCTGCTAAGAAACAAATCTGTAGAAAGGAAAAAATGAAAACTACATCGGGAGTGTGATTTCACAAAGGGTGTGGTTTGAGACGATTTTCCTCATATATAGCTCAGAACAACTATTATTCTCCATAACATTAATGCACTTTTGTCAATACCCTAAAATTTCAAACAGTAATCTACAGTACTTATGCAAAATGTCGCCATCATACAGGGCTAACCCATGTATAGGTAACCCAGGCGGCACAGGGCACACACCTCCTCCCTTCTCCCCCCTAAAAAAAAAAAAATTATGGTGAGGAAAAATGTGTTTGTTGTATACAACATCTTTTAGACACAACTCCGGAAGAGATACTAAGACAATGCTCCATTCATGGTATATAAATTTTATTTAATGAACAGGGTGCCAAGGAGGATCATCTTACACCATCTCTCCTCTCACGAACCGCGAGAGTGTTGCTGTGGGTTGCCATGGCAAAGCTCCACACAGAAGGCAATGCAATGCTGCTTGCAAGAGGAGAGGACCTGCTGCTTGAGGTGTAAGATTAGACTCCGAAGCCCCCTCTTTACAATAGAACTTGCTGTGCCCTGGACCACCGGGGAATCTGGTATCCCCCTGTAATAGTAGTTATAATAACTTATGTCATAAAATAATGCATAATGAGGTTAATGCTTTAGAGGCACCTCTAGGGGCAGTGTGTAGGAATCCTTAAGCCATGTGCTTCTGGCAGTGAGATCACAGGTCAGCCTACTTAGACATAAAAACCAGATGTAGGAGGAATTCGCTCTCTTTGCCTTACCTGACTGAACCAATGTCCAGCGCCTTCAAAAAACCCATAGAATCGCATTGTGTCAATACTTTCCTATGGGGAAGGCCTAATGTACGTCTGACGTCAAGAGGAAAAGAAGCCAAACCCAGTGCCGAGGGACACTGGCGCTAATCAGGGAAGTATTTAAAAGGGTTTTAAACCCTTTGTTTGCCACGTGGGCATAAGAGTAATTGGGTGCACTTACAGGACTTGGCAATTAGATATTTATTAGTGTAACAAAAGCAATGTTACATCAAAGCAATTAACGTTAAGTAATTTAACATGATTAACATATACCAAAAAATAAAAAACAAAAAAATAAACCCTTCTGTATAATTATGATTAAAGAGGATATGTTATCCCTACATTTTACAAATATGTATTTGTGACTTTGTCCTGCAATTGGTTGCCTATATCTTTGATCCCTGTCAATTATTACTAAAAGCTCTATCCTTTGAACCTGGCAGTCAACATAAAGAAGAGGACAAATTAAATAATGTTTCACTTTCTCCTCCTCATTTGCAATATACCCGGTCTGATCTGGACAATGTAATTTCCTAACTCTAAGATACAGTTGGAGGTTCCACCATTGAATGTGTTTAGAAGTAGAGTATGGTGCATTGTAATTGTCATTGCTAATGACACCAAGTGTTTTTTGAAGAAATCTTAAAGAAACTTACTATAGGGTTAGGAATACAAATCTTTATTAGGCTATAGTGTCCCTCTGCCACCCCCACCAACATGGCCCGACACTATTACAGGGTCAAAAACCCTTTAAACACTTACACGGAGGAGTCGGAGCCAGCATTGAGGGACCTCGGCGCTGGCTCCACCGCTCTCTTCCAATGTCAGTGCTAAGTGGAGACCTAATGAGCATTCATGGGGTGCACATTACATCCTCCCCATAGGAATGTATTGACTCAATATTTGAAGACACTGGACATCATTTCATGGAGTTAAAATCTGCTTAATGCACGAAGCATCACTAGTGGCAGATTGCAGGGTTAAAGACACACTATAGGCCAGGGGTAGGCAACCTTTTAGTAGTACTGTGCTAAATGAAGATTTTGAACTCAATTGGAGTGCCGGTACTATTTTTGTTAAATTGAGTGTGTATGATGGCGTATTCTACTTGTGTTATTTGTGGGTGCTGCAGTTGCTTTGTAGCATTGTATTTGTGCCTACGTGGGCTGTTACACTGTATAGAATTCATTCAGGAGTAGTTTGTGACATTGTGTAGGATACCTATGAATGTGGGCTATGTATAGGGGCTGCTTGTTGAATTGTGTGTGGATGACATGTCACGTTGTGTGTTTGCTTTGGGTATGTGTGTGTTTGTCCGTGTATGTGGACAGTCCATAGTTTTGTGTTTGTGGGGACTGTGTATTTGTGTGTGGACTGTTTCTATTATTTGTATAAGTGGGAGGCTAATTCTGCAGCTTTGTGTTTATCTAGCAGTGTGGGTGATTTCCCGGGGGTCCAGTAAGATCCGGGCTAGCAAGGTACAGGTGAAGGGCAGGAGCTGCAATAGCTGCTGCAGGTTACTCTACTCCAGTGGGGGAGTTTCATTCACCAGGGCTGGGATATAGTGATCTGAGATCATTTCCTCTAAATGCTGAAATGCGTAAATTGAGGATTGTCCTTCAACGCCTGCAATCACCACCCGGTTTACACTAAGGACTCCTGATATGCCCCCTGTTTAGCTCTAGTAGCCTTTAGTGCCGTACAAAGGCACCCTGAGTGCCATCCATGGCAATGTGCCATAGGTTGCTGACCCCTGCTATAGGCATTCATACCACTTCAGTTCATTGAAGTGGTGTAGGTGCAGTGACTCTGTCCTCTTTAGTTTTGCAATGTAAATCACTGCAGTTTTTGCAGCCACTAGAGGCACTTCCTGGTGGTTAAAGGGACACTATAGTCACCTGAACAACTTTAGCTTAATGATGCAGTTTTGGTGTATAGAACATGCCCCTGCAGCCTCACTGCTCAATCCTCTGCCATTTAGGAGTTAGATCCCTTTGTTTATGAACCCTAGTCACACCTCCCTGCATGTGACTTGCACAGCCTTCCATAAACACTTCCTGTAAAGAGAGCCCTATTTAGGCTTTCTTTATTGCAAGTTCTGTTTAATTAAGATTTTCTTATCCCCTGCTATGTTAATAGCTTGCTAGACCCTGCAAGAGCCTCCTGTATGTGATTAAAGTTCAATTGAGAGATTGAGATACAATTATTTTAAGGTAAATTACATCTGTTTGAAAGTGAAACCAGTTATTTTTTTCATGCAGGCTCTGTCAATCATAGCCAGGGGAGGTGTGGCTAGGGCTGCATATACAGAAAAAGTGATTTAACTCCTAAATGACAGTGAATTGAAAAGTGAAATTGCAGGGCAATGATCTATACACTAAAACTGCTTTATTTAGCTAAAGTAATTTAGGTGACTATAGTGTTCCTTTAAATCGATTTTTGGGTTGCCTAACTGACCCTGGACGTCCACACGTCCTACATGAAGACATCTAGCATCAGTTAAATCCCCATAGGAAAGCATGCACATTAAACCCCCCTCCAGCTCGGATGACGTCAGAGAAAGTGGATTGCCAACTCAGCGCCGAAGGAGAACTTTGTATTCCTTACAGTATAGAATTCCTTTAAAAAGGTGATACTATAGTGCCAGGAATACAAAGCTGTATTCTTGGAACTATACCTCCTCCCCTCCCTGGTAAATAAAGGGTTATAAAAATAAATAAATGATTTACTTAACTTATCCCAGCGCCCATGTCCCTCTGCACTGGGTCATGACTCCACCTCCTCCAAAGAGCGGGTGCTAAGGCACATGCGCAGCGAGTGCAGAGTGCGCATTATGCCTCCACATAGGAAAGCATTGAATTAATGCTTTCCGATGGGTAAATAGCTGGTGCTGGATGTCCTCATGCAGAGCGGGAGGGGGGGGACAGGGGGGGGGCGAAGAAATCAGTTACCGGACAGCCAATGGAGGCAGACTTAGTGCTGCAATGTAAACAGTGCACAGTTTCTCTAACACTGCCATGTTTAACATTACAGCTCTAAGTGCAATAAGGACACTGCACCCAGCCTAATTCAATGAGCTAAAGTGGTCTGGGTGCCTATAGTGTCCCTTTAAGAGAACAGGGACAGTGCATTTCAACCACTTCAATTAGATGACGTTATTTTGGTGCCCTATAGTGTCCTTTTAAATGTACAAAGAGCACTATGTGTTGGTGTCCATCCATCTTTATTTAATGGGACATTAGCATATTTTTAATTAACTTTTGTGTTTATTTCATTACTAATATTTGAGTTGGTTTTGGCGCTTTTATCATTTTTACATTAGGTTTATCTTTTTGTTTTTTTTCTTTTTTTAAAACTCTGTGCATTGTGGATTAGGTGCTCTCAGGGAATTGTTCCTCTGTTGCTTTGAACAACACTGAGGTAGAACACCTAGCTGCAGGTTTCTAATTTTACACTGTTCTCACAAGCAGTTTCATAGAAAATAAAATTCTGAAGAATACTACGCAATCCAATATGGTGGCTTAGTGATAAGAACAATGAACATCTAGGTCACGGCAGAACTTTACACAACAAGTAGCATATCTGTAGAATGAGCGGTTCTGAAGTTGTTCGAAAACTGTGCGTAACTAGTCTATAAAACTAAGATGTTACCAGACCATATGACATCTGACCTTCATGTTGCAAATATATGGAACAACAGTTATCAATTGTTGCACCAAGTTTCATGAGTTTCACATGGGATTTGATTTTTATAGGCATTTCAAAAATGTGGAACAAAAATAAAACATTATGTTATCCAGCAACTTTTCTGCTTGTCCACCCAATTAATAATGGCTAAAATGTCATCCAGCACATTTTCAAAGGCACCTATTCATTCTACAACACAACCTCTCTACCATGGTGAATTTCATATCTCAGTTCTTGCTTGTTCCACTGTAAGATGTCGAACTGTTGTAGCACGGTCCCTGGATGGATATTTCTGTAGAATAAAGGATGGCCAAAGCAGGACCACACTAATACGCTCCAGGTGCTACATGGCCCTGCAATGCACTATAGATGAAATGGGATTCTGCACCCGGAAAAGACTGATGCCACCCAACTAGACACCATTTAGGGCAGAAACACTGCCCTGCAGATGTCAATGACCTATTACTCCCATGATGCTTTGAATACATTAGATTGTAAAGCGCTGCGGAATTTGATGGCGCTATATAAATATCATAATAATAATAATAATAATAATAATAATAATAATAATGGCCAGAGAAACAAAAGGCAGTTGCACATCAGAAATAAATTTAGGGCCAGAGTTTGAGAGGCACGATTTAGACAAGGTATAATTTTCAACGCAAGTCCATTACCTATAAACCTGTTGAGTTTAAATAACTAAACTCAAAATTGTAAAGAGCTGATAAGAGAAATGCAATTTGTAGGCCAAAAACAGCCCATCTCAAACTTAGCAGAGCTGAAGAATTTTCTTTTGCCCCCCTAATTCTCAGTTCAGTGAGAAAATCCTTTCATTTTGAACGTTAAAAAAAAAAAAAAATCGCAGAAAAGCACTGCATGTCCCAATCTATACAATTACTCACAGTTTTATGGAATGCAATCCTAAAACTTTTACAAGTCTGTGGTTATGGGATAAGACTGTAATCAAGCTTTTATATGGGCACCACATCTGCTCCATACCAATACTACGGCTCATCATCATAATGCTAATCTTTCCATGAAGGTTTGAACACAGAATGTTCTATTAATTCTTTTCAAATTTCCAACAAATGACTCATAATATAATAGATATTGAGAGCAATGCCTTGCAAGTTGTAATATAAATATCAATGTGGATATCTCTACTGCAGTGACTGCTAACCTTTGCTACTCCAGATGTAATGCAGATCACACCTCCCATGGTGCTCAGCCAGACACTATTCACCAGTGAAGTGATGGGTAACTTAGTTCTGGCACTCCAGACGCCCTGCACCATGCTTCTCTGCTGATCAGACAGACAGCAGTCTAGAACAGCTGGAATGCCAGAGGTTTGCCATTATTGGTGCATGGCTGGCACGGCATCATTAATGTGCCAAAGGTTAGCCGCCTATGGCACATTCTCCCAGCTGCCATGGGGGATTAACCCCCTGAGTGCCAGTGATGTGAGCTGCAGGCTCCTGGCACAGAGCAGGTTAACAGCATGCAGCACCCCATGCCATGGCGGGGGTCTCCATAGAAAGTTATACCCAAACTCCAGCACTGGGATACTCACACACTGCAGAGCTGGGGACACCGGGCGCACACAGACCGCTGCTCACATCACCCTAAGCCAAGATTCCCTAACACGCTAACTCCCAGCAGGCACCGCGCTCAGCTCTTACCTGTTCGCCATCCCGGCCACACCAAGCATGAGGGCGGCCGACAGCGCTCGGACTCCCCCGGGCAGCTCCAGCAGGAAGGAGGGAGGGAGAGAGCCTGGGAGAGCGGGATGGGCAGAGTCCCCGGAGCGCCACACAACCCCTCCCACCCGGGCCAGCGCCACGCCCGGCTCTGACTCACCTCCCGCCCCCTTCCGCTGCCAATCACCCCGGCGGGAGGAGATACCATGGCGACAAGGGGAGGCGGGGAAAGGATGCTGGCCACGCCCTCCGCTGAGGATGCAGCCAATCAGAGTGAAACAGACGATGAGCATCCGGGACCTAAGGAATTCTTGCAAGTTACGATGGCTCCGCCCACTCCGCTCATAGTCTGAAGGGCTGACGACTGTTCATTGAGTTGACACGCCCTAAAGGATGATGTCATACCTCCTAGCTCATTTTCAGAAGGCATCATGATTTAAAGGGACAGTGTAATCACATTCCATCCACCTACATACTAATAGTCAGCACAGAGAGGGGCTCAGGGCTATTCACTAAACCCAGAATTATAGGTCGTTACAATCTAAATGGCACAATGTAGGCAGGAATAACCGTACACCCATGTCTACATGTCCCAGATATAAGAGGACAGTCCCAAATCAGGAGCCTGTCCTCATATGGTGTCCAGCTCTCTGGTGTCCAGCTCTGAGGATGTTAGGATTCCAAAACCAAAGACCCCACAGAGAACATTGGAGAACATCATTGTGAGACAATCATCAGACTGGAGTGTGTAGTAGCGTGAAAATATCTTATAACAGGCAGCTCTCTATTTACATTATTTGGCAACATTCCAGCAATATTTTATTTTGAAACTACAAAAAGATAAAACATGTATTATAGGAAAAGAAAAGAATGCCATTAACCTCTTAAGGACACATGACATGTGTGACATGTATGATTCCCTTTTATTCCAGAAGTTTGGTCCTTAAGGGGTTGAGGTGTTTTTGTTTTTTGAGACATCATAATTAAAGCCAAGACCAAAGATAATGTGTTTTATTACGGTCTTCCTGACATGGCATTTCCCTTCCCATTTCCGGTTATATTTCTTTTTTTTTTAATACAATATAGTATTAAGCTTGAGTTGCTGAGTTGGAACAGTTGGACTTATGTTTTGAGTTCGTGTTAGTTTAGGGGTAGATCTAAGGTGGCATGGGAGGGATGGTGAGAGCAGCAGGGAAGTAATTGCCCTTTTTATTATTATTTTCATATAGCGCCAACAAGTTCCGCAGCGCTGTACAATGGGTGGACTAACAAACGTAATTGTAACCAGACAAGTTTGATGCACAGGAACAGAGGAGTTGAGGGCCCTGCTCAATGAGCTTACATGCTAGAGGGGGTGGGGTAAAGTGACACAAAGGGTAAGGGAATTATTAGGGAAGTAGAGTGGTAGAATAATATGAAGGCTTTTTTTTTGTGGAGCCATTAACAGTTTAATTGATACGCTTTTGTGAAAAAGTGAGTTTTTAATGATTTTTTGAAGGAGTGGATACTGGGTGAGCATCTAACGGTAAAAGGAAGGGAGTTCCATAGGAACGGTACAGCCCTAGAGAAATCTTGAATGCGAGCATCAGAACACCTAGGCAGCAAGCCTGCAAGCCTGCTTGGTGGAGCTGATGGTAGGAGGGAGGGAGAATAGGAGTAGCAGCACTTGAGGGAGGAAAGAGCAGAAGTTCTGTTTTGGACAAGTTGAGCTTAAGGAAGTGGGCTGCCATTCAATTAGAAATAGCAGAGAGGCAGTCAGAGACACTAGTCAAGAGGGGCGGGGAGAGATCAGGGGAGGACAGATATATTTGCGTGTCATCCGCATAGAAATGATATTGGAAGCCAAAGGAGCTGATGAGTTTACCAAGGGAGGCAGTATAGATAGAGAACAGTAGGGGACCAAGGACTGAACCTTGGGGGACACCAAGAGAGAGAGGTTGGGAGGAAGAGGCAGAGCCAGAGAAAGAGACACTAAAAGAGCGTTGGGTGAGGTAGGAGGAGCAACAGGAGAGAACAATATCTCGTAGACTGAGATTACGGAGGATGAGAAGAAGCTGTTGATGATCAACAGTATCAAAAGCAGCGGAAAGGTCAAGGAGAATTAGGATAGAGTAGTGACAATGAGATTTTGCAGTAAGTAGATCGTTTGATACTTTGGTCAGTGCCGTTTCTACAGATTGCTGAGCGCTGACACCAGACTGAACTGGGTCGAGCAGAGAATTGGACTCGAGGAAGTCTGTCAATCTCACATACACAAGTCTTTCAAGGATCTTAGACGCAAAAGGCAGTGTGAGATAGGGCGGTAGTTGGACGGGCAGTTAGGGTCAGTTAGTAAGTTGGGCTTTTTTAGAATGTAGGTTAAAGCTGCATGTTTGAAGGGTAAAGGAAATAAGCCAGATGAGAGGGAGAGATTGATAATTTTAGTGAGAGGCAAAGCAGGAGGAGGAGAAAAAGAGTACGGATGAGATGCGAGGGAATAGGATCAAGGGAGCAGGTGGTGGGGCGGGAGGACCGGAGCAGATCAGGAACCTCTTCCACTGTAGTGGGTGCAAATGAACATAGAAAAGCAGAGGGAGTGAGGTGGGGGAAAGTATTGTAAGGGGAAGGAGAGAGATGAGAGATCTCTTCCCTGATTATTGATATCTTGTCAGTGAAGTGAGTTGCAAAGTTTGTGGCGGTTAAGTCGGTAGGAGAAGTAGGAGCAACAGGGCGAAGAAGACAGTTAAAAGTGTGAAATAGTTGTTTGGGTTCGCGGGAGAGTGTGGTTATGAGGGTATTGAAGTAATTTACTTTTGAAGAGGAAAGAGTCAGCCAGACTGTAGGAGCGCAGCATAAATTTATAGTGGAGAAAGTCAGATGCAGAGTAAGACTTTCTCCAGCAGCATTTAGCAGTTCTGGAGCATTTTTGGAGGTATCGAGTCAGCTTGGTGTGCCATGGTTGTAGTTGGGGGCGCTTGCTGCATTTATGTATAGGAGGTGCCATGATGTCTAGTTGAGAGTAGAGGGTGGAATTGTAGAAGGAGATTGCAGATCTAGATGATAGCAATTCTTATGGGCACTAGCATGGGAGCACTATTGAGATATGGCCTGCATCCTCACACCTTTTGTCTCTGGGTTAAAATAGCAGGATTTGCATTGGGATGTCTGTTGGCACAATACAGCAGTAGTGAGACAACAGGCAAGAATTATGGATGTCCTTTCTTAGTCCAATGCTGAGTAGGTTGATGCCTGTGCTGGTGGCCTACAATTTGAAAATCACTTTAAATTCCTGACAATTTACACTATAGAAAGAAACCCTGTCAGAGGGCTGTGTTCACTAAACTCCCAGTTGTAACAAACTGTGACTAGAGCTGGGTTAGAGAATATTTCCAGATGAGTAACAGACCTCCTAACAGTGGGCGGTATAAATTCATGACAGAATTAGAAAGCGAGCTGTGACATCACATACCAGCTGCAATAACAAGAAAAAGGGTGCAGGGAAGATTCAGAATGTTGCAAAAAACATTTGTTTACTTTGTAAAAAAAAATAAAGAAAACTGAATATGAAACAAATAGAGATGATTATTTAGGTCAAAATAAAAAATACATAAATGTCACTAGAGTGTCCATTTAATTGACACAAAACCATAAACTCCAACATTTTAAATGGTCAAAAAGGTTTATTGAAAAAAAGAAAAGAGAAAGATTTATTTTTGTATGAATGGATTTGAACTCAAAATATGGATATTTCTGGGGGGCGGAGCCAAGCAGCTAAGCTGAGCGGTTGTGCCAAGCTTCAGCTCCTGCACAAATCAACACAAATTGGGGGAAAATCCCCCCAAAAAACAGCACAAAAGCACACCAGACTGGAGCTAGTGAGTCGGGGACACCTGGGTGAACCCTCAGACACTGAAACCAAGCGTGTGACGCACCGGGACACTGCATTACAAACCTGAGGCCTACCGGAGGTCGAGCTGTGGAGAGACGGCCGCTCTCCAAGCAGACTGACCTAAGTATGGATCCCTCGGGGCTCCCAACTCCTACCCCCCCCCTACGGACCGATGGGGGTTATCACGGTCCACAGTGGGCAACAGGCGAGGCGGACACAGACTGAACCTGCAGCCTGAGAAACCGCAGCGACAAAGCGGCCAAGCACATGGCGTGCCCAAAATGGCGGCAAACCTACCAAGCAAGCAACACTGCACACACGAGCCGGAGGACTTCGGCGACATACAGCAGCGTCTAAATGCAACTTTTGCCCAATTCTGGACGAAGTTGCTGGAAAGGATGCAAACACCTCAGGCAAAATCACAAACCCTACCCTACAGGGGTGAGCGGAACCATGAGCGCAGGGTGAAGAGAGAGACACCCTTGAATAACATGGGGGCAAAACGGCAGCATGTAAGTGAGACACAACACATGCCACCCAACACCAGGCACCCCGAGCACCACCTAGTCTCACAGAAGTCCCACTCATACAAGCGCCCCAAGCAAACTCCCCAGGCTCCCCGCCTGCGCACAGGCATCAGACACCTAAACGCACAACACCGCGCCCTAGGTCTGGGGGACTGGACGAGACTCAACTCAGCATTGCACCCACATAAGAGCAGACAGCCGACACAGCATGGGGAAACCCACGTCAGCACCCACAGAACACCCTGCAACTGCCCTGGGTTTGCCAAGCAGACACAAGAGGTACATTGGATCCCTGGGACCCGGCTGCAGGCGCTGAGATCTGGAATCGGCTAGATGACTACCTTGAACCTGCTGCAGGAGCCTGGTGCCTGCTTCGAGTTCCACTGAGACACACTTATTATCCTTACCTACACTGTGGACAAGTTTAAACACAGATAGTACAGGACTGTATCTGCAGCGACTTTAAAAATGTTTAATTTACTGTTTTTCTTTTTGTTGTTCTGCTTCTGCCTCATAGCCGTAAGTACATCATACATGCAAAGCCAGCCCCATTGTCGCTCACTAACCCCCAAATCCAGTTACCACTGTGTACTGGCAAGTTAACTTGACTCTCCACTCTGTTCACGGGGATGGGGGGCGCCACTGGGGACCAAACAAGCTCATGCTGAGCCTCTCCGAGTTTAGTCTCACTACCGGTCAACCACCGATAGCCCAATACACATGCCTTTGTAACCACCAACCAATAGCATTA